CTCGTGTCCGTCCATCATACATTCTTAAAGCAAAACAGAGACCAAGATAAATGGAAGGATGAATGGTATATAACTGTTTTTAGTGATAATCTCGCTTCTGTTTGGGAGTCCAAGTTTTTTGTTGAACACAGTAGTGACGGAGTCAGTGCATATACGAGTAGTCCTTACTTCTAGTTTCCACTGTAGTAGTGCTGCCATCCATCCTGGATTTGTCCTACTTCAGGAGGCATCCGGGGTCCGTCCAAAACGGGTTTTTAAAAAATATCCAGGAAATCTTGTAGAATGTAAAAAACATGAAAAAAAAATATTTACTCGGCATACTTTGCATGAATAATCCTAAAACTAATTTGCAATTGCGTACCATCATATGAGATACTGGATCATATTTTGGGATCTTTGTTCTCAATCCACCGGACAGCTGTAGACCAGTGTTTAAGACAATAAAATAAAATTTTAACGTTACCGTTAATACTGATCTACGAGTCATGCTTATTTGTTGAAGAAAACACAGATTTAATCCCCCCAGCGCAGTGAGATACACACCTACTTTACTAGATATAATAAACATATTCAAAATATCAATCTCAGGGTCATTCCCTTAAAAATTTTGGATGACAAGGGGTATCGAGTAATAACTTGTTTGGAGGTCTTTCGAAGTTCTTCTTGTTTCTTCTTTTTAAAATCAGTCGTTTTAAAACGGAAACTACCAACATACAACATAAACAGCAATCCGGAACATTAGACGTGTCAACAACCAAATAACAACCCGAATTTTTTTCGCATTCTTTTCATCAACACATATCCTGGGCGAACTGTATTTATTGTTATATCTGTTTACTTATTTGTTGCTAGGAAAGAAAGAATTTAATTTGGCGTTAATTACCTTTGTGACAATCTTGGGTTCGTGAACAATAATTTATTGATTCAGATTTCACTTCTAAAATCATTTACACACTAGCCGAAAGAGTGCAAATGATTCTAATTTATGATGCCCAAAATCAATGTACTCGGCAAACTGCCGTCATGTTTAATGCCAGTCATCCGGGGAAGATAACTTCTCATAGGTATTTTTTGGACCTTGTTGCTCAATTTACTCAAACTGGATCTGTTGCAAATAAAAAACGTTATCATAGGAAACCTTTTATGAAGCCGGTCAAGTCGAAGTTGAAGTTTTGGGTCATTTTAGAGTAACTACTAATACTTCATTGCACAAAATTGATCTTGCGACTGGTATTTCATTAGGCTCTGTACGTACAGTTACTAAACTTCATAAATATCATCCGTTCAAAATTAAAATATTTCAAGAGTTAACCGAAAACTATTTCGATAGGCAAGTTGAGTTTTGTGAACAAATGACTGCAGCGATTAATGATAATACGATTCGTGTAAAGAATATCAGCTCCAGTGATGAATGCACATTTTATCTAAATAGATTTGTTAATAAGCATAATTGCAGGTATTGGAGCAATGAAAATACTCTTGCTCTTGTGGAAGGGCCCAATAAATTAATATATGGGAAGGTTTTTTAGGAAACAAAGTGATTGGGCCATAGTTCATTAATGAACATTTAAATGGAGACATTTATTTGGATATGTTGGAAAATACCATCAATCAGCTTATCACTGAAACCAAATCGAAGAGGATTGAATCGCTTTACTTTATGAGGCTGAAATATATATCCAGCAAGACGGCGCTCCTCCTCACTATGTTCTTTCGGTTCGGCAATGGCTAGACCACGAGTTTATTTAGAATGGCTTGCTAGATCTTCCGATTTGACGCCATTAGACTTTTTGCTATGGGGCCATTTGAAATCTATTGTGTTTACTCCCCAACCTGAAAGTTTGAATGAACTTCGTCTGCGCATCGTCAAAATGATATCCCACAACATGTTTTTGAAAATGTCCGTCAGGAATTTGAACGTCGCCTATATCATTGTTTGGCCAATAACGGACAACTTTTTTGAACACTTATTGAAATGAAAAGTGATATTTTCGTGTGTTTTTGTTTTCTATGTGAACAAATTAAGATAAATAAAGATATATCTAATTTTCTTGAAAACGAATCCACCGATTTTGAAAAATCAAACTTCAAAATAAAGGACCTCGAAAGCCCTTTCAAACAAGCTATTACTCGATACCCATTGTCATTTGAAATTTTAAAGGAAATGACTCTGGGAGGCATAGGAAGAAGAGGAAGAGTATAATTTTATTAGTAATGATTTGAGTATTTCATTTGTAATTCTGTAAGCTTAATACAATTTTGTTAGTATTTTTTAAATATTGTTAAATAAGGCGATAACATGATGTTTACATTTATAAAAAAATGAAATTGACATCGAGGTTGTTATTTGAAATACATTCTGGGGTTTCTCGGGCCATATCTCAATTTGACCCTAATTTCATGTATTTTTTGAAGCTTTCATCCTGTCTCGGTAATTTAAGAGATTCCAGCTCTACATACACACTAAACCCTTGAAAACAATACTTTCCTTAATTATAATGCTTCTTTCAAATAAAACGATTTTCACTGTAGTCTCTGTCACTAAACGCATTATGACAAATATGCAGATTCAATGTAAATATGTGAATACTATCAATCCAGGGACTAATCAAATTATCAACTTGAAGCTGTGAAACTTGGCATTAACGACAAGGGCTTGTTTACTATGTATATTATTCATTTTTCCACATGGATTATATCGACTCACACAATACTGAAATTATTCTAATAATTCGTTGTTTACGCGATGTGAAACATGGAAATGGAAAATGAAATATTTTCCGATTTTAGTTACAAAACAACATAAAATCGATGCAATTGCTTCCAGTCCATATATCACCATACGTGTGTTTACATACCGGCTGCCATCATTGTTATTTTGGAAATGGTAAAGAGATACGAAGTTAGTTAAATGAGGCAAAGTACTTCCGGAATTGTCTATTTTGCTCCTCTTCCAGGTGACATAATTTCATAATTCAAATATGACGTTTCATATCTTGTTCTCTTGTCTGCAATCATCAACTCTGTTTCTCTCATTAACGCCATATTGGTGGGCAGAGTATTTAATTTTCTTTCCAAATGTTTTATTGTAAAACCATCGTTATTTAAAAAAGTCTTTTCTGAGTAGGCCTTGAAATTATCTCATCGTGTGTTTTATTGCACATGTATATTGTTTGAGCTTTAAATGTATTATTCGCTGCATTCCAACCACTCAGTTTTTCTCCTTGATTTTACATTTTTGCTTCCTTTCTAAATTTTATGATAGAGTCTGATCCGATTTCAACAAATCACCAATTAAGCTTCCGCTCCTCGATCTATTATATGATAAACGAAACTTCTATAGAGTTCATGGATTGGAAAATCCAGTGCACTTTGGAAAGTTCCTCTAACTGAAGCTATCAATAAAAATGATGGCCCTTCATATCTCACCTCTGTCAGAATGGATTGCTTTTCATTTTATCTGATTATGTCTGCTTTATTATATTTCACGGTAGACCAGAAATCGACATAAAAATTTGACAAATACTTGTCTTTTTTGGCACTTAAATAGAATATTGTTTTCCAGGTATCCACTATTCATATCTACATTTTGATGGAGACGTCAAGATGTTTATCAAATGTAACATACAAAACTATAGCTGATCCCAAGCTTGTATGTAATAAATCCGGTACAATTTTTAAAGCAAAATCACACTATATCAACAACGTCAAGCAGAAACTTCAATATCTTACTTAAATAAGAAACAAAACTAATCAACGCGCATTTTTTAAACAATTTTTAATTTTAACCCATACAAATAGGTCCTAGGCTTTCTAGATGAAAATTGATTTGATTTGCTGCGAATTTATAATAAATTCATATACATTTGTATATCAGAATCTTCGTGCTTTACCGAGGAAGTTTTCTTAGTTTTCTATGTTCAACTTGTAAAGTGAAAACACTACAACCTTTATGGATATTTCTAGACCTTTTGGACTGCTTAAAATCAGCAGCAAAAAGTACGAAAAATATCACTCCTGCTATAGGAGAATACTTTCATTTGCTCTTCAATATCTTTGAAGTGACGTGATTAAAAAAATAAAAATTGATAAAAAATAAACATGTATCTCCCAAGAGACTTATTTTCCTGTTTTTAAAAGGCAAGGTAACGTTTGTTCCCTTGTATTTTATAACACATCATAAAATAAACATTTGTATAGATACGATGGATATAAAACCACTATTAAAACTAAAAAAGGCTTAACATCAACTACGGGTTCGGAAAAATCACACACAAAACTTGACACCCATATCGATATTTAGCTACAAAGCGACGAAAAAATAAAAATAACACAGTGCTTCTGGCGGTATGAATGTGTTAAATCTTTCCTTTCAGTGTTAAAACATCCCAATTCAAAAACTTGAAACATACAAATTACCTATTGCTTTGCAAATTTTAGGATCGACAAAAATCCTACAGATCAGGCGCTTTCGCAATTTAGCTACGTGCATCATGACAAAATAATAGTTCACCTAGAAATTGGGAAAATCGTCCATAACGTGATCAGTATGTTGTACCATACGCCAGTGATATGTGTTCAAGTATCCTGTGCCAGGAACTATTATCCCAATACCTTTTTTTCTGTATTTGTATATTCAGATAATTCAATGTTAAACTAATTGAAGGAATATATTGCTTACCATATCGTCAGAGTCTGTGGCAAGGTTTGGAGGTAAATATCAGGCCCAAACCTATGATTTCACCTGAAACAAAGAAACTATTCATTCCTGATGTCTAGTACATATCCTCACTTAGATCTTTATTTAGTGTATTCTTTTGATTATCGAAATAAGATAGCACAAAGCGCCATCTACTACCAGAATCGATCACTGCGATAGTGAAAACAGCAAGCTGTCAATTGGAACTGTTTCCCAGTTTGCTTATCTTACGCTCGTGGTTCTACCTACTAGTTTATCATTTTTTTTTCAATAAAGAATAGATATTGATGGTTTTATCATACTTTTAAGCCTACTATAAAACGGCAAGTCGGAAATGGAATATAAGACACTAGTGTTCACAAAACTTCCACTTAGCATAGTCCTAAAGCTGGTGAGCGAGTAAAGTAACCTCCACTAGCGACCGGCGTTGAACGAAGAGGATGGTTCAAAATTTACGAAAAGTGATTATTAGGTAATGAACACTGGTCATGTAAAAAAATAAAATGAGTTCATCAATAACTAAGCCGGCTGAGTGTGGACTGCAGGTTTATTGGTGAGTATCCGCTGATATAGTAAACATGCCAAGCTGAAATTTGGGTGAAACATATCCAATAGGCGGGTAGATTCACCGTGGCTAGAGGCGTATACGTATACGAACATAAAAAAACACAACCCGCACAACCCCCCCCCCCATCACTCCCAATTTTTTACCACTACGAATTTTTCAAAAATAATCAACCTCCTTGTGTTGAAATGTCAACAATACCCAACCGATACTTTCCAAATTATAGCGGGGTCAGAGATTTTCTTACATAGACAGAAATGAGTGACATGGTTTTTCGTGATATACATGTCATATAACGTCTCATTCTCGTCTTTAAAATACTGTCCCGCCAGTTGTGTACGAAGTAAAGTTGTCAAAATGTGTCAATGTTCTTAAACTAAATGTCCCATCATTTTTTGCACATTCAGATAAACACATCCAAAAGGAAAAGGTTGGCATGAAACTCTATAATGTTTTGATAAAATTTGTTATTGAGTCATATACGATTCTGTATACCAAAATGCTCAACATTGACAGCCTGCTGATCCACCATTTTGTAAATTTATATTGTGGACTTAAAAAGTATCGATATGGAGCTTTAAAGGTATGTGTCACACATCCCCCATTATTTGAAAAAAAATGTTCCAAAATGGCGCCCAGCCGCGGCTAGCTCGGGAAAAAGTAGGTCAGCATTCCTGGGCAATATATACCATATTTGACGCAATGGGTTCATTGTCTGATTCACAAATCTGGACTATTTAATTTTTGTCTCTTAGCAAACATAACTTAAAAATCATTCCTCCTTGACTTATTTAATAATTCTCTTTGCACAAGAGTAATTAGAGAGCGGATCATCTCCATTGGTCCGCAGGGAGATTTTCTGGCAAAATAACCTCCGTCCATCCAAGATTGATATTCCGACATAATTAGAGATAATTGGGTGGTGTAGTGATCAAGGGATTCTTTGTTAACTAGGCAAAGTTAATTAATTGGTAAGCTGGAAGATGCAGATAAATATTGCAGTAAAAACTGTGATAAATTACTTCTACAGGAAAATTGGCCACAGTGCTACCACTTCTGCAACATTATTAATCTGGATAGATGTCGGAAGTGCATGGGGAAATCAATTTGTAATTAAGAAATGGAGATCACTCACCCAATTTAGTTATTCTTAGTCCGAAGACCAATATTCAGTTAGTAACGGCGGACGGTTAGAATCAATATATTTTCGTCATAAATTAAATCTACTTAACCTTATGAAATTATATTGAAAAGGCAGGAAGAAGTATTTTAGTAACTAACAGACCAGTTGTATGAACTCCCATAAACCTTACATAGAAAGAAAAATTATGCAAAAAAAAAACAAAAATGTAAAAATATATAAGTGTGTCTTTTTGACCACCCTGAATGAACTAACAAAAAACTTGAAAAAGTAAGTAGATAGGAAGAAGATATGGTATCCTACAATTTTCTTGACGAAAATTTCAGTTGAGTACTTTTTCTATCTCAAAACTTTGAAATAAGAACCCTATAGTATGCCACACCAAACTGCTTCGTTTGTAAGGACCTATCCGAAAAAATCTTTTTACATTTGAAAAAAAATGTATTTTTTAGGATCCCCCACGTGGTTAGAATCAAAGATAATTTCCAACTAAGCAGCATACTGTTGACTACAATTTTTGTATGTGTAAAACTCACCCTGTATATACTCCGAAGAAATTAAAAATACATATCAAACACTGGGCTTAAGAGCGAGGTCTGTTAATTAAGTGATGAGACTGTTTTAATTTTTTCATTCAAATATAATTACAATTTTATATCGTCAAAATAACTTTCTTCTGAAGCCACACAGCGCTGGAGACGGTTCTTCCACTGCTCAAATTTTGACTGTCAACCGACAATCTAAACGCACAAGATATCGGATTCTGTTGATATTTTCATTGGTTCTTGAAGATGAAGGCCTTCCGCCTCGCGGTTCATCTTCAATCAACTCTATCCCTTCTGAAAATGTCTTAAACCACCGAAAAACATATGCTCTTGACAAAACACTATCTCCTTAGGCCTGTTCAGCAACAGTTTTCATTGTACTGTGCTCAAGTGTGAAGCAAACTGTTGTCATTCATTTTTAGAGCACAATAGGGATAACTAACTCACAAAAAAATTGCTACTGACAACGAGCGAGTTCTAACGTGTACTGAAGGCGGATCACATGTTCTCCTGTCTCCCCTCCAAGCCGGGCGCCTCAAGTGTTGCCAGATCGAACGTTACGTCGCCACTTAATTTACAGTCGTCTTATTTCTTTTGTAGGAACATCCAGTCCTGCTTTTCCTCCTTCGTTCTAACAACCCTTAGGCCGGAATGCATGCTCAAAAATCACGTTCCGATGTCCGCCCAAAAAGCAGCAGAGCCACACTGGATTCCCTGTGAAGGATATTAAGGATCGGATCTTCTATTCTACGTGGTATATTTATTCGAAGGTTTTAGAGGGACCGTTATATATTTGCTGAAACGTCGACGGAGGAACGTTATCTGGCACTTGTCCCTTGTTTCGGATTTTCGAGAGGTTTCCTCAAAGCAGCATTTCCGTGCTGTACATAAGAAAAAGGGATAAAATAATATGTTGCATAAACAACGCTTTTACATAATACACTTGCGGTATAGTGATTTCGTGACAGCCACATGATGGTCAGGGTGGATAAGACATTGGAGAACTTCATTTTGCACAGGTTTTAAAAAAAAACCTCTGAAATCATGGTGCGCGTCGACCTTAAGATGCCTTCTCAGGGTCTTTTTCTCAAATCGCTACCACCTGGTAAATAAATATTCCGTCTTGTTAACAGTTTCCGTTACTCAGCTCCAAACGCAATAAATTCTTAATAACATGAAATTTAAGTTATTGTCGGAATGTCCGCTCGAATTCCGGTCTACCTTGGTGACGTAATTGGCGAATTTCATCGTGACCGTCTTAGAGAATTAACTTATGTATGTATTTGTCTAGTAAGCCAATTACTTTCCACTAATTTAGGCAATAACGGCCAACCTGTTGCAGCCTATAGCGTGCTGATGATTTGCTAAAGAGCAAGAAACAGCGCTGTCTGCGGTTGGGCATGGTTACAGAGATGCGAAAGCAAGCAAACACTATTTGTATGTATTGGATGTAATGTGAGGATTACACATGTACAATATTTTAAGTGAATATCTTAATCAATTCTGAAGACAATTTTTTTTCGACGTTGAAATTACAACTTCAACACCTTATATTCCGATGAGGACCCAAGCAGATCGTACGACTCAGCTTAACAGGGGCAAATCTATTCATACAGAGAACTCTGCAGCACTAAAGCGCAAGCATATTTTATTTGTATTACCATCGCGCTCATACTCACGGCTGAAGTTTGTGCCTGGAGGGGTGCTTGACCCTTATGATTTATCTGGCTAGTCAAATATAGTTTTAAAATAGTCCCCTTAATAACATATACAGGGTGTTCATTCGAAAACTACCCATCACGGATTTATTGAAAACCACTGATTAAAAGGAAAAACTTCGTGACACGTCAAAAGATTTGTCAAGGGTGACAACTTTTTAACCAAAAACTACTTCACCCCCTTTCACCCTCGGCCCCCCAGCGTTATTCCCTTGAAAATTTTAAGTGACAGGGGGTATCAAGTAATAGCTTGTTTGAAAGGTATTTTCTTTGACGTTGGACGTTTCGTTTTTCGTTTTCGAGAAAATTACAAAAATCTTTATTTATCTTAATTTGTTAAAATAGAAAACAAAAACAGGCGAAAATATCACTTTTTATTTCAATAAGTGTTGCCCGTTAGGGTTTGCCAAATCTACAATTCGTTTATAGCTTGACTCAAGAATTCCTCTCTGGAAAGTTGCAAAGTCGCTCAGAAACAGAAAGCGAGAACAACTCCCGCACATCCACGGTCCTAGGGGCATAGTCTGTAGGACAGAGGAAAAGGTCGAGGTTTTCGCTGATGCAGTGGAAAGTCAGTTCTCTCCCAACTATGACCTTGATAACATTGAACATATTGTAAGATCCGTCAGGAGATATTTTAGGGCCAACGGCGTCAGTGGCAGTAGTGCCTCCCTTAGTGATTTTTCCTCACAGGAATCTTCAGAAGATTTCTCAACTGAAGAGCTGCATGGCACATTAGCGGAATCTCCTGAGACTCCGCATTGCACACCAGCAGAGCTCCAAGGTCATATTAAAGACCTCAAGGTGCGTAAAGCACCTGGAGAGGATCGAATCACTAATAAGGCGCTGAAGCTACTTTCGCGGAAGTCCTTAACTTATCTCGTGGCAATAATCAATGCCATGCTAAGGACCCAGCACTTCCCAACGGCGTGGAAGACCGCTGATGTCATAATGATTCCAAAGAAGGTGGGTTCGATATTCCCCCAGGATCACCGCCCCATTAGTCTTCTGCCAGCTCCTTCTAAGCTCGCTGAAAAGGTGATTCTACGTCACCTTGAAAATTTCTCGGCAGACCACAATGTGATTCCTGACGTGCAATTTGGCTTTCGGTCTGAGCATAGTACGCTACAGGCCATAAGGCTTGTTGAACGAGTAACCAGTGGGTTCACCCGTAACGAAAGTATGGCATCTTGCTTCTGGATGTCTCAAAGGCATTTGACAAGGTGTGGCACAAGGACCTTCTCTACAAATTGATCCATAAGGGCTTCCCCTTCAGGCTCCTAAAACTTTTGAAATCCTTCCTCGAGGGTAGGAAATTTCGGATCAAAATTAATAACGTTCTGTCGACAACACGGCCTATCAAAGCCGGTATCCCTCAGAGTTCGGTTCTTGGACCAGTAGTTTATTCACTTTTTATTCATGACGTCCCTTGCCCAAGAAACTGTGAAACCTATCTCTATGCTGATGACACAGCCCTAGTGGCCCAGTCGTGCTCTGGGGATCTAGTTCACGACAGGCTGCAAAGTGCAGTGGACAAGGTATTGGAATGGGCGAATCGGTGGCTGATCAAACTTAATCATTCGAAAACGCAGGCAATCTATTGTACTAAAAAACGTAGCGGCGCCCCGTCTGAGGTTTCAGTGAACGGAGCTCGGGTACCATGGGAAAGTTCTCGGTGTAACTCTTGACAAGGGGATGACCTGGCAGAAGCACACTGAAGCGTTAAAAAATAAATTCAAAATCTCGTTTCGGCAACTCTACCCTATGCTATGTAGAACATCAAAATTAAGTTTGATCAACAAAGTTCGGCTATACAAGATGGTTATTAGACCAGCGATTACTTACGCAAGTGCGGCTTGGTGTTTTCTCGCCAAAACGCATTTGCGTAGCCTGCAGGTTTTGCAGAACAGAACCTTGCGTACAATCACTACCGCCCCATGGTATGTTTCCAACGAGACCCTTCACAGAGACCTTGACATCCCTTACCTAAGGGACTACATCAAAAAACAAGCGCAGCTACGTTATAGTCAAGCGGAATCGCATAACAACCCTTTGTTGCGCGAGTCAATAGATTACACAGTCGAGCAAGTTCGCAAGCACACAAGGCCGCGACTCGCACTGTGAACAAAATTAAATCGTGCGACTTTAGGTCCAACCAAAATTATAATTTTTCTTCAACAACCAATCCCAAAATTAATTTTAGGATCAATTTAAAATTGCCGAATACTAACTAGCAATGCCAAATTGATGCACTTTTTTTTCTTTTCTCTCCCTCCTTCCTTCCTTCCTTTCTTCTTCCCTTCTTTATCCCTGACTTTGTTTGGTATCTGGGCAATTAGACCTGACAGACCTACTGACTTACAAGACTTCAACCAAGAGCAAAGGTCCTACGTTACTAAGGGAAAGAAAGAATTTGATTTGCTGTCAGTTACCTTTGTTACAATCTTGGGACAGTGAAAATTAATTTATTAGCTCGGATTTTACTTCCAACATGATTTACGCACTAGCCGAAACAGTAGAAATGATTTTAATTTATGGTGCCCAAGATCAATGTGCTCGGCAAACTGCCGTCACGTTTAACGCCAGGCATCCGGGAAAGATAACTTTGCATAAGTATGTTTCGGACCTTGTAACTAAATTTACTCAAACTGGAGCTGCAAATAAAACACGTAATCATCGGAGTTTTGGATGAAGCCGCTCAAGTTGAAGTTTTGGAATAAATCCTAATACTTCTTTACTTAAAATTGATGCTGCGACTGGTATTTCATTAGGCTCGGTACACACAGTTACTAAACTCCATAAATTTCATCCATTCAAAATGAAAATATTGCAAAAGTTAACCGATGATGATTTCGATAGGCGAGTTGAGTTTTGTGAACAAATGACTGCAGCGATTAATTCGTCGCTTGAATGCAGAAGTCACAAAATGCATATTTTACAGGAGAGCTATTTTTCGTGTTTGTGTCTTGCCTAACATTTCTGAGAAATTTTGGATATAGAATGCTTTACCGGAAAAAAGTATGACTAGTCCGTGAAAGTAGACTTATATTTGTTGCTGACATTGGACTTACAGTCGTTCTGTAAGTGATCATCTGCTCTTATCATAGTTATGCAGCCAAATGACGCGCCTCAAGCTATTACGCCAAAATATCGTTCAAGATCAGTGGTGGGGGAACACTTGCGCAGGGACTTACAATACCTCTGCATGCAATGTAGGTGACTATGACCTACAATGTCGTGTTAAAATCTGAAAAATGAAGAATTTGGACATAAAATAGTTCTGCATTCAGGCGACGAATTGTAATACCATTCATGTAAAGAATATCTGCTTCAGTAATGAATTCACGTTTTGTCTAAATATATTTCTTAATAAGCATAACTGCAGGTATTGGAGCAATGAAAATCCTCATGCTTCTGTAGAAGGGCATACCCAGTACCCCCAAAAAATGTACGTATGGCCAGGCATTTTAGGAAACAAAGTGATTAGGCCATTGTTTATTAATGGAAATTTGAATGGTTAGGGTAAAGAGGGCCTTTTGATTAGCCTGCTAAATCTCCTGATTTAACACCGTTAGACTTTTTTCTATTACTCCCTAACCTGGAAGCTTGGATGAACTTCGTCAACGCATCATCGAAAGCTGCCATGGTATCCCACAACATGTTTTTGAAAATGTCCGTCAGGAGTTTGAACATCGCCTACATCATTGTTTGGCTAATAACGGGCAACATTTTGAACACTTATTGAAATAAAAAGTGATATTTTTGTCTGTTTTTGTTTTCTATCTAGACAAATTAAGATGAATAAAGGTTTTCCTAATTTTGTTGAAAACGAATCGACCGATTCTAGAAAATCAAGCGTCAAAATAAAGGACTTTAAAAGATTTTTCCAACAAGCTCTACTCGATACCTCTTGTCATTTAAAATTTTTAAGGGGCTGACCCTGGGGGACAGAGGGTGAAAGAGGGTACAGTGGTATTCGATAAATCTATGGTGGCAAGTTTTCAAATGAACACCCTGTATGAAAATGAAGTATGAGGTATGAGTACGTAAGTAAAGTTCAATTATTTTTTGGGTAAAATGTCTAGCGGAGGTGCCTGGCACTGCTGAATATTGCTTTGTGACAATATTTTACAATGTATTATAAAAATCAGCCAATCAGAGAATTTAAGTTAAATTAGTTTTAGCTTTACTTACCGTTCTCTCGTGATATCTGTAAGTCGGACCACTACCCAACTTTGCGTATACACTACTAAATGTCCCAAGGCTAGTCTTTGAGAAACTAAGTAATATCTGACAGCCCTGGGATCTACTCTATAATGTCAAGGTTCGAAATTTAGTTTTAATCTAGTTCCACTGAAAGTTATAACAGTCATGTTAGTGCCATCCGGTAATTTCCATTTTGCACTGTTCACGGGGCGTCTAAAAAATCAAAAACCTATCAGGTACCGGCAGCATTGCAATTTTATTTAAAATCGTCCTGTGACGATTTCACTCCAATACTTTTACTAGTCATTTTCGTCTGCATTTCGCAGACAATTGATGAAGCGTCACCGCACAATGACGTTCATTTCGATGTATTTGTGCCAGATAGGAGAGCGAATTGCTTGTAAACGCGAGATAGACTGTATTAAGCTGGGATTCCGGCAAATATAATTAGAGTTTGTATAACTCGTTCGTTCATCGCCTGCGCCATTGTTGCTAAACTTGCTTCCAGCGGTAGATTTGATGAAATTGTATAATTAATTCTCAAGTTAATGCAACACAATGATGTTCGAGTTTATTGTTAATTATAGTCATTTGTATTCCTATAATCCGGAATTGATGAGTAGCAAGCACACATTTTTACTTTTAAATTACAATTTTGTTGTTTTCTGCATAATCAATATGGGTCGTAATAGTATTAATCCCTTCAAAAGATATACAGGGTGTCCTCAAAACATGGGCCAAAAAAATTGAAGGAATTTCATACTTTGACGATTTTGGAAATACCGTTACGTTTTGGGAGATATAGGCCCCTAAAATCGGTTTCTCCTCCGTGAAAGCTGTATGATTCAACGAGGTTTTGGACCTTCATAGCATAGAAATTAGTTGAAAAGATTAGCTCATTTATATGCATAGGGATAGACTATATCTACCGTAATATTGCTCATTTTTTATTCCAAGAATGGTTCTAATGCAATATGTTTGAGGAGTCCGATGACTTTCTGAAAAAACGTATTGTTGTTTGATTCCTCTGAAGTGAACCGTTTTTGAGAAAGACCAGCTTGTCCTGCCGCATTGACAATACAAGGTGCGCCATCTTTTATGTCGCAATTGAAACATCGAATAACTTTGATATTTACCAACCGAGTGATTTGGTTATACGTGTTTCTGAAACGTCAATATACTACAATTTTAGTCATGAATCTCTTTACACCGAAACAACGCGCCGAAATAGTCACAATGAGCATTGAAAATCGTCGTTTAGTTGTGTTAACGCAACGTGAATATCGTCGAAAATACCGTGGCAAACAGGCAACGTCTTACAATACTATCCTTCGTTTGGTTTCGAATTTTCTTGAGTACGGGACAGTGGGAGATCGTCAGCATACCGTTCATCAACGACCAAGACTTTCCAATGAATTCGTTGGAGCGGTCAGAGACAGCGTTGCCCAGAACCCAAAAGTGTCGTATCGTCACCGCGCTCAGCATTTTGGCATCAGTGGAGCCGCGTTGCGACTCATTTTGGAAGATGATTTGCATTTGTTTCCTTATAAGGTGCAGTTAACACAAAAAATATTGTCAACTGACCGTCCACGTCGATTGGAATACGCCCAAACAGTTGCTCGCGTGGTTGATGCTGAACCTGATTTTTGGAAGAAAATTGTGATGACCGACAAGGCCCATTTCACGCTCTCTGGCGGCGTTAATAAACAAAACTGCCGCATTTGGGGAACGGAAAATCCACATGAGATCCACGAAATGCCGTTGCATGACCGGAAAGTGACTGTTTGGGCTGGTGTTTGCGCCAAAACCATAATTAAGCCATTTTTCTTCAACCGAAATGAAACAGTCGATGGAAATCGATATCGGTGGATGTTGGTTTGTTATGTCTGCCCACAAATGCGTGAAAAAAGTCTTGTTGGTTACTGGTTTCAATAAGACGCCACACTGCAAATGAAACAATCCAGCTTCTGCAATGAAAATTCCCTGGACGTCTGATGTCAAAAAGAGGTGACATTAACTGGCCACCCAGGTCTCCAGATTTGACCCCACCGGACTTCTTCTTGTGGGGTTATTTGAAAATTCAAGTGTACGCCAGCAAGCCCCAGACCACTGAAGAACTCGAGGCAAACATTCGTACCGCAATCGCCACCAGAGATGCTCGAAAATGGAAAACGCAGCAAAATGGGCACATTTTGTTTTGTCCAATAAAGGTGGCCTCTTGATAGATGTAGTGTTCAAAAACTAGTCCCAATAAATTTTAAAGGACCATATTTAACAAAAATACACGATATATAAAAATCCGTTTTTCGTTTTCAAAGGTATTTCATGTTTACATACCGACATAAAAGATGGCGCACCCTGTATATCTATTAATATTTGATAACAAATTCGCAATCGGCGAACCGCATGTGTAGGTTTTGGGACCACTTTATACCACGTTTTATACTTTTTGGGGATTTGTTGGTGTGTAAATAGAAGCACTATTGAAACAAGACCATTTTTTCTCAAAAATGGTTCATTTTATCGGATTTAAACGAGAATATAAATATTTATCCAGATAAATGACCAGGCTGCTCACAAATATGACCTTTAAACTATTGTTATACATAGTAGAAAAAATAATAATATTAAGTTAGGGCTCGTCCGTAACTAGCGATCAACATGAGTTGATTTTGTGGACATTTTGTGTGTTGTCAGCGAGTTATTTGAGAAAAACCGATTTCCAGTGGCGGCCTTTATAAACGGAGCGATAGTTGAAAATCGTCACCCGAAAAAATAATGAATAAATTCCCCTTACATTTTTGTATACGTTTTGGGAACACCTTGTATGATTTCTGCTGTTAACAAGTTATTCTGTACCACCTAGTGATCTGTTTTAGAGCATTGATGATTTCAAATACGATCCTGTCTTATAAAAAATCATGCTGGGAGACGGATGCGAAACGCGATAGTAGCAGAGAACAGCAGATACCGTGTTGTCGCACTTCACGCTTTTGTTTCCTTCAATTGGGAATTCACATTGACATGCCAAAAATGCAAGGTTTCTGGTAATTTCTATCTCATTTAACTACCCTAAAAAATATATTTGTAACGTACTATCCAATAATCATAGAATGCATTTTGTGCAAGTAACCCATTATTGATTTATGTTGACCATCAGTGCAAAAAAAGTGATTTCTTCATAAATCTGGGTATTCAATACCTATGCCTTTAAACGTTAGGTTATGAGAAATTTTGTTGAAACAACATCTAGATGAAAGTACTTGCCATCTTTCCATATTATCGACAGAAATTGTACGTACGTTAACAAATAGATATGTTTTGATGCATGAAATCACCGACCATTATATACTAACTTCACTACACCATACTATGATAATACCAAAATCTAAAATTTCAACTCAAGTATCCCAAGTTTTCCTCCGCGAACACTGGCTTTCGTTCCAGTGCGCATTGCCACTTTAAGGGATCCACTGTTTGGATCATTTCACTCTACCCAATCCATATTCTATTTGCAGATGGAAACACGCTGAAAAACAAAGTGGAGTGAGGCGTACGAATATATTGCTGGAAGAGGGAATCGGGGGGATAAGGGATATATCGAGATGGAATAAGCAATGAAGCTATCTGATGGCGACAGTTCAACAGCTGTTTGCCTGTAAGCTGCTCTCAATAGGCACCAGGCGACTTCGACTTCTCAATCAGATCAATATATGTTAACGTTTCAATACATAATGGCGTACCACTTACGAAATATGTGTGGAATATCACTTCAGGCAAGAAAATTCGTAATAGTTTTATAGTGCCAGCATTCTAGATTCCTTATAGCGAAAAATATGGAGACATTTCTTTTTACAGCTTATTGGAAGAAAAATATGCTTCTGCATCATTCATACTGATTCATGTAACAAGCACTAAATAGCTGCCGTATACAACAAATTCGAGCCAAACCTATATGCCTTAATGTCACTGTTTGCCGCTAAATTCTTTTTTCTGTGACTAAAGCTTTTTTACACTGTATCTTGAAAATATCAGGTAACCAAATAAGTTCGTGCGGTATCGCACATTGCCATGGATGTCGTTGAACGATAGCGATTGTTTGTTACCTGTTGTCACTTTAGTATGAATCCTTCTTTTCTCACATACATGCAAAGTTGCTGAAAATTGTCACATACCTAGTTTTAATAATTGAAAATGGCGACGAATAAAACAGTAACCGAAGTTCTTTACTGTATGAGTACAAACTTGGTACAAAAGCTGCAGCGGTAGCGCGAAAAGTATGTACCGCATTCGGAGATGATGCCGTTAGTGATCGAACAGCACAGAAGTGGTTCAAAAAATTGTCTTCGGGAGATCTCAGTTTGAGCAATGAACCGCGCTCAGGGAGACCAAAAATCATGAACAACGCGGATCTTCGTCAGGTTGTGGACGCCAATTTCAGGACAACGTGCCAAGAACTTGCAGAAATGTTCAGAGTGAGTCCTGAAACTATTCGTTTGCATCTTCATCAACTAGGAAAGACGTGGAAGTTAGGCAAATGGGTCCCACATGAACTGACAAATGATAACAAATTACCATTTCTTAATCGGTTATTAACCTGCGACGAAAAATGGATCTTGTATTCGAATTCTAAGCGTTCGTATCATTGGTTGTCGCTTACTGATTCGGTGCCACACACGCTCAAGGCTTCCTTTTACCCAAACAAGGCTTTGTTGTGTGTTTGGTGGACAGCAACTGGAATTTTCCTTTATGAGTTTTTGGAAAGGGGTCAAACAGTCACTGCTAACTTGTATTGTGAGCAGCTTCAACGAGTAAAAGCAGCACTCATCCAGAAACAGCCTTCTTTGGTCAATCGTAAGAAAGTGATATTCTTGCAGGATAATGACAAGCCTTATACCGAAAATGTGATCCGAGAAAAAATTTCTGAACTCGGCTGGGAAACGTTACCGCAATTTTTTGACACCAAATCCAGGGAGTTCTACAATACCGGCATACAAAAATTGCTTCTCAATAAAAATTTATATTTTTCTACTAAAAACCGCATGAACTTATTTGGTTACCTGATAGTATAACCATTCAATAATGCATATGATGTTAATTCATGAAGATATTAAAGAAATTTATCCTGCGATAAAATTAACCTCGATAGAGCTGTGTTTTAAATAGAATGCCAAGGAGAACCATAAACTAAGCATAGTTGTTCTTAGCTGCATAGCTGTTTCTCTTCAGTCTTCTTATTCTTCATTAAGCGGTCCCTCAACGAGTTGGCTAGTCTTTCACGTTACAACATATCCGAATTATATTTTTTAACAGTAGGTACGCTAAGGTCACGGTTAATTATTTCATTTGTAACATGGTGCATTAGTTATGGTATAAAGTGTATTTGATAGGAATCTTACAAGAATCTCAACGCTGCTCCAGAGGTACCCCACAGTTTCATACCGTATGTCCAAACAGGTTCAATGGAAGACTTGTGCAGGGGTATCTTATTTTCGAATGACAATTTCTACCAACGACCAATGTGTTTTGCTGAAGTTTCCTCACAACTGCTTCCTTTTTGTGAAAATCTGCTTTCTACAGTTTAGTTTTCTGTCTAAATACATCCCACCCAAGGTATTTAGCATTGTCTGTATGTTCTTTTATATATAAGGTCTATTGTCACAAAGTACAGGTAAATCCTAAACATCTTGCACGACAAACATAAAATACCCGAAACGTTTGCACTTGTGTTTGGGTTTGTCAAAATTAAAGGTACATTCCATGACTAAACAATGTAAATACTATATAATTTGGTAAATTAAATTATTATTAGGATGTCAGGAGAAATATCCAAATAATAAGTATAACTACAGTAAAAGTATGAATGTTAGTGTTGATTGTGATACTGACTTTTTCTGTTCCAATTTTGTGGATAGAGCATCTTAGTTGATGTAAAATCACTTTTTTGAGTTCTTTTTTGAATTAATAAAATGATTAGTGGCATTGGTATTGGTATTGATATTTGTGGAATACCCAATTTTGGTTCAATCTTATTCTGTAGTTATGAAGTTACGCTTCAATTGTTTAGAATGTACTAGACCACAATAAAAAGAAATTTGTCTGCAAGCTAATAGTCTAATAATAAGTAACCTCCTTATGGAAAATCAACTTCAGGATTTAAAATTCATTTTTAATTTTTGGATAACATCAATCTTTTTGTAACTATTATTCATATTTGGAAATAATACATCTCAGTCCTGTTTATGCCTTAGGCCTTCGTGGTAGTTGGAGTATAAAAAAACTACTACTGTGGTGAGAGCCTATCTTCACAAGAAAACGCTATATAGTGTGCTTTTTTGTAATTAGTTGTCATAGTTTTTGCCGAATTTTATCAGCGTTTCGAAATCATTTTCGATTTTTTAACTTTTAGTATTATACTTTTATAGAGAATAGCTGTATCATCCGCAAAACCGATAGCTTTATTAGTTTATAAATTCATGTAGCCAACAATAGTTGCATTCACGTGAGTTTTTCAGTTATTGTTAAAAAACATTGATAAAATAAATGACTCAAAGCAACAAAATTAAATATTGACGGCAGAGCATATTTATGATAAATGAGTCGTCTATGGTCTGTCTGATCCGAATAGATCCATAGCTAAAAAGCAAATACCTACTGCAGCATGATGTGGAAATTACTGCTATTATAAATTGTCCGTATATTGATCCAATAAAAAGATTGGGATGCGGTTTAATTAATGTGATACGAGTATTCATGGATTTTTTGAACCGTGCTGAGTTTCCTAAACAGTACAGGTATTTCGTGGCCGTAAAATCAGAGAACGTAAAACTACTAATTATAACGCGAAAGTAATTTTTTTCTAATAACTTTTAGATTCAAAATAAAAGTGAATAAGACTTAAAGCTAAAGTTTCGGCTAGCCCTTTTTAGTATGTATATAGTATTAACAAACCTTAAATTGCGATTGAGCACTCAAGCAAACAAGAAATGAAATGAAATAAATCAAAATTAAAAGGGTCCTATGAAAGTTTTGCAATACAACTTTATTTATTCAAAGTAATTTCCACTACATTCAATAGACATTCCTCCATCCGCCAAAATCAGTTCTTAAACCAGCTCTGCCAAGTTTCACCCGGGAGTGCGGCACACTCGTTGTCCAAAGCCCTCAGAAGGTCCTCATCGCTAGAAAACGGCTTTCCTTTTAGCTTCATTTTTACATACGAAAACAATGCAAATTCACAGGGAGCAAGAACAAGACTGTGAGGAGGATGCTCAATAAATTTCAGTCCAGTAGTGGTCCAGTCTTGACTTTGGCTGGTACTGTTCCGAGTAACACTTGGCTGTGACTGTCTTCTGTGTAACTAAAACGACGCTCCACAATCACACTCGATTTAAAAAATACGGCATTTTTTTCTTAACAGATCGGGATTGTCTGACAGCTACTGGTGTGTCCTCATCATCAAAGACCCAAACTTTGTTTTGAGCCTTGGTCGTCACATCGTAATAATAGAGCCAATTCTCGTCATCTGTCACGATGGTGTTCACATACCGAGATTTCCCCCGTATCAAACATTTTTAGTATCTTTCGGCACCAAGACGTACGACGAGTCTTCTACCCTTCCGTCAGACTATGCGGTACCCAGAGAAAACAAAGTTTTTTCAGGTGTAAATGGTCATGCAGAATTGAATAAATTGCTGAAACATGAAGGTACAAGTTCTCCTCTATCTGATGGTATATCACTCTCCAGTCTTCGTCAAGCATTTTCCTCGCAGCAGTAATGTTTTCCTCTGTTACTGACGTTCGCGGCTTTCCTTCCCTCTCAGCGTCCTCCAGAGTGAAATTACCGTTTTGGAATTCTCTGTACCACCCGAATATACTCGTGTGATAAGATCAATTCTTGAATGCAAGCGTCGTTTCTTCTAAGCACTGGTCTATGCTTAAACCACGCGTAAAGTTATACCGTAAAACTGCCCTTATCTCACTGCGTGACCACGATGCCATAGTCCGCACTGTCAATACGAATGAACAACTAAATTAACACTCATCAACTTGTCTCAACATGCAGCCTCCTGCGTGCGTTTGTTAAATCATATTGCAAAACTCTTAGGTTTAAAATATTAACAATGAATATTTTGATAATATATAGTAGAAAACACTAACTTTGTCACTCCCTAATCAAATTTGCAGCATAAAACTAACACATGTTGCAATTACAGCATATCAACCTATTTTCATTTCAATGCAAAATAAGTCTATAACGCATAGGTGGCTGTGAAAAATAAAAGCCATGGCAATTGTTTTTATTAATCACAGCTGTCAGAATACGCTTAAAATAGTTTTGGGTAGTTAAGGTTTTCAAAATGGGTAGAGGAAAGGTTATTAGTGAGAAAATTCTGTTCCTGATAATAACATTTTTTAATTCTGAGAAATCAAACTCAGAAATTGCAACTTTGTTGGACTTATCGCGGTACAGTGTGAAAAATATTGTTAGAAGATATAACGTAACTGGTTCAGTTAATATTAAGCCAAGATATGTGAAAAAAAGTAATATCACAAATGCCGACCGAAGAGCATTAATAAGAATAATCGTGAAAAACAGGCGTGTCAATTATTTACAATTAAGTGCTCTGTGGAGTGACGCTGTTGGAAGGAGAATTTCGAGGTCCACAACTCATACAGAGTCCCACAAAAAAACAAAAAAAAGAAATAAAAACCCTAAAGTTGCACAACTTGTTTATAGGCCAAAGAAAAGCCACTATTAACTCCACTGCAAAAGAAAAATCTGCTTAGATGGGCTAAAGAACATAGACAATGGACACCTCAACAATGGTGTGCATACAATGGAGTGATGAGGCCCGATTCTAAGTTTCTGTTGGTGACAGTCGCAGAAGTTAGTTATTCGCAAAAAAAATGAAGCATTCCATGTTGACTGTCTGAAGAGACAAGTGAAATTTCCAGCATCCATTATGGTCCGGGGCAGTATGTCATCAAAAGGAGTAAGAAAACTTCATTTTATTGATGAAAATGTGGATATAAACAAATATTTGGCAATTTTAGAAGAATCGCTTTTACCAGTGATGGAAGAATGTTTGACATCCGGCCAAGATTTTTTTTTTAATCTACCACTTTTGAAAAGGGTTCTAGCAGTGCAGATCTGTCACCTATTGAAACTTTGTGGCACGAGATGAAAAAGGTTCTACGACAACATCCTGCTCGTACAATCACTGAACTGAGACAAAAGCTTCAAGAAGTATGGGATTGTTTTACACCAAATTTTTGCCAAAACTTGGTTAACACTATGCCCCAAAGAATTTCAGCCGTAATAAAAAATAAAGATGATGTTACCCAATGGTAATCTTTCAATTGTTGCTTTGTTAACTTCGCGCATTTCTTCGCACATTGTTTATTTGTTCACATGTTCTATTAGTTATATGTATTTTTTACGACTAGAGTGTATCTAAAATGTTTTTGAGAAAATAAATTGTTTTAGAAGTAAAAAGTTTCGTCATGTTTAGTTTATAAAGGCATATTTTGGTACAAATCTTGAAGTGGGCCAACTGAAGTGAACCTATTTCCAATTTGGTGGCTATATAAGATCAACCGGGGATCAAACTAATGCTTTCTGATGATTCTAGTACAAACGTCGTTGGTAACAAAATGTGGAATCCTGATTTTAATAATGCTCCTCGTGAAAATGTATCAGCCTCACAGCTTTGCCTGTTATTTCGTAATTGTAGTTGTGCTTCTTCTCTCAAGTTTCCTGATTTTAACCAAGCAACTATACTATTGAACTAAGACGTACATAGTACGGTCCATCACCCTCCATTAGTTAAACCACAGAATAATGGATTAATCGTATTGTTAATGTTTAGCTAAAATTGCAGCTTTTTTGGTGAAGCTTATTTCAGTGCGAGACTCAGTTGTTACATGTTGAAAACATACCATCCAGGTAATCTCTGAATATCACCCAGGCAGCTTTAGTGACAAGGAAAAAGTTTTGATGAATGTTACCCCTGTGACATTAAAACCTTCAAATTTGAAATATGTAAAACAAAAAAAAAATATTTTAGACAAAAGTATAGATAAAAGCCTGTATTTCCTTGATATCGCTTCATCATAGTAACAGTAAGTAGAAGCTATATGAATTTGCGTAGATAGTGGAACACTAATAAAATGTAAGTATAGCTTTTGGACATGTATCATCTCGTAAAGCACTAATTACAGACCTAGTGCTTCCGGTTTATTACTGTTTCAGTAACACATCAAAGACTCTGTCATAATCAAAAATTGTTCTTGATCATAGAGACTCGAGTATTAGGTGCTATTAACGAGAGTAGTATAACACACACTAGAGCCTGGGAAAATTTTGCGGACTGAGGGAAGACGCGGTATCCTGCAGCATCACCCGCTGGATCACCAGCACACATCAAATGATGTCTCCCACCCTCCGCAATTTTGTTTCAGTTTCGAGCAACCAGATAGAAGAAGCATATTCTATGAGGATCAAGTGGCTGGAAGAAGAAGCAACCATAAATGGCGGTCTTAAGACTTACGATACCTCACGTTATTAAACTATTGGTCTTGTATTATTCACATAACATACTTCTGAAATACTGACTCTGGTATAATAATTAATTGGAATTTAAATAGAACAATTTTCATAACATAACAGTGGCATTATCTATATTGAAGGATACTATAGTATCATTCCAAAGTACCCCGCCAAGTTCGTAAAACATTACACTATGCAGTTACTCAAAAACGGAGGTACACTTTTCCAGGTATAGGTTGTACATTATATACTATTAAGTCTAAATCTGTAACTCTCAAACCACTATAATCACTACGATACGGGCAATGGCATTTATAATAATAATAATAATCGTCTGTATTTAAACTGTACAATTTCCTACAGAGAAACAAGTGTTGCATATGGTAGCGCAGTTTACCAACATGCTACTCTTACACTTAACCACCCATGCAAAAAAAGTTGTTAAGTAGCAGATATCAAACAAAAAACAAAAACATGTTACACCAAGGTTTACTACTTGTACACAAAGGAAATAAAGAAAAAGCGTTCAACAATATAGATAAGAGCAGTCCATTTAAGCTATGGGTGCAAGCAGATATGAGATTTGACGGCTTTCTTGAAGCAATTTAAGGAAATGGTTTTGAATTCAGGACTCAAAGCATTGTATAACAATCACTGCAGGACTATACGTGAAAGAAAGCTGGAATAAAGCTGTGGAGTGATCAGCTTTTCTCTTGAGCATATAGGTTTTGGTATAAGTATTAGTTTATAAAAGAATACAAGGTAATGATATTTGACAATATTTTTTGTTATCATCCAGTTTAATTCAATAAGACTACCAGAAACATAGTCAAAGCGCCTTAAACCGGAGATAAACCTTGTCTTTTTTTAATCCAATTTCTAGTAGTAGTTAGTTTAAAATTGAAAATTGCTTTATTGACATATAGTAATCTCAGTGTCAAGTAGGTTTTCTTCAAAAGATTTCTGACCTGACTGGTGAATCTAAGTTTGGAATCGATTACCACGCCAAGAATTTTAACCTCGTCAACCGGGTACAGTCTTTGAGATCCAATTTTAACAGTTAATTGACCTTTAATTTCTTCTCTTCTACGATCCGAACAAAAAAATAACAGGCTGGATTTACCGGGATTTATTAACAGGTTGTGGTTATTTGAGAAGTGATACACTTTTTAAATATCATGTTTATTGATGTCTGTGCCATTTCCATATGATCAGTATCAAAATAGTGGACCAGTTGGGTATCGTCCGCAAAATACTGGAGTTCACAGAAACTCACAGCCTTAGGCAGATCGGCAATATATATCAAAAACAACAAGGGACCCAAAATAGACCCCTGAGGTACTCCAGACATGAGAAAGTAGATTTATTGTTATCAATTGATACACACTGGGATCGATTTGATATATCATTTCGGAAAAAGTTCAATGTAATTGGATCCATCCCATAAAACTTCAACTTTGCTATTCACAACTCATGATTTATTTTGTCAAATGACTTGGAGTAATCGATTGACATCAGTGCTACGTCCATTTTTTATCAAGTGCTCTAATAATATTATCAGCCAAGTTTAAGAGGGAAGTAGTAGTACTGAAATATTTTCTAAAAGCAGACTGATTAGATGGGATGATATGTTCCTCTGCATAATGCATTAGTTGTATGTGAGCTGCCTTTTCAACTATCTTCGATAAAAATGGCAATAGGCTTATGGACTTATATCAGCAAAGTCATCTGGATTTGATTTTTTTGGAACTGGTACCACAATTGCTCGCTTCCATGATTCAGAGAAATAACCTTTTTCAAGGCAACTATTAACAAGGTGGGTGATGTAGATAGGAGTAACAGGCAGACTGAGCTCAATCATAGACAAGCTCAGCCCATCAGTACCTTTTGCATCGGACTTAAAACTAGAAATTATTACAGCTACTTCATGAGGCTCTAGAAGCCTGAAAGAAAATTTGTTAATATGAGGAACATTTTCGTTATAATACCTTATGAGATATGGTTACGCCCATTGCTTAACTCCCTAATACGACACCTCGCATAGCTATATAGATAACAATTCTACAGAGATCATGACGAATTTAAACCACCAATTGTAATGAGGCAGATAAATAATGCGGTTGAATGTCCAAGCAGGTATAAAAAATGAATAATGGATGGTAAGCATTTTTATGGATTATGAAAATGAAGAACAAGCAAATGCCTGTGAGAAACGATCATTTGGTGAGTAAAATATCTTATCAGGCTCAACTTCGTTTTGATGTCTTTCTATCCAAATATTTTTTTAAGACAATGACACTAAGGTCTCATAACAGGTTAAGAAGATACAACAGAGATCAATTACTAATTAAGAGAGCAAGCATAGCTAACTATGAAGCTTCCAGATAATTTTTATATTTAGAAACGACGGATTTATATGTAGCAAATGCTACTGGCTGAGCACAATATGGAAAGCTTCATTTTGATTGTTTGATCAATGACGAATAGTAATAAGACATGTCTTACTAGATGATGAGTTGGTGCCATTTACGTACTTAAATGATCGAGAGAATAATAATTTCTCAACTGCATAGTGAAACAACGTTTGTTAAACAACTTAGCAGTTGACCTCAAAACATAAATATAAACAAAACTGATTTACTGGAAGCACATGCGTTAATGGACAAAGCATCGTACACTCCAAGTACTTCTTTTGTTGGATAATGTAGTTCCTAATCCATAGCTCTTAAGCATTACAATCACCATGACACAAGCAATGACATTTCTTGAGACCTGGTTACGCCCATTATCTAACACCCTAACACCTACGATACCTCCAATGAGATAAATAAGTAACCATTGTACAGATCTCATTACGAATTTAAACCATCAACTGTGATGGGGAATGACAAATGAATCATGTGGTTAAATGTTAAAGCAGGTATAAAAGATGAAAAGATGAATGACAGATGAGTATGAATATGGATTATGCCAAAAGAAGAACAAACAGATGCTTGTAAGCCTATTCACCTTGTGTGCATCTTGCGGCAGTCAAAGTAGAGTAGAGGAGACCGCCCTGTGCCTGCATCGTGGGCCATGACGTTCGACGCGGTGGCTGTTGGCAAAGGGGCGGCCGACCGATCAGCCCTTAGGCATGCTACGAAGGGTTCGTTCGTCTTTTCCCGCGATATTCCCGGCTGCACTCCAGCACTGTGTCCTGGTGGGCCCCCAGCAGTGGGGTGTGGACCGCCACGCACTCACCTGCAGCACCTCGGGCCGCTAGACAGCTAGGGTGCGGCGCCTGCCAGAAAACCAACTGCCGCCGAGGCGTCACGGCGGCGAGAAGATGGGAGCGGTCGGGCGGCGAAGCGGCAAAACGCCCGAGCGCCGAAGGACAAGCGCTCCGGAGTTGATAAAATGAGACATCTGGTGGAATCCGGAAGAACAGGAGGGTGCGTGGGTAGTGCACTGGAGGCGGTTGTCCGTAGTGGCATCTGGAGAACTCAGAGACGAACGAACGCCGACAGACAAGCTTCCCAGGGTTGAGATACGGAGACATCTGAAGGAATGCGATGGAACTAAATGGTAACCGATCGCGAGAAGATGAGACAAAGGATAAACGCCCGGAGTTGTCAAAGGTGGAATCCGGGGGAACTAGAGGGTGTGTAAGCTGTGGGGATCCGTAGTGATATGTGGCAGACTCCGGAGAAAAGGTGGGATCGGTCAGAGTGTGAAGCGGCAAAACGCCCAATCGTCGAAGAACAGGCGTCCGACAGGGTTATTACATAAAACAACATATTATATAATGTCAAAAAAATCGATAAAATGTGAACTTGCCTAAGTAGGTTAGTGTGCAACTATTCATTCCGCGCTTGCTACAAGTAAGCATAAAGTGAACGTCAGCTAATTCCAAGTTAACGTCTTGTTGAAAAACCTACATAATGTCATAAAAACCTACATAATCTAAAAAAAACGACATTATGTCAAAAAAAAGCCGTCATAACGTCATTTTTCAAGTTACGTAATACTCCTGCGGGAGTTAACGAAAGGAGACATCTAACGGACTCCGGGAGAACCAGGAGTTGCGTGGAGGGTGCATTTAACCACGACACTTTATTGCATAAGTTAAGTGCACCTGGTTTCACAGATGATGTTAGGGAGTTGACAAAATCTTACATATCCGATCATAGACAATTTGTTACCTATAACGGCTTCCAATCTGAGACCTACCTAACACCTGCAGGAGTTCCTCAGGGGTCCAACCTGGGACCATTACTGTTTTTCATATTTATTAATGACCTCTGTGACTCAGTTGAATGTGAACGTATATGCTTTGCTGACGACTTAAAAATTTATTCGCGGGGAAATATCCCTGATAATTGTATCAAACTACAATACCAATTAAATTTTGCGCTGTCTTGGTGTGTAGAAAACAAGTTGGAGCTTAATGTGAGGAAGTGTAAAATAGTCAGCTATACCAGGAAAATGAATGTTTGCAAATATCCGTATTCTATTGATGGGTATGTGGTAGAAAGATGCTCAGATGAACGTGATTTAGGTATAATCTATGATCAAACGTTAACTTTCAGTCAGCATATATATAAAACATCAGAAGCATTGCGGCTTATGGTTTCATAGTAAGGAATTGCAGGGATTTTTATAACATAAAGTCCTTTAAGCTATTATATTATGCCAGATCTAAAGTCAAATATTGTAGTATTATCTGGAGCCCTTACTATGAATGCTATAGCGCAGCAATTGACAGAGTACAACGGAAGTTTGTGAAGTTTATTCTGTTTAAGATTGATGAGACATATCCAGAGAGATGAACAAGAAATGAGGAACAAGTAATTTGCTCTAACTCAAACAGAATTGGATGGTATTGTGATATATTTACGACAAATGTTAATTACCTGCTAAAGGCAGCTAAGGCTTATTTAGACGAATAGTTACATGTCACTAATCTATACCTGTGTTGCATTTGTTGTTTTCTTTTCGCTTTTTTTTTGCTTTTGTTGTTTACAAATTGTCCTATAAATGGGAAACTGTTGAACAATAAACCTATACTTAATATTATTATTATTATTACTATTATTATTATTATTATTATTTAAGTAAGTTGCCCGTAATGTACATGGTTTGCGCTCTGGAAGAGTTATCTGTAATATTCCGGAAACAAGTTCGCGATACGCTTACGTCTTTTCATTGTTTTTAGTGAAGTCACAGCGCTGGAGACTGTTCTTTCACTCCTCCTAACAGTTCTGGAACCCCGATACTGGAAAATCCTTCAGCTGGTCCTTTACAGCCGTTTAATATTTTCGACACTCCCAAAAGCCGCGTTGACGTAATTTTTAAACTTCGGGAGAGAAAAAGTCACAATCACTCAAGTAAAAAGGCTGAGGTGCCCCAGGAATGTTTTTATTGACATTGCTGTGTGACATGAGCATTATCGTGCTATTCTGTCAATATTTTCTTCGTTCATTAAGGTGAAATCCTTTCGCTTCGTAGTTCAATCGACAAAAACTAGAGACATTAGTGATCTGATGAACGGTGTTGTGAGTCAAATTTAACTCTTCCTCAGTTTTTCTAACTATCAACCGAGACACATGATACCGGATTCGGTCGATATTTTCATCGGCTCTTGAAGATGAAGGAAGGCCTTCCGCTGGTTCTTCTGGAAATGCCTTAAGTCACCGAAAAACCCGGGGCTCTTGACAAAACACTATGTGCGTTGGCCTGCTGAAGCTTAGCAAGAGTTTCCGTTACACTGTGCCTAAGTCTGAAGTAAAACCTGATAGCACCACGTTGTTCGAAATTGATGTCATTCACATTTAGAACATAATAGGAAAGTGTTTCACAAAAAAAATCACTTCGAACAAATTAATGACACGAGCGAGTTCGAACTCGTGCAGAAGCTGGATCACATGTTCCCCTATCTCTCCTCCAAGCCGGGCGCCTCCAGGATTGCCACATCGAACGCTACGTTGCCAGTCTCATTACTTAATTTATAGACATCGTATGCAATCGGCCTCCGTGCGTGGACGTTTGTTTGTGTTAGCTCATAGACAAACGTGTTTTTGTTTTGTATCACTGCTATGAAAATTTTCTTGACCACATATGAGACTTACAAATTCATGCTTGTCATTGTCAGTATGACACCTTCCTTGGTATAAGAGGGTGTGTTTACCTATTGTTGATCTTCGATATAAGCCTTGCAATGCCTCAGCGCCAACTACAATGTTGACAGTGTTCAAATTATTAGTGTAGTTTAGGAAAGTCAATAAAGAAACGGGCTTCTTTCACCCAATTCATGTGTGTGTGTTCAAGAGCAGCTTACAGCTGCGTTGGGGATTAGCTTGAGCAATGTGCAATTTTCTTTAGGGAAGTGAAGGCCCGTACAAAGAATTAAGTATTAATTTCGTATATGTTTGTAACGTAACCGCTAAATACAGTGAAAAGCACTGTATATGTAAAAGCACATAGGGGTTGGCTATCTATAATGACACCAGGTGAACTCCCAGTCTAACAGATTAGCAGAATCCACAAAGTGACTTTTAGAGATCCCCGGAGAGAACAACTGCCATGACATTTTTTCTTTCATGCGGTTTTTTGCTTAAGTAGCACTTTGTGACTGAGAGACGACTGCGACACTCCTGGAGAACGACTATTCTGCCAAAGAAATGTTCAAGGACACAGTTTTTCGAAAAGTAACGGGAGCACGCCCACTTTCTCTTACTTACTCCACTCCCTGCTTTTTATCTGACAAAATTATAGATAAACTCTACGTTATGAGCAATAAGGAATATGCATCATTTTTGTTTCGTATTTACTGTCACTTATTTACGTTAATATAATACCGTAAATATATACTTCTTTCATAGAAATGTCTATATTTATTTTTAATTAAACATTTAAAATTGCAATGCCAATGACAACATTTTTGGTGCGCATCGCAGTGACGTCAGAGTCTGTCATTTGATTGCATTTTAAAATCGGACTGGCCAATCAACACAGGATTGGCTGGTCACAAGTCGCAAATGGTGACCTCACGAAAATAGAGCTCCATTTCGATATTTTAAATTTATTGCGTACTTTTTATCAATTAATACTGGTTATTTTATATCGCTCAAGTATAAAGTAATGTCGAAAGCCGGAATCTGTAGCAGTATAACCTGTAAATGAAAATAATTAAGCCCTATTTGAATCGCACGCATTCGCTTTTGGCTTTCTGGATTTATTAGATTGTTTACATATTCTAATCGACCCTTATACAGTTATGTTGATTTGCGGATTAGTTGAATTATACCGTATTATAGCGATTCTTTATAAACTTATTGTTATAACATTATATGGAGGATCTTGCAACAAATCTGATAACAATATTTGTCTTATGAAAAATTAGGAGTATGTAAGAGCCATTTGCAAATAATAGCACAGCAACAACCCGGTTGAGAAAGTTTAACCTGATTCTTTTCTCTTGAATTGTAGATTTTGATGAAGTTTTAAAACCCTCTTAGCAATTGACATCGAGAGATACATACACAATACATTTTTATAACAGGTTTGGAAAGAAATTACTTCAGAAACCAATGCAGTGCTTTACTGGGTGTATTTGTCATCTACAATTGAAGCTTTAAAAGGTAAACCAAGTTAGTTCAGCTTTTCCCGCTCAGTCAGTTTATATGCGTGTAATTAAAACACATGTAGATATAAAACTTAGCCTTTGAAATATTTAAACATACAAAAAAGTACTATTACTACTAAACCTTGGAAATAAAAGTTTGCCAAACCCGAGAAGGCTTGCTCTTTTTGATTCTCCATTAATAGTACATCCTGAAGGCGTGAGAAACACAGCGAAACTTATAGTTTTTCAAAATTACAGACTTTCTAGGCAGGATTTTGATTAAAATAATATGGAATTCGTGAATTTAAGTCAGGCAAAGGAACAAATGTCAAACTGCTTCTGTAGATCTCCAAGTTTTCTGACTTTTTCAGTTTTTTGCGACGGAATTCCCTAGGCTAACGCAATTTTAATCTAAACAATCCATAGATAAATTATATATATATACTCCGAAGTTGAGTCATTTATTTTAACAGTGAATAGATCTGATCAAAAGAAATGTTTTTTTCCTTTACCATTTTTCTGGTAAAATTAAAGTAACAAAGTTATAGCCCTTTGGAAGTTTGAGTACCGCCCTGTCTCAATAGTAATATTATGTGCTCGTGTTTGGCGACAACGGATATAATCCGCCGTATCGGTTCATCGCATCGGAAACAAAAAAGCGAAAGAATTTGGAACGATGTTTTTACAATTATTTCATTCATTTGTATACAGTCAGTGTCAGTGAATAGTGGTATCTGTTGCGTGGCTCAAACGAAATAAAAAATGGCACATGTTTATGCGGATCGGTTTCCCAATCGAGTGCAACCAACCCCTCGTGCCTTTGTTAATGTAGTACAACGGGCTCGTGAATCAGGTGACTTAAGACCTCACAGGGGACCTCACGATCAAATACAGGTCCGCACTGAAATACTTGTCGGGAGGATACTTTATAAAACAAGGTAAACATTTTTTTTTAATTTTTTTTTTACTTTTACACACATATTTTGGTTTATCTTCCTTCTACAATCATTATCTGAAAATTAATGACTCAACTTCAAAGTCTCATTTACTCATTTCTTGTTACTTGTATTTATAGACCAAATAAAAATTAATATTACTACTACTTATAAATCACCACTCTTAAAACTTTATGAAATGAATATGTACTTAATTGGCTGAAGCTTTGTGTCGGCCGTCGACGATGCTACATCATCAAAATGTTCTTACTGTTTTCCGTTTTGTTATTTGTACTGTGTAGGGATGCATCTCCTATCCTCAATAATACTGAAACATGTGAATTGGTGGAACCTAAGTCTCCCCTATTATACCTTCTTCTGGTAAGTCTAACTATTAGAGATATAACGTCAGCCTGAACAAATAGCAGCGTACTACTTGTAGATTTTAGATGAGTTTACTTGCTGAAACTCTTGCATCGTATTATCTATTTGTACAATATCTGTACAAAAGGCAACAATTAATAATAAAAAAATTTATTATGGAAATTTTATATACTTCTACTAGTCACAGTCAGATTTTATGAAAAACGTAATCATTCAGCAAAATTGCTATACTCAAAACCTATACAATAATTCTGAGGTCAATATACTCGACCTGATTTCAAACATGTAAATTCACGTGTCCTTTCGAGGATTCAGAATCAAAATCTTGAGATGCATTGAAACTCAACTGTGCATTTCGAAGGATTAATCATTTTTCCGGTCTCATTTTCCGTTAATCAAGTTACGATTATTTGTTTTTTTATCGGTATTGATAAGCTTCGTAATGGTATATCCATACAAAAATCACAATACTTCTGGAAAAGGCACAAATATCAAAAAATACTGTTAACACTTTCAGGCAAGCAATAGGGACTTTTATGCTCAACACAGATTTGGACCAGTGTGGTCGACGAAGAATGTTGGGGCTTTACCAACAATTTGAAAGACTTCAACATTTTTCACGACTACATGAGCTCCAAAGTGACACACTACAACAGGTAAAGGTGACTGATTAAACGTCACGATCAATACACTAGAGCTAGGAGTTTTTAAATAGGAAATAGTTCTTGTGATACAGCATAAAGGTAATTTTGCTGAGTGTTGGTATCTTTTTTATATATTTATAGTGACTAAAGCTAAGTGTAATTCAATTTCAGTTCAAAGCCTAGCCAATGGGTGCGTATGTACATCATCGGAAATACTTCTAAATTCTACACTATTTACGATGGCAAAGGTAAGACTATAAAGTTAATTCAAGTAATTCTACCCCATATTGTGCAGAACATCTTAGAGTGTTTCTAGTTATTAGAACGACCTTTTTTAAGGCCGTATCTATTTTTATATAGACAAACATCTGTGGTTCCATCTTAACTCATTTTATTTTTGAGATACAAGCAAGAAATTAGAGCATATGGAAAATAGACGGTTGTTGGAGAAAAATGTTTTATATTTTTTCAAAAAAAAGTTTACATAAATTATAGCATACTTCATGGAGAGGATTTCACATGTCTATGATAACGTATTTGTTTTTTGTAAACAAGTTTGGAACTGCGATAGAGGGTATTTATGAGAATTTTCCAAAAGAAAGTCTGCAAATTATTTAATTTTCTATTCAAAGTAGACTAAACCCTTATTCGCAGGATATTAAATAATCATAGCAATTTTTTAGAAAAAAATATGATAAACGCTCCTTATGGAGAATCGGTCTCTCAGGATTATTTCGTAAAATGTATAATGTAAAAAACCCGATAGAATGTCAACTTGTTGACAAAGTAAGCTAGTGTAGAAATAGTTCATTCCATGCGAGCATGAAGTGAGCGACAGAAAGCTCCAAGTGGACGAGTTGTTGGAAAACCTACGTAAGAAATGTCATAAAAAACCTACATAATTTCAAAGAAAAAAACAACATAATCTCACTTCTCAAGTTACGTAATACCCCTGCCAGTTTTTCTCGATCATATCATATCTCAAAAATAAAATGAGTTATCATGGTACTGCAAACAGTTTTCCTTTAATCATACATTTTCAAAGCAACTTTTGTGTGCAGACTCGTTACAACTAATTGTAAGTCTGTCACAACCAAGAATACATTTTTTTATACTTGAACCACCACGAATACCCACCACCACGCGGACTCTACCGAATGAACACGTGTGCATGCAACATGCACAAATTCTGGCCCCGCCATAGAGATCCGCGGGTTCTCTTGGGACCGGATTCGAACCCCGGCAGTGCTTATCGTTCAAAATCTAAATGGCTGGAGTATATTGGAATCATGCCAGAAAGTGTAGTATTTGAAGAACTTAAAGAAAGTTGAAGTAAAATCAGTGATTTGATGTGATAGCGGGGAGTCCCCAGATTCGACCATCAAAGTCGTCGGTGAAGAAGAATACAAACATAATTTTTGATGAGCAGGTAGTTTTAAAATGTTTATTGGGTACTGTATTTTTATGTTACGGGCTTTATAAAGAAGAGAACAATTACAAAACAGGACCGCTAATGTCTGGCAATGTTATTGGTTACTTATACTAAAGAAATAGTATTTTACTACGAGACTCCTAAGCTACTTTAATAAGAAATAATTAAAAACCGTTCCCGAAATTATAGTACAATAAAACCATATTTTTGGACCCCTTGTTTATGAACACAACTTTTCCTTACTCTATATTTTTTTAATCACTTCTGAACTTCATTGCATAATCACAACAAAAGTGAAAAAACAAAGAATGGACGTCTGTTTTCAGTCTAAGAAAAGTTGATGTAACATCAAATTTTATTTTACAGAAATGCCTGCATCGGCGATCAGCATTGGAACTAACTACATTGTTGACTACTATTGCAAAGACAACAAACGTAAGTACCTTCAGGGTAGAATTATCACAGTGCACAGTCAGACAAAAAAAACGTGGAGATCCGTGAGACATGCCATGCTATTCCTATGTATTTTTCGATGCTTAATCAAAATCCGTGATCAGAAAAGTTCTTAGGCGTCTAGATTTGAGTATACAACTCTCCAAGAAATTAACGGGTCATAAAAAAATTACCAGAAATTCAATCAGATCACTCATTTGATCTTTTTGTGTGTCAGTTTCAAAAAACCATTTTGTGATATGAAATTGCAATGCTCTTATAAATCGAAAAATTAAAAATAACAAGCAAGGCATGGTTTACAAGATCATGCATAGGAAAAAGTAGATATCCTTATGCAAGTAGTGTAAATGCACTATGTGACTGAAATACAACGTCTTGCAATCAAAAATATAATCTCAATAATGGAAGGTGGTAACAAGAATTCAGATTTTTTTTGTAACTTTTTGTGTTTCTAAAAATTTTAATTTCACATCGTATTAGACGACGGGACTTGAAGCAGTCTTGATGCTCAAAAACTATATGAAAAAAAAACAGGAAAATCACTTAAAGAAATCTTGCATCACCCAGAATACTATGCTGATCGAATCTGCTTCTGCTTAAGTATATCCTTCGATTTTCCATCCAAAGAGTCCATTTTTGACATATTTTTTCCTATTATTTTTTGTAATAAACAAATGTCGGACTTTGATGAACTAAAAGCTGTTACGTATAAAAAGACTGATATTTTGCAATCTAAGCCTTAGTGATCCATTTTGCACATATGATTTATGAGTATCAACCAGTGCATTACGATGGATCAGTGATTAAGAACGTTTGACATTTTACTTTACAGCTACCGTTATCATTGCAACACGTAAAAAGGAACGTGATGAGAAAGTAATTCAAGAGGCCATCAAATCTATCAAGGGAAAAATACAGTTGCCTTCGCCATCTCAAAGTCTCCACTGTAGTGAAGAACTATGATTCCTATGTGACTATAAAATCTGATATTTCAAGATAGGAACAGCAAGTTTTATTCGTGAAAGTGTGAAAACTTATCAATATTGTATTATACCTACACTTTCATGTAGCTAATTGTAATACATTTTACATATACACATATATTTACAACAGTTTTATATTACCTACTAAAATATAAGTGTGACAAAATATCCTCTCTCCGAAAACAAGTTAACTACGCTCATGTATAAAGTAAAAAGGTTTGGGGCGAATATATTCAATACTCGGATTAAATCATAACCTGATTAGGTATGATCATTACTTGTAATTGTACCTTTGAAATTCTATATCTCAAGATTTAAAAATAAATGTACCACAAATGTATGGGCAACATATGTGAATACTATAACTAACAGGTGCAAGGGCGTCGCCAGGGGGTAGGCAAGGGGGTGCTCTAGCCCCCCTAGAGACCCTGAAAAATGTAGTGAAATGCAAATCAATAAAATTCATAGGTACACTCACTTAACGTGCTTGATCGATCATTCCCATTCAAACTCTAAGAGTTCGTGGAGATTCACACCAAGCCGTGGTGTGAACAGGTTTTTTTTTTGTCACGGGGAATGGGTTGCTTCCGGCAATATTAGCTGCAAAACAGCTACAAACAACTGGAGGAGTATGTAGTGGTTATCCGCAATGCCTTCCCACGCTGAAGAATAAAATCCCATAAGAAAATGGACGGGGTAGCACCCAAACCCAAACAATTAAACCAAAGGTACAATATGAAGGGGTACTACTTCACAAACTGGTGTTCGGCACCTAATATCCCAGAATCTGGTGGTTAAACAAATGGCGCTCACACCACAATCTCATGAGGAAAGTGACTGACCATAAACGCCTAACTTTATAAAGAAAGGTTCAATGAGTGGCCTTGAAGAAGATATGTTCGATAGGAAACCAAATAACGGAGAAAAACGACAGTTTTTTTTTCAACACAATACTATATCACTGAGACAGAAAGATATAACACCTGTGAAATTATACAATCAATAATCGACGAAATTTACCAAAAGAAAATCATTGAAAAGGGTTTGGCCTAGGAATGGACACTATACCATTAATAACGAGGAATTCAAATTATTAGTATGTGATCAAAAGGGTAAAAAAAAGGTTACGTTATTTGGGCACGTGACAACATTGGACTTTATACTGTTCTTATCACAATCACCATACTACATGTTTAAAATTTGATGTGCTATTGACTTTACCTACAATTTTTACATTTCTCATTAATCGTATGAACTTGCCCCCCGTGGCCATTGGCTGGCGACGCCCTTGAACAGGTGCGCAGTGGCGGACTTGGCATTATGTCTGAGGAGCCGCAGTGACGGTCGAAGGATTCATATTCAGAAGAAAGGTTCGTCTGGGGGGGGGGTATCCGCGCAACGGCAATTGAAAGCCAACGAGCCACAGGATGGGAGCGCATGCTCAAGCTGCGCTTCTCAGTGCGAATGCTTTCGTGACAATTGAAGTGCGAGGGTGAGATACGTCGAGGGGTAGCGCTTGTTTCCACTATTCAACGTAATTTTCGCATTAAGATTCAGAAATATGTATTTTGCCAATAAAAGGCAGGCTTAGTTATCTAGGGGAGGCGTTCAAATCTTCCAATGCAGGTGCAACATATTATTGGAACAGATACTTCTGGATATTGAAACGTGTTCAACTGATCTCATACCCCTTACTCCCAGCACTCCGGACCAGAGGCTTCAACAATCACATTTTTTTCTGAAAATGGGCAGGAGTCTCTGAGAAGTCAAAAAACAAACTCCGGGCTATTTAAATTATTTCGCTTTTCAGTGGCCGTAGCTATGCCGATGGGTTTTTAAAAGCTATACAGCGTTTCATTTCGTTGTTGATACAGACAGGTAGATAGATGGAAATGAGTGACATGTTTTTTAGTGATGTCTCGATATTATTTCACTTGGTTTGAGAAGTAAACAACATGCGTCATAATACTCCTTCAAATTCTGAGACAAAAATGTGAAAGCATAACAAATAACGAAATTACGCTACGCATAAGTTTCTTATTTGGAGAGGTACCTTGCTGGAGTGTGTGTCTAGGTGACGACGTCACATTACACCACCTACCATCCCCACCACAAAGGTGAGTAAAAAAGGGTCTGTCAGACTTACAACTTACAGCTCCAAAAAAACATTTTTTTACAGGGTAATGATCAGGACGATAAAATTGCTTCTTCCAGAAATATCATGGTAGTGCTGTAAACCTCATTATGATGTTAGTAGGTATTTAATATTTTTTATTTAATATGGTAAAAAGGATCAAAGTATATTAATATTAGTGTCTAATAATTGGTGTCAACAGGAACAGGATAGATTTGATTATTGCTTTTATTTCGATATAATGTGAACGTAATTATAGTGATACTGTTGTGGCTGAAGGTTTGCAAAGATGTCATAATAAATCCGCTATTTTGATCTTTGACAAATGGATATCATATTTATTATGAGTGACCTGGAAAAGGTCGAAATGGCTTTTTTGTAGAATTAATTGAATCTTTCTTTTGCCTATATTTTAGGACCTTTAAACCACTGTAGCTGCGGCCCAGAAGCCGAACTTGACGACCAACCTCGTTGCGCAAGGGTTGTTGGCTACAACATCCGATACAGAAAATAATCAAATCCAAGCGAATAAACAAAATTTCTGTGCTATGTACTGCAGTTATAATATGGTTTAAGATGACACACGGGTTGATGACGTCAGTTACTCGAAGCGCTTGAACGCGTTGGCTTTAACCGCGGTTTTGTTGCAGGTTGTTTATTTTAGAAAAGCGCGTATATAATTTCTGATTATTTTTATTATTACTTGATAATCGGTGCTTGTTCGTCTACAATAATATATGGAAAGTTTAAAAAAGAAATTTTTCATAATATTAATGGGAGAAATGTTTTTTTTTTTTCAGAAAATAATTTTTAATGATGGAACCAAGGCTTTGTAGCTATGACAACTTTCAATTCTTCAAACGTTTCCATATGTCAAAGAAAACATTTATTGATTTAGCAGAAATGATAAAAAAAAGCGATGAAAAAAATATTAGCAAAACCGTATACAGGTGGACATTATCCAGTTAGTTTATATGGCCATATTTTAATATTCCTGTGGTATATAGCTACACCGGATACTTTGTTAAGCATGGAAACTAGATTTAAAGTGCCCCCAACAACAGTGATGAGTATAACTAATAAGGTGATCCACTTTATGCTACAACTGAAGTCAATCTGTATCAAGTTTCCCAAAAATGAAGCTGAAGTACAACAAAAATATCCAACACCCGGCAAAATTCTAACTTGTCACATTTCAAATGATGACCAGAAATATAAAACTACTCCTGAGTTGGGTAAATACCACAATTTTGCGGTGATAACTATGACGTAAACAGCTGATTCATGACGTCACGGATCTTATAACCAAACTGATAACCACACTCGCTTGAACGAATCGGTAAGTACCAATCGAAAATGGTAAATACCATTTCCATTTGGTTATTCGCTTGAATTTGATCATTGTCATAAATTCTTTAAGTTTAAAGTTATCGGAATAATTTCTTCAGATTTGTGAAACTCACCAATTTTAACGTATGTCCTAAAAGTTTATTCTGCTCTACCAGACGTAACTTTCTTCGAATGTCTCTTATGAGGTCCTGGACGGGATTCAGATCAATTTCTCTCAGTTTTTCGTAAGTTCGCCGTCTTAATTGTTCTTCATCTTGGGCTTCCCAGCCTCCATGATAAACTTTCCTAGACAGTAAAGCCCAAAAATCCTCTATTGTGCGAGCCTGTGGCAAGTTTGGAGGATTATCGTTTTTGTCGAAGCCAGTTTTGGGTATCTGTTAAGTAATGGCATGATGTTAGATCTGGCCAAAACATGATATGGTCATTAGCATGATATTCACGGACAAACTGAAGCAATTTGGCAAGGCAGTTATCAATATTGCTCTGACTATTCAAAGCTTCACCCCTCACTCTTCCCACAAAAGGTTGAGATACACCCCTGTTAAAAATTGCGCACCAGACAAGGATGTTACTGCAAATTTCGCTTTATGTTTGTGTCTAACATTATCTTTGCATTCCTCTACGTTGTCCGTATAAACGCCGTCGTTTTCCTTCATTTCAGAATTACTCAAAGTGAAATACTTATCGCCATCTAAAATAATGATTTTTTATTACTCACGCATTATTGTTTTGTGCTTGTTAAAATTAAAGCCAATTAAGTTTGTGTCAAAACTTTGAGGACATACGTTGCTACTATAATATGCAAGTGAAACAAGCAATATCTTTGGACTATGAGAAACATTCTAACTAATTATCATTGTACTCGAAAAAGGCCACCGTGGTGGTCGAAATGTCGTACAATAAACGGAAATTAAAACATATATCCATATATGACGCAACTAAACGCCGCTCTTAATGATTTCTCAGGCTGAGTTCTGCCCTGTCCAATATTTTTACATAATAATTCGATAAGACGCATGGAAGTGAGTGTATTCCATCAACGCTATTTATTAGATAAGAAAGAATGAATTTAGCTCAGTTGTCGCGATGAGGCGAGTGCGATTGTTGTTCAAAAGTTGAACTTTACTACTGGAACCATGTTGAACCTTTTCGAGTCGAAAACACTATCCATAGTGATTTTAGGGGTCGCGAGTGTTATAGTGGGAGTTCTGCCGGCATGTTTTGCACGACAGGGCAGGAGACAGTGGCCGTTGTTCCTTTCTAGTTTGTTATGTTTTGGTGGAGGTATAAAACCTAAATAATAAAATCGAGCTGGCGAAACCGCCTTTAGTAAAGAAAATGATGCCTCAGAGCCAAAGACTGTTCAGAGGCGTTCTGCAATATTGATCTTACAATTAAGCAAATTCATCAACGTCTGCACGAAATTCACCCCCGGAGCTGCTAATTTTGTCTGGATAAGGGGGGAGCCCTAGATTAAAAAACTGATCGCCTACATCATGCGCTGCGGTTCATAATGTGTATCAAATACCAATCAACTTTAAGCAATAACAGTTGAAATGATAATATAAATAATGACACATAATAAGGTAATAAAAATGATTTCAAATAGGGCGACTCAGCACTTTCCGCGCAACGTTATCAGTTTCAAAAAAACTTGCGCACAGAAAAACAACGAATATGTATATACAGGGTGTTTCACTTTATTGTTGCATAACTTTAAGATTCGATAGAACTTTTAAAATTAATGCATAAAGTCTATATAAACATGGGTCGAAAAATGCGTGGCTTCCGAAATACAGGGTGTTTAAATTTACTTTCTAAAATAGTTTTTTTTTAAATATTTCGAACAATATTTGATGTATAACAGTGGAAATTGGTATACAAGGGTTTTTTGGTACGACAAAACGAATCATGGGCATAGTTTTACTGTATCCGCTAGAGGGCGCTCTTTACTGTACCTGTACTGTATTAAAATGACCAAAAATTTTTTCTTAGTGCAGTTTTTTGCTTTTTGAATAAAAAAACTGATTCTTCGCACTTTTCTGCATAAAAAAGCTCTTCTGTGAGTTTTCGTTATAGTTAGCCGTTTTTGAGATATTTCGATTTCTAAGGTTCGATGCATTTTTAATTATTTATGGGAAAATAATATTTTTTTACATTTTCAATTTGGGCATTACAAGTAATTAAGATGATCGTTTAGATTGTGTTTTTAAACACAGCAATAATTCCTAACTCCAAATTAACACAAAAAAAACAGAATATTAATTTGTTTATTTTCCAATATTATTTTTAACAAATTAAATTAATTATTTACAACTAAAATGCTATTGGATAGTTAGGACAAACATACAAAATCTAAAGTAGTTGCTCGAAATGTCAACCCAATTGTTCAATACACAATTCACATCTACGAATGATCGAACGTGGTATAGCATTATTCAAATAAGGCCTTATTTCATCACATGCATTCCTGATTCTGCCTATTAGCATATCTCTTGTGGTTACGGGAGTCTGGTACAATCTTTCTTTTCCTCCACGGCCGATCCATCTTTCTGGATAATTTTCGTCCAGCCAGTTTCTAACTATTCTCGAATAATGAGCTGGACAACCATCAAGCTGGAACCAGGCCAATCTTCTTAAATCTAACATAACATCATCCCACATATTTGCATGGTCAGCCTTTAAAAATTCCAAGAAGGTAGCAGCATTTGACCTTGCAGGCAAAAGGTAGGGTCCAAATAGTCGATTACGGTAGATACCAATCCACACGTTCACACTAATTCATGCTGAAAATTTCTTGCCCGAACTGCATGCGGATTTTCATGCGACCAAATATGTTGATTATGAAAATTTACCATTTCACATCTAGTGAAACATGACTCATCGGTCTATAAAACGTTACTTAAAAACTTCCTATTATTATCAGTTCTATCAAGAATCCACTGACAAAATGTGATTCTTCGTTCTCTGTCTCCTGGCTGTAGTCCTTGCACAGGTTGCAAATGGTAAGGTCATTTATGGTCATTTCTAAGAACACGGTGAACATGGCTTGCTGAAATTCCCAAGGCACCAGAAACTCTCCTAACACTTGTGTGTGTGTCTATCAAACTCACGCAGAATCATACGGGTAAATCTGCGCTGACGAACATTTATGTTTTGATCCCTTTGGAGATTTCCAAAACCATTTTCAATTATTTGGCGATGCACTCTTACAAATACTGAGCGAGTTGGATGTCGTCTGTTTGGAAATCTTCGTGCGTATTCTCTGGCTGCTTCTGCTGCGTTTCCATTTACAAAGCCAAATGAATATCCGCTAACTCTTGATTGGAGAATAAAAATGGCATTTTTATAAAACTTACAAAAAAACAGGTAAAAGAAACTAAATTTCGTGCATTCACAATTGCAAAAAAACGTTTCAGGTTTCAACAAACAAAAAATGCATCGAACCTTAAAAATCGAAATATCTCGAAAACGGCTAACTATAACGAAAATTTTATGTTGAAAAGTGCGAAGAATCAGTTTTTTTATTCAGAAAGCAAAAAATTGCACTAAAAAAAAATGTTCGGTCATTTTAATACACTACAGGTACAGTAGAGAGCACCCTCTAGCGGCTACAGTAAAACTATGCCCATGGTTCGTTTTGTCGTACCAAAAAACCCTTGTATACCAATTTTCACTGTTATAAATCAAATATTGTTCGAAATATTTTAAAAAAAACTATTTTAGAAAGTAAATTTAAACACTCTGTATTTCGGAAGCCATGCATTTTTCAACCGATGTTTATATAGACTTTATGCATTAATTTTAAAAGTTCTATCGCATCTTAAAGTTTTGCAACAATAAACTGAAATACCCTGTATAAGAAAATAATAAAATAGATCAAGTCAGTCAAATAGGCGAATACAATTGGCCCCATTGATTCGCCAGCGTTGTGATTTAGAAAGCTTATTATCTGTTCTCTTTTTTCTCGATGCGGGTATTGAAAATATTTCAAAACTTCAAATATACGGGGGAATCTATGTATGAAATTCATGCCTAATAGGTGCGTTCCATTACCGGGGTTAGGAGAGTATAAATATACTGACGCAAATAATTGATGTATTTCTGCTACAAGCCCCTCCCTCAATTTCTCACTACTCACAAAGATTTACAAAAACGAGCAGAAAATTCCAAAAATTGAGCTTGTACGATTTTATTTCGTTTTTAAATATAATTGCGCCGCGACTAGATCGATTTTCCAAACTTACAAAACTTTTTCGTCCTTGGCATCATACTAATATTGTGACAAAATTTCGCCAAAATCCAAGAAAGACTTTATGACTAATAGAGAGTATAAGGATTAGCGGACAACAGACCGACAGAAATGAATCACATGGTTTTTCGTAATGTGCATGTCATGGGTCCACTACTGGAATTAAATATCCCCAATTTTTAACCTCCTCAAACATTTTTCCGAAAATGATCAGGAACCTCTGAAACATCAGAAAACGAGGTTTGAGTGATTTGCATTTTTTCTTTTTTGGCTTTTTTCTCCGTCGCTACCGGATCGATTTTCAAACACTACAAAGCATTTTCGTCCTTGGCATACTAGTAACTTTGTTTCAAAATGTTATCCAAATTCGAGAGTTAATTTCCAAGTTATAAATTGGCCAAGGGTTAGCGGTCGGGCAGACCGACGGAAATGAGCGGCATGATTTTTCGTGAAGTACAGGTCATATAACATCCAAAAAACTTAATATCTCATTTTCCAAATTTTTCGCGATTACAATACTTCCTCGTCTGTAGCCGCCGAAAGTAAAAACATAATATTCAGATTAGAGATTTTTTGCGATTACAATTCATCCTTGCGAAGTTTAATTGAAAATGAAACTTTATGTGCATAAAAGATGTTTTTTATTGATTGTAATCGAAATCAAAACTTTCTGAATTAGATAGGCGAACAACTCGAAGAGTTCCTAAAAACGTAACGCCTTGCAGAGACACATGCAGTGAATTTTTTGACATACTACCTGTATATTGCTCCTTGTAGTTTTTCTTATACTAGTATTTATTCAAAATATATACAAAACAATATTCTTCCAACAGGTGTTCTTCTCTCAACTTCACTAGTACACATTCTACCGGAAATGAAGGAAGCTATGCCACAGGAGTACAGAGGTTACAGTGAGCTGCTATTTTGCGCTGGATTCTTTTTGTTGTACGTTATAGACGAAATCGTGCACTACTTCAATGAAGAACCTCATGACCATGATGTTTTAAGCAATGAAACTTTTAGAAGTGGTAAGGTGCTATTCTGATAGGCAAATCCAAATTGAAAAAAACTTATAGCAAACGAATAACTTTTATCGTAAGATCATAGAGAAATTCTTAATAGTTTAGCTGATTGGGTTGAAATATTTTATGACCTTATATCAGTATCCGTTTCAGTAGTGTGGCATGGAAAGCATGGGATGTGTCTCTATAACAGACTACTATTCCAACTACTTTTACTACAGTCTCACAAAAAATGAATTTTTGAAATGTATATAAGATAAATTCCAGTATATCAAATAACATTTTAGAACAAAAGAAATTTCTTATGCGTGGATTTAATATAGGTGCTTATATTTAGTATGTCCTCATAAAGTCGCACTTTTCGTTAGCGTAAGAAATCTGGTTAGGAGCTCATTCCAGGCAGAACAAGTTTTGGCTCAGAAAAAGACTTGAGCAGAGGTATATAGAATTATAGATATAAAAGAATTATATTAACCAGTTTGATAAAACCACAACCCATGTTTCATTAATTTCGGATACATTTTTGTCTATGTCGCTCTGAGCAGTGCTACCAAAACACGCTAAAGCAATAAATGCGCTAGTCGTATAAAGAAATCTGGGTAGCATCAAAACTGTGTCTAATATACAAGTAGTTTTTATATCTTTGCATTTTAGTAAAATATTGGAGATATCAGTTTATAAGAAAGAACGACTTCCTGATAGAATATTGCCCTACTTTCTCTAAAATATTCCATTTTTATATAAACAAACAAGTTTTCAAATATTTGATCAAATTGTAAAATCATTAATTTAGTTATGTCCTCCAATTTGTTTCCTCCGTTTGTTTCATATACACAAATCTAATCACCAGTGTTTAGTGGATATAAAGATAATAGAGTAGACGCTGATATTTGCTCTTTTGTTTTTTCCGCGTGACATTTCCGGAAAAATTATTTGGCAACGCACGGATAACTTAATTTACACGTATTATAAGATGATTTTACTGATTGTCTGTAGTACCAATACATCAGTAACGAGCTATATACAGGGAAAACCAAATTTATCTGACGGCTTAAGTGTGTATCAATACAACGCTGTCTGAAGAGCGAAACTCATCAAGATCATCACCACATTGACTAGCGACGGTGAAGCAGGTCATGCAATCTGCCCCTTTGCAATATGTTACACCAGAAAATGTTCGCACAGGCTCCTACAATAGGTTAGATTGCTGTCAAACCCAAGAAGGAGGCCTGTTCGAACATGTAATTTAATATTTTGTTCTCATTTTTATTAGAATTATTCATTTCGACACAATTCACAATTCAAAATTGTGTATGCTCAAAATGAAACCGTTATTTGGGCGTAGAGAATAAACTAAAGCATATATTCAACATGAATCTTAATTCAAGGAATTGGTGTAACATATTGGCAACGCGGCAGATTGGCGCGTCAGCGTTGCTAGTAGATGATGAGCCTCGCTGTCCAGCCGGCATCTATCTCCTTCTAAGGTATGAGTCTATTAACACTTTTCTCTCGTACACATCGAACTCAAGTCGTCAGACAAATTTGGTTCTCCGTGTATAGTTGATATTAAAGTATTTTACATTAAGTTTCACAGTTAGCATAATACATTTCGGTATATTTAAATAGCCAAGTGTCCACGTTATTTAACCTAGCTACCCCGGTGCCGTCTGGATCGTACAGTGATTTTTCACATCCTCTCTTAAGCGAAGTTGTTCATCATTGTATAATCCTAAAACTTTCATTGCTTTTCAAAAATCTAGCTCCACATTATTCACACTCACGCTTAAATCTGTCTCGCTTTTGTTTTTTCACATTCTGAACAAAATAGAAGTGCTAAGCATTTACAGAGGGTGTTTCAGTTTATTGTTGCATAACTTTAAAATTCGATAGAACTTTTAAAATTAATTCATAAAGTCTATATAAACATGGGTCGAAAAATGCGTGGCTTCCGAAATACAGCGTGTTTAAATTTACTTTCTAAAATAGTTTTTTTTTAAATATTTCGAACAATATTTGATGTATAACAGTGAAAATTGGTATACAAGGGTTTTTTGGTACGACAAAACGAACCATAGGCATGTTTTACTGTAGCCGCTAGAGGGCGCTCTCTACTGTACCTGTAGTGTATTAAAATGACCGAAAAATTTTTCTTAGTGCAATTTTTTGCTTTTTGAATAAAAAAAACTGATTCTTCGCACTTTTCTGCATAAAAAAGCTCTCTTGTGAGTTTTTGTTATAGTTAACCGTTTTTGAGATATTTCGATTTTTAAGGTTCGATGCATTTTTAATTATTTATGGGAAAATAATATTTTTTTTACATTTTCGATTTGGGCATTGCAAGTAATTAAGATGATTGTGTTTTTAAAGACAGCAATAATTCCTAACTCCAAATAATATAATGTTTAATTTTCCAATATTATTTTTAACAAATTAAATTAATTATTTACAACTAAAATGTTATTGGATAGTTAGGACAAACATACAAAATCTAAAGTAGTTGCTCGAAATGTAAACCCAATTGTTCAAAACACAATTCACATCTACGAGTGATCGAACGTGGTATAGCATTATTCAAATAAGGCCTTATTTCATCACATGCATTCCTGATTCTGTCTATTAGCATATCTCTTGTGGTTACGGGAGTCTGGTACACTTTTTCTTTTAGAAATCCCCACACAAAGAAATCTAATGGATTTAGGTCAGGGGATCGTGGAGGCCAGGCGACTGGTCCTCCACGGCCGATCCATCTTTCTGGATAATTTTCGTCCAGCCAGTTTCTAACTATTCTCGAATAATGAGCTGGACAACTATCAAGCTGGAACCAGGCCAATCTTCTTAAATCTAACATAACATCATCCCACATATTTGCATGTTCAGCCTTTAAAAATTCCAAGAAGGTCGCAGCATTTAACCTTGCAGGCAAAAGGTAGGGTCCAAATAGTCGATTACGGTAGATACCAATCCACACGTTCACACTAAATTCATGCTGAAAATTTCATTCTCGAACTGCATGCGGATTTTCATGCGACCAAATATGTTGATTATGAAAATTTACCACTCCACGTCTAGTGAAGCATGACTCATCGGTCCATAAAAGGTTACTTAAAAACTCGCTATTATTATCAGTTCTATCAAGAATCCACTGACAAAATGTGATTCTTCGTTCTCCGTCCCCTGGCTGTAGTCCTTGCACAGGTTGCAAATGGTAAGGACGTCTATGGTCATTTCTAAGAACACGGTGAACATGGCTTGCTGAAATTCCCAAGGCACCAGAAACTCTCCTAACACTTGTGGTCGGATCTCTATCAAACTCACGCAGAGTCATACGGCTAAATCTGCGCTGACGAACATTTATGTTTTGATCCCTTTGGAGATTTCCAAAACCATTTTCAATTATTTGGCGATGCACTCTTACAAATACTGAGCGAGTTGGATGTCGTCTGTTTGGAAATCTTCGTGCGTATTCTCTGGCTGCTTCTGCTGCGTTTCCATTTACAAAGCCATACACAAAATCTAACAATCCGCTAACTCTTGATTGGAGAATAAAAATGGCATTTTTATAAAACTTACAAAAAAAAAAACAGGTAAAAGAAACTAAATTTCGTGCATTCACAATTGCAAAAAAACGTTTCAGGTTTCAACAGACAATAAAACTAACTGTCAACTAATTGACGTTTAACCTTATTCTGCTTTCAATTTCAAAAATATTTGCAGGCACATCCTACTTCTAAAAATTATCGAGATACTGACTTTTTAACGTTATTTTATCATAAATAATTAAAAATGCATAGAACCTTAAAAATCGAAATATCTCAAAAACGGCTAACTATAACGAAAATTCACAAGATAGCTTTTTTATGTTGAAAAGTGCGAAGAATCAGTTTCTTTATTTAAAAAGCAAAAAATTGCACTAAGAAAAAATGTTCGGTCATTTTAATACACTACAGGTACAGTAGAGAGCGCCCTCTAGCGGCTACAGTAAAACTATGCCCATGGTTCGTTTTGTCGTACCAAAAAACCCTTGTATATCAATTTTCACTGTTATAAAATTCAATTTTAGAATTTGAAAATCTAGGGTTTTCTACATAAAAAATGTACTCTTATTGAATATCGATAAATTGTGCCATTTTTAAATAAAATCAAACTAAAAAATTTGTCACATGATAGGAAATGTACTGCGAATTTAAATGAATTGTTGAATAATTAGCCATGGCAACGAAAAAACTAATATAATAATTTGTAAATATTACATAAATACATATTTCTATTGCAACATAGTTAACATTTAGGCAAAAACAAAGAAATACATTTTTTCTACGAACGAAATTGAAATTTGTTTAAAAAAAAAGAAGACATACAGTTGGATATACTTAAAACTAGCTTTACAATAAGTGTTCAAATAAATTCCCATTTTGTTGGATACAGAGTCTCGCTCGACGAACTAATGATTGCGTAGCCCGAAAAGTGGAAAACCTTTTTCGTCTTATTTCATTTGCAGCCTGATGGATACTTTGAAGTAAATCTTCTGGGGTATTTACTTCAGTCGAGTAAACTAGGTCTTTTAATGACCCCCAAAAATAGAAATCCAATGGATTTAGGTCAGGTGAACAACCAACCATGTTGAAAAAACATATTTTCTTGAAACTCCCGGCGCACATCCAATGGTATTATATCCATGATCTCACTCTGAAGAAAGTTCAGATACACCTCTGAATTAAGACGATTGGGAAGTACAATAGGCCCAATTACTTGATCCCCAATTACTCCTGCCCATAAGTTCAATGAAAATTTATGTTGGAAATTTGTACGGCGAATAACTTTTGGATTTTCATCTGACGAGTATTGCATGTTATGGAAATTAAAAGCACCATTTCTAGTAAATATTGACTCATCTGACCATAATATTCTAGGAATAGTGTTTTCATTTGCTAATATCTACTGGCAAAACTCGATTCATGGTAAAAAATCTGCCTCCGTTACATGCTGCACCCCTTTAAAATGATAAGGATGTACTATCAAATAGGTATTCATAAATTTTTCTTACTATTGATCGAGGTATATCCATAATTTCTGAAACATTTCGTATGCTTATTTGCGGATTATTTTCAAACATATTTAAAGCAATATCCATACGATGATTTCCCAGTGGCCTTCCTGAAACTTGCATGCGCTGAAAACTTCCATGATTTGACAAATTCCGGTGAATATCAGTAAACATTCGACGTCCAGGTACTATGCGATTGGGAAATCTTCTTTGATATTCTCTTACGGCTGCCAATGAACTGCCATTGCAAAACCCGTACACAAAATGCATGTCAGTCAGTTCTCTGTCTGTAAATCTTAGCATTTTTAATCGATTTAATAAAAATTTCGATTTTAGTCTAGTAATCTTACACTGCTAACAATGTCAGCTTAACGTCAAAATAAGTCATAACAAATCAAAACAACTTTTGTTTGCAGTCATAGCTAACTATGTACAATCAACCTTTTTTATGTAGAAAACCCTAAATTTTCAAATTCTAAAATTGAGTTTCAAAAATAGAATCACACAAAAATTTTGGGGCTAAAATAACCTGAGTCCGTCCCCGTTACATACGCTTCCAAACAAAACTGTCCAAAATTGTTAACATTTTTAAATCCAGCATGAAAAACTAGGCTAGAGTACAAAATTTTATGTCTTTATCTCAACACGTTTCGGAAATATTAAGGGAAAATCATCTTCAGGGGAGCCCCTTTAAAAGACCGTAGCGCCCTTAAGGGACGTTTGTCGACCTATGTTTATATAAACTTTTCTTTCTATTTTAAGCTCTAGAAACCGCTGGTAGAATATTGCACACTTTTTTCGGGACACCCTGTATAAAATGATTCAGAGCGATGATATATACTAAGTGACATATAAATCCGAACACCCAGTTTAAATGGTTTTATTTTAATAAAATTTTGTATAAATACTTAATGAAGCATAATAAGAAAATGATAAAAATTTCAAAATGATTGCACTTTGACCATTAATAATGTGTGGATGCACCCTGATGTGCTACGCATTCTCCAACGCGCCTAGGCATGCTTCTGATCAGGTGGTCAATGTCCTCCTGTGGTATCTCATTCCGGGCAACCACCAACTCCTCTTGAAGTGCTTCTAGAGTCTGAGGAGGACGATGCAAATTGAGCAATCTCCTACCCATCATATCCCACACGTGCTCAATTGGGGATAAGTCGGGAGATCTTGGTGGCTATGGTAACAATGTGACATCATTATGTTGAAAGAAGTCTATTGTGACTCTTGCAACATGTGGTCGGGCATTATCTTGTTGGAATGTTGGATCTGCCAGGGTGTCAAGATAGGGTAAAAGATGGGGTTCTAGAACTTCGTGGATATAACGCTGCGCGTTCATGTTACCTCTGATGAAGGTTAAAGGTGATCTGGAACCATAAGCTATAGCACCCCAAACCATAACTCCAACAGTGTGATGAACATGTCTTTCGACAAAAAACTGTGGATTCCTCCTTTCACCACGTCGCCTTCTAACCCTTACAGCGACGTAATCGCCTTGAGTGGTGCAGACAACGGTCACTCTGGGATCAGGAATGGAACAGTATTGTCTTTAGTGACGAGTCTCGATTTTGTTTAGGCATGCACGATGGTCGTGCCAGGGTTAGAAGGCGACGTGGTGAAAGGAGGAATCCACAGTTTTTTGTTGAAAGACATGTTCATCACACTGTTGGAGTTATGGTTTGGGGTGCTATAGCTTATGGTTTCAGGTCACCTTTAATCTTCATCAGAGGTAACATGAACGCGAGTTCTAGAACCCCATCTTTTACCCTATGTTGACACCCTGACATTTCCAACTTTAGAACAAGATAATGCCCGACCACATGTTGCAAGAGTCACAATAGACTTCTTTCAACATAATGATGTCACATTGTTACCATAGCCACCAAGATCTCCCGACTTATCCCCAATTGAGCACGTGTGGGATATGATGGGTAGGAGATTGCTCAATTTGCAACGTCCTCCTCAGACTCCAGAAGCACTTCGAGAAGAGTTGGTGGTTGCCTGGAATGAGATACCACAGGAGGACATTGACCACCTGATCAGAAGCATGCCTAGGCGCGTTGGAGAATGCTTAGCACATCAGGGTGCATCCACACATTAGTAAAGGTCAAAGGGCTTTAAAGCAGTGCAATCATTTTGAAATTTTTATCATTTACTTATTATGCTTCATTAAGTACTTATACAAAATTTTATTAAAATAAAACCATTTAAACTGGGTGTTCGGATCTATATGTCACTTAGTATACATATAAAATCATTATTAGCTGTAGCTAAACCGTGAGGACTTTATTATGAATAGCGGACGTATACACTAAAAACAGAATCGGACCTTAAATTGATCCTCGTAGAACCCTTGATATGACATTAGAAATTGAAGAAACTATAGCATTTATGGACACCTGTTGCTTACAATCTTGTGATTAGTTGTAATACTTTAATTTAGCACGTTTCGTTATCTTCATTAATGACCTCAAGCCATGTGTTAACGTTGTTTATCATAGGTATCCCGGTGCAGTTTGGATATACCAATAATCTATGTTTTCTGTTTTGATGATTAACGTATGATGAATAAGATGTTTACATGATAAAAATATGGATTATTAGTAATCACAAAGAAAATGATGTGTTGAAACAAACACGGGTATATACAGTATATCCCAGACTCGCTTCTCTATACAGAGATCTCGGCTCCTGCTATACCGACAGCAAAGGTTAAATGGGGAAAGCTGTCAAATCAACCGTTTCGGATTTACTGGCAAAAACAAAATTCGCCATTTTCAGTTTTTCACCGATATTTCCATATAACCAAGTGACCGATCGTCAATCTGAAGCCAACTATCGAAAGCACTAAGTTTTCTCTAAAACTTTCCCCATTTAAACTTTGCTGTAGGTATAACAGGAGCCGAAATCCCTGTATAGAGAAACGAATCTGGGACACACTGTAGAGCAACTTGTTTTTTAATGGACCATGTTGGACGTGAAACGGATGTAGCCCCTCTTGGTGCAGCGTTTGCCACACTTTAGTTTTTGATACCTGCACTTCTCTAGCCACGTCTCTAGTGCTTGTTGAGGGATTCTCGTCTACGCGATTACCTCTACACGCGTGACCGTAACCGTCGGTTGAAGGTTGCATACTGACCTGACACACTGACAGTTGTTGAAGTGGTATACAATGCTCGCAGAATAAGTCAGATTTTGTGCAGATTTCATGGACCCAGTCTGAACACCTCGTATATTGTAGCCAGTAGCATTTGGGACCCTTTTTGTCGAAATAATATCCACCGGATTTTGCACAAATTTCGGAACGGTCTACTTCTATTTCTGATTCACCACTTTTCTGTGTAACTACTTCCGTTTCGCTTTCGGACGAACTTAATTAGATGGGGCACTTCTACGACTTTTTCCTTTGGCAAGCTTTTTGCTATTTTCCACCTTTTCCTTAGTATTGCTTTTTTGTTTGTCATCAATTGTTTTCATTCATTGTTGAGCTTTCATCAGTTTCGCAGATATATTTTTTCTTTGGCTTCTTTTTTTTCTCGTCTTGCTGCTACTACCTCTAAGTAGCAAATGAGTACGCAATATTTTTTACGTCTACAGATATTAGCGCAAAACCCATCTTCTCCATTTTTTGGATGTATTCTCCCGAGATTCATTCATGTTCTGGACATAGATAACTCTTACGACCTAACTTGACCTTGTTTGCGTTTCCTGATTGCATTCTCCTCATTGAGGTCCTAACAGGCACATAATATGTTCGACTAATTTGTCTTACTGAACCACCACTATCTCTAATATCTAAGATTGCATTTGTCATATCTTCTGCTGACCGCATGGCCCTCAAATTTTTCTTGGTGTAATTTCGTGGCATCTTCTTTACTCTGAAAGTTTAAAATGTGTAAATGGGATAATATGCCGCATTTTGGGGTAATATGCTACACTATTATGCCATATTACCCCAAAGTGTGTCTTCCAGATTTACTAAATTGTAAACTCATGATCGAACATTCGTTAAGATCTCCATAAGGGGCATAATAATAATAATAATATTTATTTGCTTTCAATTCAATTACAAATGTTACAGGTGAAATAAAAAACATGCAAATAAATATGAAATACCCACAGAAGGCAAAGCCTGTGCGTGGTGAGATGTCTATCCAATATTCAGTCTATATATTAAGAAATTTAAAAAAAAATTCCTTGACAGTTTAAAAAAGGTTTAAATCGTTTTTATATATATTTGAAAGAATTAGCTGATGTATGTGGAGGCGAGGTATTTCATTAATCCACTTTTTTTGTTCTTTTTTAAACTGCATATAATTATACTGTTTTAAGATAATAGGCAAACTATTATAAAGCTTCGGTCCTAGGTATTGGAATGATCTCTGCATGATATTGACATGAGGCTTTTTTAAACATGCTCTCACTTTATGGCGGGTATCATAGTCATGCTTGGCGTAACTTATGTTTTAGTTGGTGCTGCTTCATGATGGTCTGGATGAAGTAGAGTTGTCGAGGTAACAGCTTAGCCCATAAATCTATACCAAAGATAAGTACGTCTTTTGCCGAACAACACAACGGATATTGTTCTGGGCATTAAAACAAGTTCTAGCCTTGTTCGTTTCAGTGCGTCTAGTTTGTTTTTTACTTCATTTCCATTGATTTTGTTATTTATCAGGCCATCGACACTCCACCAGTTGCAAAAATACATATGGGACATGCCAGACGACAGAAGACCAACCTCTCTTTCGTAATCAGCAAACACATAGTAGACTCGATGTAAGTAAATACTTTTGAAATCACAAATAACCTCGTATTAAAAAATATTTTTCGACGTCATATAATTTCATTATTACTCAGGATTTAAGTTAATAGCTTGTACCTTCATAGATCCGAACAGTTGTTCGGTTCTTAACGACCACACCGAATAAACTGTGAAAAACTTTGTATATCAGGGCAACCATGGATCAGATCCTGATTAATTTTAGAAAATAATGTAAACAAATATTCATTTCCATGTTCCGATTTCAGACATTGTCAAGTACCTACGCATTACATTATACGATATGTCGATTGGTTTTTCATTGAACTTTATACAGTAATATTTCATCATCTAACTATTGTTCAATCACATTTCTACTATGAGTTTTCAACCTATACAATAGTTTGTTTTTCCCATGCAGTCTTTTGGAAAATGTTTGCATCCTGGTTTTAGTCGTTGGCCAACGTGTTTGAAATTCATCATGGCTGATTCAAAAAACTACAGTGGAATGCATTAGAATACTCCAAGATGTGCTTAATTTTCCTATATTTTATTCTTTCACTTAAAGTTCATTGCAGTACAAAATAATGTTATTGACCTATCCTTATATGCTTTCAAGTTATAGGATAGTCCGTAGTTTTCGTCATGGAATGCTTGTTGATCTATCAAAGTTGCAAGTGAAATTTAAAAACATATATGCACGCTTGAGGGTCCATATCAAATGATTATTTTCGATGACAAATTCTAAAAGCTGCTACACACAGTGCCGGCGGCAATGCCGCCGGGTTTATGCAGATTGAAATATTTAGCTGAGCTATTTTCTAAAACGCTTGGCATCAGTAGCGTTCTTGAGCTTTTTGCAAAAATTAGTAGCAGTATATTAAATCCAGAACGGTTGTATGTGTGCTTCATGAAGCTTTTTATATTGTTACGTGCCGTTTTCGAAATAACTTTTTATTCTAAACATAAAAAATGGCATCAAATAGGTTGTCTCTGTACTTCCCACGCAACGCCGTTATCAGTTCATGAACAATTACGATTATTTATGTTCAGCACAAACTAGACCCTGTGAGAAAACAGTCAGTCAAACAAGGCCGTACAATTGGTCCATAGACATTATTTCCCTGCTCTACCGGTAGTGCATCTATTTAGCAACGTCGCCTTAATCTGGACGGACGTGGCAATGTGGTCACGAGCATAGCGTATAGTATAACAGCGTACCAGAACAACAGAACTTACCAAGTCCGGTAGCAGCAGCCGCGGCCGATAGGAACGCAATCCGTTTGCTAAGAATATTTTCTGAATTTTAAGGGCTAATGTACGAACACAGGTATATCTATCTATATATGTAGGTGCGTAGAGGAATTGCAAAGGTTGGAAGCGTATAAATTTATTAACATCAAAAAATTGAAACCCTCCACAATCCCTACAGCCCCCACCAGCAGGTTTTTTTACTCTAATTTCGTTTAAAAATCGTCAGGACCCTTTGAACGTCAAAAAACAAAGTTTATGCGATTTTCATTCTTTTTCGTTTTCGGTCTTTTTCTCTGTCGGCACTGGGATTTCCATAAGCTACGTACTTGGCATAGGAGTAATATTGTGTGAAAACTTCATTGAAATCCGAGCAGCACTACTCAAGTTATAGACAGTTATAAGATTAGCAGAAAGAACGACATACAAACAGACAGACGGAAATGAGTGACCTGGTTTTTCGCGAAATCCGAAAAACATATATTTTCGAAAATTATTTGTAATACTTCCTCGCCAGTAGCCATGGGAGATAAGAAGTTCAGGAGACACTTGACCACTGGAATCAATATGATTGAAAAAACGATTCCTATTTGATCAAAAACCAAGTGGCATATAATTTTTACTAAACATAAACCTTATGAATTCCGTGTTATGGAACCGGATAATTTCCAGACCCATGTTTATATGGACTTTTTATATTTTTGCGCGCTGAATATACCTGAAAAGTTCAACATTTTGTACCACGCTGTCTATTTATGTATTTTCAGCAACCCCCTGCTTACAACCCTTCATTCTACCGCGCTCGTAGTGACAGCGTCCTCTTCAACTGTTGCGACGACGACAAACCTCCAGCACAACTGGCCTGTCACGTGGGCCATCAAGAGCCTTGTCATGCGGCGCCTACGGCAGCTGTTGGGCTATTGGCAGCCCTTTCTGCTCATGCTCTGCTTGAAGGTCTCGCTGTGGGATTGGAACCATCCGCTTCAAAGGTATGACTAACTATATTCATTTCCAGTTTCGCATTCTCGATTAATTTATTCGTCATCACCATCTGGTTTCCACAGTAGGTTTCCGCAGTAATTCTCTAAATTGGTATAAGTATTCTAGGTATTTGCAAACACATCGATGGTTCAGTCAGAGAAAATTACAAAAATTGCATTTATAATAATACCAAGCTGATTAATGAAATGTTCAATAAATCAGGATTACAAGATACAAAACAATTGGTGAATTAGGGAAAAAAAATTAACTTTACGCAGAATTACAGCATTATTTTAGAGTTTCGGTAGCTACATACTGCATTCTAGCATACTGTAATGCGGTTCCGCGTTCGCGTCGACTGCTCCTCGTTGACTGACTTTCGGATTTCAGCAGACATAAAGCAAACATTTGCCGATGTTTGAAAATTGATTCCTTGTTTGTGTGAAAGACATTTTTCAGCAGCTCTATAGATACCCTAGCTGTATGACATATGGCCCCATCTTGTTGAAATCACATTCTAGAGGTATTGCCTTGGAATTCTTGCAAAGCTGGCACTAAAAAGTCTGTTATCATATTGCAATCATTGTTAGCTTTAACTGTCATCGCTTGCCCTCTTTCGTCCTCAAAAAACGGTCCAATAATACCGGTTGACGTAATTCCAGCCCACACGACTAGTTTAGGGCTATGAAGAAGACGTTCATACAAGCGTCGGGGATTAGTTTCAGGCCAGAACCGACAATTTTATTTGTTAACATGGCCATTGAGGTGAAAATTGGCCTCATCACTAAACATCACGTTGTTAGAACTGTTGAATCGGTCGAGCATCAAATTGACAAAGTTAAGTCTGTTATTGGCAACATCTGGTTTTAATTCTTGGACTAGTTGAATCTTATAAGCCTGACTTCTCTTACGACTTATCGACGCGCATCGAAACCCGCTCCATATCAACAGTAACCAATTTTTTGCAACGGAACAATTTAAAGCCCGTGCGAAAAGGCAGTTATTTGGCATTTAAAATAAATGATTTACGTATGAGATATTTATAATTTGGCAAAACTTTTATTATTGTTTCCCTAGATTACAACACAAATGTATTGAATAATTTGATTCCATTTTGACTGCAACCTCAAGTGCTTTCCTTTTCTCTCGCCACATTTTTCAACTCTATCTAGATAGATATATATATATATATACAGTGTGGCGCATCGAAAACGAAACAGACGCATTCACTGGCAGCTCAGTTTTTTTTTTTGAAAAACGCTCAGACCCGTCGATTTTGTTTTCGAGGGAGACACAAGTTTGGCAAAAAATCACGTTAGCACGTGCAGCCCCCTACGCGAGGGTAACACCACCCCCAAAATCTTAAATGGAAAGGGGGGTCGAGTGATACCTTATTTTAAAGGTCTTTATAATGATATAAAATTAATGTAGTTCAGTTCAGTAGTTTTGAAGATCTCTTGATTTAAAGCTTAAATAAAACTAATACATCATCATTAGTGGAGATCAATACATTTGGAAGCAAAGTAATTTAAAAATGAAGAATGAACTGACCCGCTAGGCAAGTAAATGTTGAAAATAGCCACCATGACTCTCCATGCAATAATAAAGGCACTTATTCACAATTCTTTGTCGGAGGTCTTCTAATGATGTTGGCTGAGTAGCATGGATTTTGCTTTTTAAATGACCCGACATAAAGAAATCCAAAGGTGATAAATCTGGCGATCTTGGGAGACATTCAATGGCACCTCTTCTACCAATCCATCGATCTGGAAACGGCTTATCTAAATTAATATTGTCGAACACGTAATGCGTGTGTTAATGCAGGATCTATGACGTCTTCCAGTAATTCCAAATACATTTCACCGGTGAAATTTCCAGGTGAGAAAAAAGGACCAACTGTGTATGAACCTCATGATAAATTCTGGGATTAGAATCGGAGCAATATCGGCAGTTATGACGATTTACTAGGCCATTTAAGAAAAAGGAACATTCGTCGGAAAAGCAAGTGTTGAACAGAAAATGTTCATCGTTTATAATTCGTTCACTCATATCTTCACAAAATTGTAATCGCCGATCAAAATCGTCTTCGTTAGGTTCTTGTGCCAGGTGAATTTTATATAGATTAAAACTATGGGCCTTTAGAATCCGTTGGACAGTACGTAAACTAACACCACACACAGTCTCCAATTTGCGGGTACTTAACGTAGGATCTACATAAACTTGCCCTAAAATCCCCACTTCTATTGCTTCGTTCCTTATGGGATTTTCAATGTTGCATTTTTATTGGCGACTGGCCTAGTTTCCCGAAATTTAGCTACAAGTTCTAGAACATATTTTCGATGCACGTTACTGTTCTCATGTCGCTCATTAAATATTTCTGCTGTTCTATTTAGCGCACTGATTATGTCCGAAAAATATTTCGATAATTTCAACTCTTTCTGCTGTGGAATATACCATGGTTAATGTATGTAATAAAGCGTTACAAGTTATTTTAGCAACAAAGTTTGATCAAACCAATCGCGAACTAACTAAATTCCTATCCTTATCTTTCTTCAAGGAATAACTTTTTTGCCACAAAAAAACGCTCCAATAGCTATTTTCAACAACAAAATGATAAACAAACCATGGGCGTACTGAAGAAAAGCATTTACTTATTAAGTAAATTCTTTTAGTCAAATTTCTTCTGAAAGTAGTACAAACTAATCTGATGTACCTATTAAAGTCTAATTTAATCTTTAAATCAATAAATCTTCAAAACTACTGAACTGAAGCTCATGTATTTTACATTATTATAAAGGGAGTTGAAAGACCTTTAAAATAAGGTATCACTCGACCCCCCTTTCCATTTAAGATTCTAGAGTTGGTGTCACCCCCGCCCAGGGGGATGCACGTGTTAACGTGATTTTTTGCCAAACTTGTGTCCCCCTTGAAAACAAAATCGACGGGTCTGAGCGTTTTTCCAAAAAAACTGAGCTGCCAGTAAATGCGTCTGTTTCGTTTTCGATGCGCCACCCTGTATATATATATATATATATATACAGGGCTTCTATACATACAGGTGTGTTTATAAAAAAGTTACTCAAAATGTTAATGTATATTTTGTTGTTGGCTGTGAACCACAATAAAGTACCTACTATATTTTTTAACAATTTCAATCTTTTCAATTTCCTAATACAATGCAATTATAGCAATACTCAAAAACAATGTTATATGTATACTCAAAAACAATTCATGCCTTACAAAGTTGCGGGTAACAGCTAGTTCCTTGTATTCCAGGTTCTGTTACTACTTGGGGCAATATCAAGCCATAAGTTGGTAGTAGGATTTTGTCTCGGAGTAGAACTGGTGTCGAATGCAGCTATCTCTTTTTGCAAGCACTTCATGTATATCCTCATATTTGCACTTGGCTCAGTGGTGGGAATTATTATTGGAATGCTCATTTCGAACATTCCCGAAGAAGTCAGCAAGTTCACCATACCGATCTGTCAGGTACAGTATTAGCATAAGTAATAGCAATAATAAAATATAATATGAACTAATTGATTAGACAAAATATTATTCATGAAGAAAGATATGGTACAGCACTGTTTTTTGTAACAAAAATTAGTTTTGTAATTTTATCAACTTCTGACCAAATTTTATCTCTTGATGAGTTTTTCTTTACGCCAAACCTACGGTTTTCTCGTAAAAAGAGGACATTTATCTAGTCATATGAATGTAATGTGGAAACTGCTACAGGGATAGCAAGCAACATAATACCAAAATAATATTTTTCTAAGCGACCACTATAAACGAATGACAATCAATTTACCAAACTTAGTTTAAATATCTAGAGTGGAGAGAAATAGATATTATGAAAATAATAATAATAAAACGTTTAGGTCACAGATGTATGTGAAAGTGAGCCAAGTAACGCCCTTTAAATATTTGACCTTACTCTCAAAACACCCTATATAATATATCTATATAAAAATATTGAGGCGGGTGACAATTTATCCGAAGCTTCAAGAGCTTTATTTCACTATTCATTTTGAGTAATCCTTGTACGCATTAATTACATCTTTAATGAGTACTTAACATACTCGTTATCAATTCAACGTGGATTTAATAAAGTAGAGCAATGAACACCAGATTGATAATTACTAATTAACAACGTACTGAAAATAAACATTACAAATTCGACAAACAATGCGAGTGTGTATCAAAAATGTAGCCACCCATGAACGTGAAGGAACTAGTTGGCACCGTTAAATGGATTTTAGTGAAACACGAAATAAATTGGTACGTTATTGTCGCTTAACGGTCTTGAGGTAACTCATTTTTTGTACTTGTTGGTCAGCTTCTTGATGGTCTGTAGTGGTACATGCTTGGATAATATAATTTAAACATTGAACAAACATTTTTTAGTTTCTTGAATGTTCTGCAGACTTAGTCCCAAAATACTGATATACTGGCTTCCAAGTTTTGAGCCCACACTAAGTTAAAGAATGTATCATAACTAAGATCATTTTCCTTTCATTTTTTATCTCTGATTAAATCATTTTGATAACCTTATTTCCACTAAATTCGATGGAGAAATTGGTAAAACGTTTTGTTCGAAAAAAGCTTTAGTCGACGAGTATTTATTGACTTCAATTTGTGAATACAACCATCATGGAGGGTATTTTTGCACTTTTAGATTCGACATTATTATCTTATTAGGGAAGACAACTCAAGGAACGTCACAGAAGCAACCTATAACCTATTACGCATCTATAATATTATAACATCAACTTTTCGATAGATTTATTTTGTCGATTCCATTTCAGGGATTGGCAGGAGGAACATTGTTGTACGTGACGGTATGCGAAATCATACCAAGAGAACGAGCCAGATGGCATAAACAGCATGAGAAAAGGCAGGCTGGAATTATACAATTTACGGCCGTTACTTTGGGATTTTGCTTGATGACGATACTCAGTAAATATTTAGGTACGTTTTATAATCCGACAAAAAGACATACTTTCGTTAAAATAGTTGCATTTGCACGTAGAGAACAGGAGAAGGATACTTTCATGTTTTCCTTGACTCTGATTTGCAATTAATCTATTTTTTTATGAATTCGTTGATTATCCATATCTCGGAAACGGCAATCTCTTACCGGCCAAATGGAGGCAAAGTTGTGATTTTAGATAACTAAAAAAGTTTCGCAATTCGAAGTATTTATTTTTAAAGAAAAGTGTATATGAACACATGTCTGCAATGGCTTAAATTTTTAACGACAACTACCTTTTTTTTCTTAAAAATTAAAGTCCCTGTATTAAAAAAATATAAGCAATCGCAGATATGTATTATGTGTGTCCATGTAAAGGCTTCTTCATAAAACTATCTAAGGAATCATGCCCTAAAATATTAGCACGTCATTAAGGAACTCCCTGTAGTGTATAAGTGACTGCAACCAGTGAATAACTTTTAACTGCGGATCGTATACGTTAGTGTTTGGAAACATCAAAATAACAGATGCAAAAACACAGATATTTACAATTTCATAATTACTTTTCTCATTAAATTTCAGACCGAGAAGAAGACAGATGAAGTAACCTCCTTATCAGCGACGAATTTCGTTATCAGAATGTGATTTTTAATAGGTACTTTTTTGCCATTGTACGCAGATAAACCTGTAATACATATGATACTTATTTTGGGACGCTATACGTGACAATTTTCCATTTTTGTAAATAAAGGCTGTATTTTTTAACACCACATAACTTCATTACCTCAAAGCATATTCACGGGCACAGTAACCGTCGGATATTGTTATAGATTTATAGAGCGATCAGTATTTTTCCAGAAATAACGAGGTAACCGATTAATAAAATTGGTATAAAAATTGGTATTCGGATATTCAGGAAAAAAGTTTCCTAAGAAAATAGCAGCTGCGGTTCATTAAATTTGTTGCGGAATTGGTCAAATCGCCCCCGCACAGAGTATTACAAAATTTTATCGGGAAAAAAGGGCAGAGTCAACATGTATAAATATGGAAAAAATGATAACCATAGATCCGAGAATTTCTTGTGTCCGTTTAAAGTTTATGTACGCCACTGATTTTTGCAAGTGTCATGTTTCATAGCCATACTTACTGTACTTGAAAATGATGCCTCCGAGTTTTTCAACCATGTACCCAAACAAAAAAATACAATTTCGGGCTAGAATCAATTTTGCTCTAAGGTACTGATACTGTATTTTCTCGAAAAACAGTGGCATTTTTTCGAAAGTTTGCCGGCATGAACGCTATTGATATAAGTGCTCTAGAAAACAATGTTTAGCATATTATCTCAGTTATCTCTTGATAATATTCTTTAATACCAATAATAAGAAGAAGTAATTGATTAAATGAGTGTGCATAACGCTATCATTTTAGCAACTAGGTGATACATTTTTCAAGTCTTTTCTTATTTCGCTTCCGACGACAGCGCCATATTTCTCAGTATAATCAAGCCTTCTTATTTATTTTTTTACATAGAAATCAAAAAATAGTATTTTGATATCACGAAAAGCCTGTGATTAATTTGAGTATTTGTAGTTTTAATTAAGCTTGAGGTGAGAGAGGCATAAATTGCAGGTAACAGAGGTTAAAATGGCAATAAAAATGCGAGTAAACATTAAAATTTATTTTGATAAAAACACTTTAAACAGTCAAAACAAAATTTTTACGGGCATCCTCACTCGGTATTAGATTATGCTTTTTATGCTCTCTATTATGCTCTTCTGCAGCAACTTGACTAGATAATAGCATCTCCATCATTCCTTGCAAGGCAGCTAACTCATCAATCAACTCACATTCTTGTTTCAATACTTGCCCTAGATCAATAAATAATTTGCCAACCTCATGAGGAAGTGTCAAAATGTCATCTTCATAAGTATCTATGAAGATATTGGCTGCATCTACTAATACTCTGGTAAATCTATAGTCACTGATATTTCGTATAAAAAAGCGCAAGATTTGCATGAGGCTCTTCTTTTCTCTTCCTTTAAATGCCTTGTGAAGAGCTCTTCTGCGTATGAGCTCTTGCATAACAGATACTGTTACTTGGGGATTTTTGTTTGCTACATATGGTAACAGAACACTATCTAAAGCTTTTGCATATTCAAACTTCCTTAAGTGATGATCATGTTTAGTTTCTTTCTCTTGTGTTAACTCTGGGACAATAGTATCTACATTAAGTGGTTGAGTGACAAATGTATGGCGAAATGACTTAACTTTCTTCTGGGGTGCTTTTTCGACAGGTTTCTCTCTTCTACTAATTGAAACTAAGCCATCTACCAGCCCAGCCACTAAAGTATCATCATTCTTTGACACACCTAGGCTCAGTACTGCATTAGGAAAGTCAAATGTATGCACAGGTTTGAAAGTTGAAATGTCATATACCTTAACATGTCTATCTAAACTACCTGACAATAGTCTCTTATTGTCTGAAGCTAGACGTAAGCAGGTAATAGTTTTATGATGTTGTGATATACTTCCTAATAGTTTCCCGCCAGCTATGGCATCCCAAATTTTTATTTCTGTACCTCCTGCCGAGAAAAAAAGACCACCAGAGGGCATAAACAATAGCGACTCCACAGGGCTTCCATGATCTACAGATAAGACTTCTTTCTCTGTTCTGGTATCATACATTTTTACAATGTTGTCATATCCCCCAGAAAGTATCATGTCAGGTACTGCAGGACACACAGCACCTGCTCTGATGTAATCTATATGACCAGTGAAAGAGACAATGTTTTTTTCAGTAGGTATATCCCAAACTTTGATAGATTTATCATCAGAGTAAGAACAGATCTGTGGTTTGCCATGCATGAACAATGTTCGGTGGACTGGACCTGTGTGGCCTTTGAACAACCTGCAAAAAAAAATTGTGACACATTTCAATATGAATGAAAAACTCAGCATGTAGGTTGAGGATGGCTCAGGTAACCCACATGCTGAGAATATCTTCTATGGAAGAATGGCACAATGGCTGGTTTGATGGCCTTGCATCTTGCTATTGCAATTTCATTTTGCCAGCATAGTTTGTGGATTGCTAGCTTGTAGAGATGTATGATTCCATGCGATATATTTCTAATATCAATTTTGCTGGTGTGGGCATCCAGAGGGGAAAGCCTGGAGGGGCCTTAGCCCTCTAAGAATCTGGCTGCCAACTAAAATTTGCATATATATAGCATTGTCTTTTGTACAATATTCAAGACTTCCTGCTCTTCAAAAATATGAAACATGGGATAAACAAATAGAAAGGTGCACATAGATCGTGGTCTGTATCGCTCTTTAAAATGATGTGACACTTCAATTTGTCTACACCAGTTTTTGGATCATTAATGATATAGCAACATGAGACAGTTCATATAAACTATAAAACAAGTGTGTACCTCAAGAGGTTCTTTGTAGAAACGTCAAACAGTTTAACATTGGTTTCTTCACCTCCAGCACATATGAGGGTTCCATCCCACCTAAAAACTGCACCATAGGCATTCTGTCGAAACCTGGACAAGTTCTTGACTACTAATTTTGTGATGGGGTTATATACTTGCACACGTACCGAACATGTGACAGCGAAGTAGTTGGGTTCTATGGGGGAAAAATCGATGTAGTCAATAGGACCAAATTCTTTGACTAAAACTGGTACCTAAAAACAAGCATGTTTGTGTAAAAAATAGCTTCGTTTATGAGGTGACTCTCCACTTACACCTAACTGTTTCCAATAGATGTAATCAGGGGTTATGTCTGGGCCACTTTTTTGAAAAATCTTTGTGTTCAGCTTTTTAAATGGAGGCATTTTATATTACATAAAAATTTTTACGGTTTATTATTTAAATCAGAGATAAGAAGTTAAAAGACCTAACCTCAAAAACAAACAAGCAAGACATGACATGTGATCTTGTGAACCAAATGCAGTGTGAACTAGCATGTGAACTAGAGGCTAGAGAGTATATAAATCAAATCCAAGCGAATAACCAAAATTTCCGTATTATGACCGCGGTTATAATATGGTTCAAGATGACACACGGGATGATGACGTCATTTACTCGAATCGCTTGAACGCGTTGGTTTTAACCGCGGTTTGTTGCAAGTTGTTTATTTTAGAAAAGCGCGTATATAGTTTCTGATTATTTTTATTATCACTTAATAATCAGTGCTTTTTCGTCTACAACGGGGTATGGAAAATTGAAAAAAGAAAACTTTAATAATATTAATGGCAGGAATGTTTTTTTCTCAGAAAAAAATTCTTACTGATGGAACCATGTCTTTGTAGCTATGATAACTTTCAATTCTCTAAACTTTTCCGCATGTCAAAGAAAATATTTATTGATTCAGCAGAAATGATGAAAAAAGAAATTAGCAAAACCATATACAGGTGGATATCATCTAGTGAGTTTATATGGCCATATTTTAATATTCTTGTGGTATATGGCTACACAGGATACTTTGTTAAGCATAGGAACTACATTTAAAGTGTCCCCAACAACCGTAATGAGTATAACTAATAAGGTGCTCCACTTTATGGTAAAACTGAAGTCAGCCTGTATCAATTTTCTCAAAAACGAAGCTGAAATACAATAACAATATCCAATACCCGGCAAAATTCTAACTTGTCACATTTCAAATAATAACCAGAAATATAAAACTACTCTTGAGTTGGGTAAATACCACAATTTTGCGGTGATAACTATGACATATAACAGCTGATTCATGACGTCACGGATCTTATAACCAAACTGATAACCACACTCGCTTGGACGGATCGGTAAATATCAATCCAAAATGGTAAATACCATTTTCATTTGGTTATCCGCTTGAATTTGATTATGGTCATTACAGTCTGTCTGGATCTCGGTTTTTTTTTTATAATTCGAAATTCGCTTTTGACGTTGAACAAGCTCTTCATTTTTATGATGAAGAAAAAACCCCAGCCCGAGTAAAAATAACATGGTCACGCAAGACAACTATTGAAATATACTCTAGTAGACTCTAGAAGACTATCCGTAGCGAAATTTTTCTGGAAATCGTTGCACACCCCTTAAAAAATGCAAATGAAGATTAGAATACTGCCGTTTTGACGTACTAAATGAATCCGTCGTTACTCCGGGATAGACATACGTTTTGGCAGTTATCTTGTCATTCTTGTCACCTAGATTGCCGCGTTGCCAGCTCATCGGACAATTTTGCTACCTCCACAGTATACTGCGTAAGGATCTGTTGGTCCTCTTCTCTTATGGATAGACTGGCTTCACGCAACCCGACAATTCGACCTCTATCAAAGTCTCTTAGCTGAGACACCCGGCAAATTCTACGCACTTTTGGCATTTTGATCAATCACAAAAAGGCTTCTCAATAAGCTACACAAAATTTAACATTTAACCACCAAAACTTAACAAAAAACCTGGCCATTTCATTACTTGTTATACATGGCAAGATAAATTTATATGTAAAAAATTCTTGAATTCTAATAAACATACGTACCTTTTTTTTGCTACTCAGTATATGAATGAATGAATGAATGAATCTTGAAATTAGAGGCATTCCGGCCACCATAAGGAGCCAGTGCATAGGCCGCTTAAGTGGGCCCTTATGCACCTCTACAATCCTTAAATCACAAGCCTCGCCCTTTTAGCGAAGTTGAGAATCGCCTTGAGTCCAAGCTCCTTGACGTCCTGAGGGTCCAAAGTAATGGATCCCAGTATAGTCTGCCTATAGTAGCTCAGAGCTTCACAGCGACACAAAACGTGCGCCGAGGTCTCTTCCTCTACTCCGCAGCGTTCGCACAAGGGATCCTCAGCCACCCCCATCACGTGCAGGTGACGCCTTAACGTGTTATGGCCAGACAACGGTCCCACCAGCAACCTTAGGTTGGCTCTACCCAGAGATAGGCAGAAGCGTCCATCCTTAGCACTGGGCCCTTCAATGAGCTCTCGTGCCTGGCGGAGATGTCTAGAGATACTTCTCCATTTCTGAGAGTGTTGTCTTGCAACCCACGTCTCCATTTTCCTCCTAGCTTTATGCGCGGTCACTCCTAGAGCTGGCTCAGGACCAACGAGCTTGCTGGCTGATCCTGTTTTCGCCAGAGTGTCCGCCGTCTCATTGCCCCTTATCCCAGCGTGCCCCGGTACCCATATTAACGATACCGGATGCTTCGCTGCGAGGCAATCCAGAGACTCCCTGCATTGCAATACAAGACTCGAAGTAATCTTACAGGCACTTAGTGCTTTCATTGCAGCCTGGCTGTCGGATAAGATTGTTAATCTTCTCCTAGGCCCACCCTCCTCCAAAATGTGAGATACACAAGCCAGAATCGCAAAGATTTACGCCTGGAAAATGGTGGTGTATCCACCGAGAGGCAGAGATAGCGTAGTTCTAGGCCCAGAGACCCCAGCACCTGAGCCCTCTTCGGTGACCGAGCCGTCCGTGTACCAGACCTGCCCTCTCACTCCGGAGAGTCCCCGGCTACAGGCGGTCCTACTCCTCCCTCGTTGGATACTCCACAATAAACTTGCGGTTGAAGCGATATTTAGGGGTAATACGATCACCCCTGCTTAGAAGGACGGGGTCCTCCCTTTCTAATTCGACTAAGATTATTAAGATATTATTTACAACTAGATTTTTCTTCACCTAATATAATTAATCTTAGCAGCGACGGTTGAGGTTTTCTAGGAGTTTTCCTCGCCCAAGTGCAAATGCGGTCACTAAAAAAACATATTCCTCTAATAAATAGTAGAGAAAATAAAAATGATACTTCTCCTATTAATTATCAAGTATTTTAGATCAGATAGTTAATAAATATATTTATATAATAAAATATTGTTTTTTTTCCAATTGATGGCAGAAGGAACGTATTCAAAAAGTATTTTATCCTATAAAACTGGGCATTTATAAAAGTGTTCAGAGACACGTTCCGCTGCATAGACGCCAAACGTAAATAACAGCTTTTTTAGCTTTTCGCTACGCCTCAAATTTTATATATCTCCATTGGTATCCTTCAATATTTTATTCAAAGCTACTTTTTTATAAATTTCTAGCAAAATAGCTGAGGTACCAAAATTGTCCGATGAGCTGGCAATGCCGCAATCTAGGTGACAATACTTGTCTTGCGTGGCCATGTTATCTTTACTCGGGCCTGAAAATGGCGAATCAAAATAGTTATTTGTTTCTTATGCTACGTTGTCTCGCTCAGAAATAACATCTTTGCCGCGTGTCAAGAAAGTGACAAACTACTGTCATCTTGACAGTTGTATAACAGCTGTGTTTTGATTTCCATATGCTGTCTCAAAAATAATATTTGAAAATATCATATTGTATTGTACATCTTTTACTATCAATTTTTTAATTCGTAATTGTAGCTAAAAGTGGAAATTACCTCATAAAAATGGCTGATTGGGAAGAAGTGAAACGTCTAGCTGCAGACTTTCAAAAAGTTCAACTGACCTCCACAACACAGAAGTAGGTGTTTTATTATTAAAAACGCAGCAAACGGACGTCTCATTTTTAACAATGACACTATTTAACCTTTGGTATTAACATTACAATTTTTCTGGCCCCATTTATTATTATGGCATTTCATGCTCTCTCATTCCTTAATTTGAGTAACTTTTGTGGTTATAACATTTATATGTTCAGTATTTCAGCTTACTGGTCACTTGAATCTGTACTGATGACAATATTATTTCGTTCAAGTAAGACTTCAAGTATACCTAAAATTCCTGACAATTTAAGATTTTGCTGCTTTCATAGAAAGTTCTTTCACAAAAGCTCTTTCTAGATATGCCGCTAATATAAAATGAGTAAAGTTTTGATTGGTGATATAAGAACCTTTTTAGTTTATCAAAGGCCTTACCTGACCTTTCTGATATAAGTACAGGGTGACTTTGAAGTTGAGTCATTAATTTTCAGATAATGATTGTAGAAGGAAGATAAACCAAAATATGTGTGTAAAAATAAAAAAAAAAACTAAAAAAAAAAATGTTACCTTGTTTTATAAAGTATCCTCCCGACAAGTATTTCAGTGCGGACCTTTATTTGATCGTGCGGTCTTGGAGCACCGGCATGCTCTCCCCTGTGAGGTCTTAAGTCACCTGATTCACGAGCCCTTTGTACTACATTAACAAAGGCACGAGGGGTTGGTTGCACTCGATTGGGAAACCGATCCGCATAAACATGTGCCATTTTTTCATCCGTGATGCCGCGTAAATAAGAATCATGTCCACAAGTTCAGCATTTTCGTAAACATGTGCCATTTTTGATTTCGTTTGAGCCACGCAACAGACACCACTATTCACTCACGCGTTACCGACTGACACTGACTGTATACAACTGAATAAAATAATTGTAAAAACATCGTTCCAAATTCTTTCACTTTTTTGTTTCCGATGCGATTAACCGATAAGGCGGATTAAATCCGTTGTTGCCAAACACGAACACGTAATATTATTATTGAGACAGGGCGGTACTCAAACTTCCAAAGGGCTATAACTTTGTTACTTTAATTTTACCAGAAAAATGGTAAAGGAAAAAACATTTCTTTTGATCAGATCTACTCACTGTTAAAATAAATGACTCAACTTCGAAGTCACCCTGTATATATTGTGGTCAGTGATGGGTGCTCATCATTTTCACTAATAATTACATTTATTAGGAAAATCAAATATTTTCTAACTCTATATTGTAGTTTTTGACACTATATGTTTTTATCAAACCTTGATATTGCATCCATTTTAAATGCAATGAATGTTTTGAGAGCTAAATTAATGTTTTGGCTTTCATGGTCTGTAGGATATAAAGCTTTTAGGGTCAAACCATAGCAATGTTTCAGTTTTTTATGATTTAACATTTAGCACAAGATTTTTATTGTGAACTGCTGTTGCAATTTACCATTGGTGTACATGCAGATCTTCCCTCCTATAAATTATAGGCATAACTAAGTCTTGTATTGTTTTGGTAGATGCAATCCACCAATTTTGGTTGTTTACCTATTTTGCAGATTATCTGAGAGAAACTGTATAGAAATAGTATCATGGCTGATAGACAGAAAAATGGTAGATTTAATATTTACCAGTGATGGTAAGGAATATTTAACGCCCACTCAGCTAATCAATGAAATCAAAGGGGAATTGTATGACCAAGGAGGAAGAATCAACTTGGTAGAACTAGCTAAGAACATTGGTGTCGATCTTGCTCATATCAATGCTCATCTCAATGAGGTGTGTTAGGAAATTTAAGTATAATCATTTCAATAGTATTAAATGAGTCAGTCTTCAAATGCACTGAAACTAATCTTGGATATCTGTTATAAAGGTAGTTTGCCTCCAGCAATCTTCAAGACTGCATTATGTATATTCTTTAACATGTATTCCTTAGTAGAAAATATCCTTGGAAGTAATCCTATTTTAATTTTTTGTTTTCTCTATTGTATATGCCCTACATCATATAAAATACTTGAAAAAACAAAAAAATATGCATGGTACTGTATAGTACAAAATATAAACTTCATTAAAGGTTCAATTTGAAAAGGTATGCAAATGCTATGTTAAATATAGACATCATAAGTTAGGTATTCATATTATTCATCAAGATAGACAAATTAAGTAACTATTATCAGTTTGTAATTCCTCCACAATAATTATGCATTTTTTGCAAAAGGTACTGAAAGGACAAAAGGACATACAGCATGTTCTTGGTCAACTAATTGATCATTCTTACATATCAAGAGTTGCTGGTGAGATCAATGAAAAATTACAACAACAAGGTCAAATAAGTATTGGTGACTTAACCATCCATTATGACTTGCCAGCAGAGTTTTTGCAACAAATTGTGGATAAGAATCTTGGAAAGGTTGTATTTGGAAAGCAAGATAAAAATGATCCAAGAATTTACTATACAGGTATACAATACAGATATGATAAACTTTTTGTGCAAATTCAGTGAATGTAATTATAGGAAGTGCGAAAATATTATACCAACTAAATTAACGCATAGTCTAAGGTAGGGCAGTTTTCATTTTTCCTTTTTTAGAACAAAGATGTATCTAGCTCGAAAAAATGCAATTAGATGCGCGTACAAATTACTAAAAAAACACTTACTGAACAAATTAAGATAAATAAATTTATTGTTATGTTTTTCCTTTTGTAGGTGTTCCTGCGCTGTGAGGTTAAGTGGTAGAGTAGCCAGCTGGCTAAACTTCGCCTCGCAGTGTAGAGGGATTAATAAAGACATTATTATTATTATTATTTCTCTAATTTTCTCGAAAACGACATTAAAAAAACAAACAACAAAATAAAGGACCTTGAAACACCTTTCAAACAAGCTATTACTCGATACCCCCTGTCATTTAAAATTTTTAAGGAAATGACCCTGTTGGCCCCAGGGTGAAAGGGGGTGAAGTAGTTTTTGTCCCCCTTGACAAACCTCGGCGTTTTTTCTTTTAATGTGGTTTTCGATAAATCTGTGATGGGAATTTTTCAAATGAACACCCTGTATAATGATGCTTCATTCCCCAGAAGGATCCCCAGATTAACATAACTTACATCAGGATTTTCATTTTGAAATTGTACAGATAAAATGTCTCAATATTTGCACATGCCACACCAATATAAATCATTCGTTAGAATCGAATGTCTAACCAAACAAATTATTTTCAGAGTCATTTATTGCCAGGACTAAAGCTAAAATACGTGGAGCTCTGGCAGGCTTAACCAGGCCCACACCTGTGGCTTCCATTTTGAATCAAGTTGATGTTAATGAAAAGATGTTTTTCTCTTTGTTTGACCAAACCTGTATGTATGGTACATTAACAAGCAGGTTGCCTGGTGCTCAGTACATACCTAATGTTTACGCACGATCACAGGTAAACACAGTGTTAACTTATTATGATATTGAAAAATGTTATTTAGCAACACATTTTCTTTTTATCACTGATATTTCCAAATTTCAAACCGCAACTGCGTCACGTAACAGAAACTCGCCTGCATCATGGCCAAATTTTCACGCTACTGTTGGCCAGTAAGCTGGGCGTGCAACAATAAACCAATGGAAGAACAAAAATCGAGCGACCGTGTTTGCAAATGCGATTTGAATAAGGAGTATGTTATTATATAACTTTGATTTCAGAACGAATGGGTTAGCAATTTCTACAGACAAAATGGCTACCTGGAATATGACGCCCTGAACCGCTTAGGTATAACTGACTATAAGCAGTATATCAAGAAACAACTAGTTAATGAAGAACTTCATTACCTGAGCTCCTGTATTATTTCAAAGTAGGTTATATTATTTTTTGGAAGGGTTTATATGTTAATAGGCAATAAGACTACAGGCGGTGGGCGATCTGTCTGTTTCTGCCGATATGCCAACGAAATTTACTGTACCTACTGATTCCTCCTTCGTGATACGACCGGCCTGTTTAGCGAATCCGTCAGGTTTCTGCTTCCCATTGTCACTCTGTCAACCTCTGAAGGTCGAGAACTGTACAACTGCACCTTTGTTCCCAGACAATGAACAGTATGTCGGAAAAGACACTTCCCGAATCTTATTCAACCTGAAAATCAGATATCTTTGCTAGCCATTTTTGATACACGCACTTCAGTAGGTGGCGTCGTAGTAGTTGTTTAAAGCATATGTGTCCAATTCATCATCGAGCGCTACACGATTCCACAACGCGTCCGTATTCTTAAAACGTTTTACTTAAAGAGTCGATTGTTGCAACGATTCGGTAGCTACAAGATTTCGGTCGAAATAACGTGCCTAGTGTCAATACTATTCGTCACGTGACGCTGCAGCTAATTCTCTTACTACACTGGCGAGCGCTACCGTGATATGGAGCAACTTGTCATACAGCTAGGGAAACAATGAATCTTTTGCGAAAAATATTCCCGGGACGTTTAATTTCTCGATTTGCTGATGTCAACTGGCCACCAAAATTAGGGTTTATGCCAAAAAACCAAATAGGTACTGTAGAGCAGCTGAAGAACAGTATTACGGAAGCGATTGAAAATATTCCTACCAAAAAGTGATGGAAAATGTAATCAAGAGGGCTCAGGTTTGCGCGAATTCTAGAGGCGGACATTTGTCTGATATTATTTTTCATACATAATTCCTAAATTTCAATAAACCATTAAGATGAAAAAAATTTATGTCTTTCATTTCACAAATATTCAAAATACAAACCAGTCAGTTACATATCGGCCACCCTGTATAAGCTGTACTTTCGCAACTGTTCCGTTACAAAAAAATTGCGCCAAGAAGGTCGTCCCTGCACTTTCCACGCAACGCCATCATCTTTCCATAAAGTATTAAGTTCTGCAAAAGTTAAACTCTCGGAGAAAAAAATTAGTTATGATCATGTAGAACAGGGAAATTAAACGAATCAAGTCAATCAAACATTAAAATGTTCAATAAAATCGGCAATTGCCAAAGTAACTTTTTCATTACTTTGAATATCGCATATCTTTCTCAGAAACCAATATCCTTCACACTAATGCAAAACGGATGACCTATACTTTACATTACTTCCACGCGGGCGAATCTGCGGGTTAGGTTGATTATTTATAAGTAACTACGATGTGCATTTCAAATCTAAAAGTGGTTTTTAATGTATTTTTCAATCCATTGTGTGGTTGCTGATAAAGTCAAGCGAGTTTCAAGGTACGTACCATGGTGTTATTCGTGTTTGACGGCAAAAATAAATATGTTACTAAAATCCATCACAAAATACAAGGCCGAAATTGAACTCCTTAGATCTCCTTCCGCTTTGAAGATCTCATTCTCGGAAAAAAGAAAGTAATTATTCTAGCAAAAACAGATAAAATTGGTTTACTTAAAACAAAACGACAACATATTTTGTCTACATATCTATTCGTTTACCAATAAATTTCAGCAAATGTCTGACCATTGATCAAATGATCCGTCAATACGGTGAATCCACAGACAGTTTCACTAGAAACTAGAATAAAGTCATGTATTCATGTCTCATTTATTCCCGTCAAAATAAACACCAGCGCGCGATGTCCAAATAAGCTCGCTCCTATTGGTCATAAATGCCTGAGCAGGCAGAGACAAGTGAAAAGAACCGAAGAGAGAGTGCTCATGTTTGTTTTGACACGGAGCGGATGAGCTTCAAATACACAATGGGTAGATTCGAGCAGGCAATCTGAAACTGTAGATGTCTTTAATTGATTTTCGGTCGTCAGGTCCATCTTAGAACGAGTACAAGCGGACATAGATGAATGCATAGCAAGCAAGAGCTACACCGACCTACAAAGCAACCTTCCCTCTGTTTTCAATGAAAAGGATATTGAAATGATTCTTAACGCTGCTCTTACTAATCAGCAAAGGCAGCAAATTTTGGTAATTGAAAGTTATGTAATCAGCAAAGCGTTCGTGGAAAAACTGGCTGATAGTTGTGACGAATTAGTGAAGGCAAACGCAAAAGCTACAGTGGAGTCTGGGAAATACCAGGAATATCAAATCAGGCGAGTACAATGTACTTGTATATTAGTTTCATCTTTCTATTCACAGTGTTACAGATTTACACAATTAGACAAGTAATTTTGTATGAAAATGTTCTGTTTTTGAGCATTTGTAACTTTAAATACGACCCCTCTTAAGAAAAATAAGCTAGTGAAAATTTCGCCCTTGTATTGACTCATAGCCACGCATAGCATAAGTCGAGAACAATGTTGCCACGCTTCATTATATTCTTTACTAACATCAGGAATTCATTTTGGATAAGGCAAAATATTAGAAGAAAATCGCAAACTTATGACCATATACGAACTATTACCAAAGATGTATATTATAGTCATATTTTTTATTAAAGTTGTGATAATAGGTATATGACACAGAACTATGATTCATCACTTTCTGCTATTGGTACACCTGTCCAGGTGCAATTCAATCTGGCAATTGCAGGTCGGTTTGAAAACGATGGGTATACCTGATGTTTCACAAAATGCATGTTTTAAAAAATCGAGTAAACATTTCTATAAGTATGGAGAATGTGCTTTAATATACTAAGATACAGGGTGTCCAGTGGAAAAGTTCACATTTCAAATTTGAATTAGGCGGCAACCGTATATGCGAGGAAGTAGGGAGAGATCATGATCCACGCGTTCGGCGTGCTGGTTAAATAGTCACAATCTAACGTTGTTCCGGAGTGTAACGTGCTGTTACTATCGAGGCTTACTTTAAGAGTGGTGATTCATACGCAGCTGCCCTTCGGAAATTTTGTACACGATACAACATTCGGCGACCAAGAGATGCCCATTCCTGGCCCACACCTACTGTATCAACAGAAGAAACTGTGCGTCGAGTGATTTGGTCATTGCAAATCGCCCGCGTTCTGTACCGAAGCATTCCGCTGCTTTGGGAATCCCTAGGTCAACACTGCATTGCACAATGAAGAAAAAATGGTTTTTCATCCTTATAAAATCCAATCGGTCCATGCTTTAAAGGAAAGTGATTACGTATTACGCAAATCTTGTGCTGAACGGATGTTGAATCTTTTTCCTACGCAGCGCATTCTCGAGAACGTTGTTTTCAATGACGAGGCCAATTTTCGCTTAGACGGTTATGTGAACAAGCAAAATTGCAGATATTGGGCATCAACGAACCCAAAAGAGAAACATCAACAACAGCTACATATTCCAAAGATGACTTTTGGTACGCCATATCCTCTAGCGGTATTATTGGGCCGTATTTCTTTGCAGATGAAAACGGTCATGCATTGACAATCAATTCCGAGCGATACATGATTGACACTTTTTGCTCCTTTTGAAAGAACAGAACGTCGATTTAACAGAAACACATGGTTTCAACAGGGTGGGGCCATTGCCTATACTTCCAGAGAAACGTTGGACACGGTGAAAGCACTTTTTCCTCAAGAGGTTATATCGAAGTTTGGAGACATTCTGAAGTCAAAAATGTATTCCAAGAATCCACGAACACTGGAGGAGCTTAAAGACAACATTCGACAAGAAATAAACAACATCACTCCGGAACTCTGTGTTTCAGAATTTGCGTGCGCGATTAGAAGAGTGTGTACGAAGGCATAGCAATGATATTTAAGAAATAAAACTCGCCGAATTTACGAATATGCTGTTAGTAATAAATATTTTCTTTTAATTAAGTTTATTTTTTTTTTCTTAAATCAAAAAGTGGACTTTCCCACTGGACACCTGGCAAATATGAACACAGAATAATGTTCACTGATCTTGAATGCAATAACTTATTTACCCTTGAAGTTCCGTCTTTTTCAACCTCTGCATGACAACTAACTTCAGTATTTTTTTTTCTCTCGCCCAGAAAATCCGAAAAAGGCCAGTAAATATTGATCGTGACATACTATTCAAAAACATAAAAATGGAAGGTTTTGCAAAGAGGTCGTTATATTTTCGCGCCTTAAAATTACTTTCATCATTCAAAAGTCAATATTCAGATGTTTTGTTTTTCTATAAAGCTTCTCATCTGAGAAGCCAGAAATCAAGAATACGCTGTTTAGACAGGTTCAGCATTCAAAGAACAAAGTCATACACTGGAAAAAAATTACTTTCTTCATTTGAAAGTCAATGTTCATGTTTTGTTTTTTCATAAAGCTTGCACTCTTCTCATCTGAGAAGCCAGAAATCGGATGACGCAGATGATAAGGTTGACAAACGTGAGGAAAGGCGGAAGAAAGCTGCAAGCGGTAAAAGTGGAGGAGGTACACAAGGCAGAGAAACTAAAACGAGATCCACAAAGAAATTTAACAGAGGTGGAAATAAAAATATTGCCGAAACGGATGACGATGATGACGTACAAGTGAAGAAAATGGTTCTTGAGGTCGTAGCTGCAGATGAAGTTAGAGGTATTACGAGATTACGTAAAGTTGTTTCAATTATAGCAGGCTCCTCTTTAAAAAAATGCATATATATTGTGATGACCTCCACATATACTCCCATCGAATTCATAGATTTTTCTAAAGCTCTAATTCGCACTTGTCATGTATTACTTTTTCCTCTCTGACTTTCCCAAAAAATGGGTTTTCTCATTCTTTGTTGATAAATAAAAAGCATTCCCACAAAATTTGGTGTACCCATTTTATGCGTCCATGTTTTAAATACCCCCTTGAACAGCTTGCATCAATAAAACCAGACTTTACAATTATTTCGAAAACCTACGGTATTTTCGTTTAATATGATTGGACTATCGATACCCTATTTCACGAGTATTCATCACGGTATAATGACAGCCGATTATCTAGTAATATCTCAAAATCCTCCATAGCAGCACGGAACACATAATACTGACGGATCTGTCAATGTCGGCTAGTCAGAGCCGTATTTTATTTTGGTTTTTTGTTCGCTACAGATTCATTTTGTACTTGCTAACAGTTTTTTTAGTTAAAAAAGTTCATTTACATACGAAAAACAAAACGCTACAGACAAGTTTTACACCCCATTCATTATTGCCAACGTCGCAGACTAACACTAAAATGTCACTTGCTTCACCTGAGTAGACGCCAAAGCGTGATGGATACTCGTGAAATAGGGTATAGTCTGAAATCCTTTTTCCAAAAGTAAATGGGGAAAAAGACACAGGTTTAATAGAAAGGTGACCTATTTTTTGCAACCTCATCGTGTTTTGACATCTACTGGTGTGAGAAGCTGATCAGTAATTGACATCTTTGTCTGTTTATAACGTTAGACATAACCTCCAACCTAACTAGCGCCATCTACTTCTGGCATTCAAATTACCTGCCAGTGTCGTTCATTCCGTCATTCTAACTTTTATAGCGGAAATCCTGGAATGTCATCTTGGCACTTTTTCACCACTTACTGGCACTCAATCCGTAAATGACATATAAAACTTCCAATGTTATAGAGGAAAGGATATCTTCCTCACATTTGCGCCCTGTGTGCACTTACCTAATTTCCGTTCATTCCTGTCGAACTTTTGCGACGAATATCCACTCCACACAAGGAATCTCATTTGGTTATGTGTAAAGGAACTAAGGGGAATAGTTTAGCTTCTCTTCTATTCGCTTGCTTTTCCCTCTATGGGTGTACTCAAACTGTATCACTGTCCCAAACTCGAATATTGTAAATCGGGGCACAAGAATTTTCAAAAGACTGTCAAATATAGAGATTTTAAACACTGTTGTAAAGATCAGTTTTTGGTGGATTTGGATAAAATCCCATGGGACGATATATATTACATCACTAACTTAGGGGATAAAGCTACGTTTTTTTCTAATCATATTTTGGATTTGTTTGATGTCCATGCTCCTGTTATTTCATCACGTATTACTAAACCTTATGCTCCATGGCTCACAGGTGGCATAAAATTTTTGATCTCCGAGAGAAATAAAGCCTTTAGAAAATATCAGATTTTAAAAAGTCCAGCTAGTCTCGAATATTACCAGAAATTAAGAAATGATGTCATTTCCGCTATTAGGCGGGAGAAAGCAGCATATCTAAGCTTCAATGAACAACTAAATAGTAACAAGCATCTCTGGAAAGCTGTACATTCATTGAAACTCAAAACTAATGTAGATAGATCTTTACCTACACAGTTGAAGAATGCCGATGAAGTAAACAATTATTTTTCTTCCGTTTTCACGCCTTCGGGCAATTGCAAGGATCTAGTTGATAAATTTAATAGTACCAAAATTAATGAAAGTGCTAGATTTGAATTTAGTTTTGCTACCCCACAAAATGTGCTAGACATTATTCTGTCCCTAAAATCTAATGCAGCAGGTTCGGATGGTATAACAGTCTCAATGCTGAAGCTTTGCTTGCCTCGAGTATTACTACCCCTGACGCATTTATTGAACTGTTGCCTGGAGGCTGGGTATTTCCCTGATGCTTGGAAACTATCTCTTGTCAAACCCTTGCCTAAATGTAAAAATCCAAAATGTCTCTCAGACTTAAGACCTATAACTTTGATTCCTGTTATATCGAAGATATTGGAGAAATTGATTAAACATCAGGTTTATCATTATTTCTCTAATAATGATTTCTTTCCCAAGTGTCAATCTGGTTTCCGCAGTGGTTTTAGTACAACTTCAGCTTTAGCAAGGGTTTTAGATGACATCATTGCTTCGCTTGATAAGGGAGATGCTTCAGCACTTGTATCATTAGATTATTCTAAGGCGTTCGATAAAATAGATCATGAGCTTTTATGTGCTAAATTGAAGTTTTTTGGTTTTTCAGACATACCTCTAATGTTTTTTATAACATATCTTTCAAATCGTAAACAAGTAGTAGAGATAGACAACACTATATCTAATCCGATTGATATAACATCAGGTGTCCCTCAGGGTTCAGTTTTAGGGCCCTTGTTGTACTTAATTTATACTATAGACTTGGGTAGCTCTGTGAAAAACTCTTCTGTGATGTGCTATGCCGATGATACACAGATATATAAAAGCTTTAATAGTAACACTTTGCATACTTCAATCAATGAGCTTAATGATGATTTGGAGGCAATAGTAGGATACTCAAATGGTAATAATCTTAAGCTCAATAAGGATAAGTGCTCAGTGATGCTTTTTTGTCCTGCTGTCAAACGTAACACTGTATTGAATTCTCTTGATGTAAAAATCGACAAGGAGCGTCTAGCTGTCGTAAATACTACAAAAAATTTAGGGTTGATTATTGATTATACTTTACGGTTTAAGGAGCATGTCTCGTCTATCTTGAAAAAATGTTATGCAACGTTGAAGTGTTTTTATGTCAATCGCTCTATTTTGAATTTTAAAGTTAGAAAAAAGTTATGTGAGGCTATTATATTTCCAAGCTTATTTTACTGTAGCACTGTGTTCTATCATTGTCTTGATTCTATCACAAAAGCAAGACTCCAAAAACTCCAAAATACTTGTTGTCGATTTGTATTTAATCTCAAGAAGTATGATCATGTTTCCTTAAAGAGATTTCAGCTTGGTTGGATGTGTATAGAAAATGCTTGCAAGTACCATCTAGCAGTGTTTACACATAAGATCATATCTTCTAGATCCCCCTTGTATCTTTATGAGAAATTTGTTTTCAGACGAAATAATTCAGACATTGATTTCAGACACAAAAAAAGACTAGAGATCCCTATGTATAAAACAACTTTATTTCGTAGTTCATACACTTACAATGCTATCCTGATTTATAACGAATTAGATGACAATATAAAGGATTGGCCAGTAAACAGATTTCGTAAGCATGTGAAACAGATTTATTTGTCATTATAGTAATTTTGGAAAAGTTAGTTTTTAATTCTTACATTTAATTTTAGTTTACGTAATATATGTGTGTATATATGTATGCTAGGAAGCTATCAAGCTCGTTGTTTTGAAGCGTCTTTTGCTTATCAAAGTTTCTTTTGATTGAGTGTTTCAATTGAGTATTTGGGTAGGTTAAGTAGAGTAGCCAAGAGCTAGACTTCGCCTACGTAGAGGTCACATTATGTGGTAGTGTATATAATGTGCCTAATAAAGACATTTTATTATTATTATTAAAATCTAAGAATATTATCATTCTTCTAGATTCGATTCAACCTTTACTGGAAGAAGAGTCTCTAGATGACCTCTTGGAGCCATTGACCGCCCACCTGTTTCCCAAACTAAATGAGAAAGGTCTTGAGGCTGCAGCGAGCATCTATGTAGCTACTGTGGCTGATCGTACTGCTAACAGAAGGCAAACACATAATGAACTTCAGAACAAATTGAATGCTCTCATTGGGGACGTGAGATTATTTGAAAAGGGAACTAAGCTCCTACCTCAAGACGTTCAAACACAATTAGTAAGAGATGTGTAATATTAAAATTATACAAGCATATTTAAAAAATCCAACAACCCAATTGCACTAACTGAGAAGAATAAAGATTTAATTGTGCAATCAAGTTGAATCTAAGGACACCTCAAATTTCAAAATCTATAGAGCTGTAGCCCGTGAAACAGAAATTCCAGAGTTGAAATTTTGAATTAAAATCTGCCATTTTTAATTTAATAAATGTTTATATGCATGAAATAGGAATTTCAATGTTGAATTTTTTCATTAAAATCCGCGATTTTGATTTTAAAGATTTTTAGTACAAATGTCACTCTCACTGCCTGGATATCTCATATGTCATCAAGCCGTTTCGGATCAAAAGATATTTTTTTTTAATAAATATCCAGAAAATAAGTCAAGTTATACATTTTAGGTAAAATACCTCCTAAAATCGCTTTGTACGGACATAGTAAATGAAGTTCTGAACTATATTGCTGCTGAACAAAATTTGGGCACAAAGGCCGAAACTCTTAACAATGATCAGAAGTTAAAGTTTGTCAATGAACTTCCGTCTGAATTTAAAACTCCTTTGGTACAATTGGTCAAGAGCCTCTCAGGGCAAAGCATCGACGATTTCATGACAACAGTTGAAGAAGCTTTGGTAAGTTATAATCCAGTAGATAGTTATCGGAAACATTTTTTTTTTTTATTATTTCCAATGTCCACGAAGTACTTATACATGTAGTTTGTGCTACACAATAAGATCCTACGATCTCAGCTGTATATGACACATGTAAATTCATTCCTTTTTAATGGGTTCCTGTATCATATTTCCTGATGTTTATTACACGAGCTTGTGCGCCTTTTCGCACATTTTGCTACAGTGATAGTTTGCCATTGAAAGTGACATGACATCAATGTGTTTCTTTTTTTCGCTTTATGTCACTAGTCAGTCTTCAATATACATAGTATCTTTTACTTTTCACGCCTACTGGCGGGGATTTAGTGTAATCGCGAAAAATTCAGAAAACGAGATATGTTTTTTGAAAAAAAAATCATGTCACTCATTTCCATCGCTTTGTCTGTCGGTCTGTCTGTCTGTCTGCTAATCCTTGGCCCGTCTGTAGTTTGGAAACTACCGGTCGAATTTTGATGAAATTTTCACACAAGATTACGACTGTGCCAAGGACGAAAAAACTTCGTAGTTTCTGAAAATCGGTTCAGTGGCAGCGGCGGAAAACGTCACAAATGCAAAAAATAAAAATTGCTCAAATTTATTATTTTCTCCGACGTTTCCTTTATCAAGGATATATCCATACATATCCAGGTCTATGGCACTGTAATACTTCGATAGGTTCTAATTTGTGATGAAGATAATCTTTATGAACTGATGACGGCGTTGCGAGATACGTACAGAGTCAACCTACTTGACGCCATTTTTTTGACCTCAACAGGAGAAAAATGAGCCCTAAAGTCGCACTTTCACTGAGTTATAGAATCTCTTACTAATAAGTTTCATTGTTCATTGGTCGTTTTCCAGATCCCTTGTAGTATGATCTTGAAAAAGATTGACAAAAAGAAAGACAGAACAGTGGTGTTGAACCACAAACATCAACTTTTGGAGCAACTAAACAAATGCGAAGATGTAGCCTTGGCGTTGCACCTGGCAACACTCGCCATTTTCACCACGGCTACTCATTGTATGCTACATGCTAGCGGTAGACACGTCACAGCTATTTTGGCATTCTTGAAGCAGTATCTTACCGAGGAACAAGCAAACGAACTAACGTCTTATCATGGTAAGCAGAAGTTGTATACAATGTTTATTGCAAAAGCTAATGGGCAAATTCCTTGTGATAGAGTAGTATTTTGCGCTCCTCATACGAACATACACTCGGTGATTTAGTAATGTTCGAAGTGTAGAACATTTTTTTACTTTAGTCAAGAGATTAACACGTTAACTGCATTTCATATCCCCGGGAATAGTAACAGTACTACGCTGATGTGTTGCTGTTTAGTTGGCAGGAGGTACATTGACAGTAAAACTTTTTCTATGGATTTCTTGAGTTACTGGAATGCTTCTTTTGACTACGATAAAAGCACTATTTAAATATATCTTTTGATATATATATATATATATATATATATATATATATATATATATATATGAATACACGTATGACTACGATTCAAACCCTGAGAGACACTTATTCCCGGGAATCGTAGTAAAGTACATGATAGTAAAGTAAACCGTGATTATAGAGGCATTTCGCATTTCTTATTTCACCTTTCTCACAACAGGGTACAGTATTTGGATAGCACTCGTAGTCTGCGCTTTTTTATTGTTTTGTATTTATCCCAATATATTTTTGCGCGAACCATTCTAGCATTAAGCATATGTAACCTGCCTGATCATTATTAAATTTTACCATGCTTTAGGAAACAGAGCAACATATATACGTTAGTTCTTTTCTCTGTTTTTGGCGAGTCACATTAAAATTGTAATAATATTTTGATGCATCCATCTCTCTCACATATACTCGTATGTATGCAATCTACCTTAAAAATTCTTGTCAAATCAGTATTTCACATTTGTTTAGATTTTGTAGATCTTCGATATAAAACACAGCAATGCCTGAAGATACAACTACAGTGTCCACCAACTGTATTTCTACTCGATTATTTTCAGGAAATGAATAATAATAATAACGCCTTTATTCATCTTTTGTACATGTGAGGGACAAAGATAGCGAAGTTTAGCTTGAGCTACTCTTACACTTAACTACCTTTGTCTGTACTTTAAGCACGATGTTGTGTGCAAGTCTAAAAAAGAAAAAAATATATAAGAAACACTAAGGAATACAGAAAGATTAAATAACTAATCAACTAAACTAAAGTACACTACAACTATATACACTATGTACACGTATGCCTAAACGGCTCAGAAAATCAGTCATATCAATATCAGGGAAGAGTGAGCATAAATTGCTTGATTTGCCTTCGAAAACTAGCAAAAGACATTTCCCTGTACTTTCTGGGCAAAGCATTATAAAATACGGCAGCATTATACGAGAAACAACGCTTGAAGAGTGTCATAGAGTGTGGAGGTATCCTGACCATAATACGGTCCCTGGTAATCCTGTCATGAATTTCTCGATTAAATATGACCTTTTCTCTCAGGTATGCAGGTCTTGACGCAGCTATCAACTTGTGCAAAAACACTAAGTATTTGCACCGCACATGTTTATCAATTCTTAGCCATTTCATTTGGCTGTATTTGTCACTAACATGGTCAAATCTCCTCAATCCATGAATGGTTCTCTATCAGCCAAGCCATGCTTGTCAATGCGTTCTAAATTGAGTTTAGCCTTTGTCAATCTTCGATATATAACAGCAACTTATCTAAGAATTTTCAGAAAGTAAATTAAACAATCCCGTGTCACCCAATTCATTCATAAAAGGTACAGAATTATACCATTACAGCATTCTCAAGATTGGACAGTATTGATAGATAGATAAGTAATGTACCACAAGTCAGACTAGCCTTCCCGCAGTTAACGTGTTAAAATAACTATTTCAGCTATCTGAAGAAATAAATTGGTGATATTTTTGATTTCTTGTTTCAGTATTATTGAATATAATTTTTGTTCTAGATTTTGTAACACTTATGTTGAGTGGTGGATCAGAAGTAGAAAACGCGAAAGAGAAGCTCAAAGAAAAGTTACCAGTTATTAAGAGTATAGCTAACGAATTTAAAAAGGCTGGTTCTGAAAAATAACCTTAAATCGACTCTTGTAAATGACCCTATATTGATACAAGATTTGTAAATATTTTTAGATAGATATTCAGAGAAATCCTTATACCACTAACGTCGTGATGTGTACGAGAGAGAAGAGTGTAATACGTATGTTAGAAAGAGATAGAGAAGCACCACGTTGCCTAGCAACGCGAGTGACGAGGCCATAAGTGCAGCTGTGGCTTGCCGCATTGCCAGTGGCGCACTCTTTCTAACATGCGTATTGCATGCCTCTCTCTCATACACATTACCTCGTCAGTGACATTTGGATTTCTCTATATGTACATACATATTCTTATTTTTAAAATAAACAAAAGATCAGAAATGGTACATTAGTAATGTCTCCTTGTCCTCACCCTTTAGACCAGTATTAAACGTTGGGTGCACTCAATTATTAGTGTACAACTTACATGGTAGTTCAGTTTATAAATATATATATCAAATTAAAGAAAAAACAATGTGTACAATCAAAACTATTTATTAATCAAACTCTTATCTTAAAACATAATCTTTAGGATAGTCAATAACTTTTGGAAATTCCTTGACATCCTTTTCAGGATAATCGTCCAATCTTTTTGGCATTGGTCTCAATTGTCTGATCTCATTTGAAACATTCCCTAGAAGTTCCTTTGGTACATTCTCATCTGGAAATATATGCAACCTTTGCATTGTATACCTGTAAAAAAATAATTTAGTTTCTAAAAGGAACTACCTCAGAATCATTTTGATTCTGTAAAATAGGTTTTCATGATTTTAGAGTTGCATTGTAATTGACTACTTGTGATTCAGAACAGTTATGATTTTGATTGATGTCAAAACTAGGGATGTGCTAAGTACTACTTTTTTTCAAAAGGCTGAGTACCAGACACCCAGCCAGGTACACTATGGAGTGATTTGCTCTGGGTTATTTTGTCTACTGTTAATAATAATAAGATTATATTTGCATTTTTGGAAGGTTCTCTTATCAATCTTATCAAATTTGATTTACCTTCCCATGAAATTCACTCACCACAGTTGTGCAGCTTAGACAATTTTTTGCGAGATTAGTGTATTTTCAATATTTAGAGACATTTCTGAACCAAATTTTTTTGATATGTTCTTCAACGCCTCCTGTTATAAAAGAAGCACGTTTGTAAGTTATTTACAAGGTCATCATATTGAACACAGTGGCGGCTCGTGAGGTAGTGCCACGGTGCCATGGCACTACCTTGTCTTCTTCAAAAAGAATATTTTTTTCAATCTTCAATGTTTTACTTTATTTTTTGCTTTTTCATTTTTTTTTGGTATAAATTATATGAAGTGACAACACTGACAACGTGACAACACCGCAAGCACCCGAACCACGCGACGAGATATAAAGCATGCCTTGACCTTGACGTCATCAACTTGTGCCAATGTCGGGCCGGCCCAAATAAAAAGAGAGAAATTTTACCAGCATCGCATACGAGCGACAGAGATAACGCTACAATACACATTTTTATATGAGGTGAATAGCGAAAGACAAGTATAATTTGTGCCAGGCACATCATCAGTCGTAATTCGTTATCAAATGATATCGGCGGTGTTTTTGTTCGGTCGGTCGTTTCGTTATGATTACGTCTAGTGCTGATTTCGGTCTTTTTTTACCTGAAAAGTGAGAAATAACGTTTTTGTTTTAGTACGTCTAGTGTTAATGAACTGCTCTGTTTTGTGATCATATTTTTTACTGTTTTATTAAAACTAGTGAAAATGAATAAAATCGGGATATTAAAAAACTCATTTAGTGGTTTTTCGCTGGATCAAAAACTGCAAATTAAAGAATTAGGACGGCCAATACCCGATTTAAAAATTGAGAAACAAAGTGGTAGCGGACAAAAATCGCGCTGTCGCAAATTTAATAAAAATGTGTACGATAAAAACAGCTGGATATGTGGTTGTGAAGAAACGAATAAACTATTTTGTTTTGTATGTGTTCTATTTGGAGGTGACGAGACTTGGTCAAAAAAAGGTACAGATGATCTTATACATATATGGGATAAAATGAAGACCCACGAAAAATCTAAAGTCCGTATGAATAATGTTTTTAGCTTTTCTATTCTTGGTAAATTAAATATAAGGACTCAACTCAATTCGGCTTATCGCAATGATCTAATTAAACATAATAATCAAGTGGATAAGAATCGATATGTATTGAATAAAATTATTAATTGTATAAGGTTTTGTGGAGCATTTGAGTTAGCCTTAAGGGGTCACGATGAAAAGGAAAATTCGGAAAACAGAGGCATATTTAAGGAGCTGGTGAATTTTAGCGCCGAATTAGACAACGAATTGAAAGTCCATATTCAAAGTGCCAAACTTTTCAAGGGTACCTCAAAAACAACTCAAAACGAGCTTCTTGAGTGCATGCTAGATGTTTATCATGAAGAAGTTAAGAAGGAGATTGCAAATTCTCCTTTTGTTGCAGTAATTGCCGATGAAACGACTGACGTAGCCTGTGAATTTCAGTTAGTTATTATTTTCAGATATTTGTGTAAAGGACAACCAGTTGAGAGATTTTGGAGATTTTACGTCCCCGACGGACACGATGCCAAATCAATCGCTGCATGCGTTTTAAATGTTGTAAATCCATTAATAGATCAAAATCCAAACAAATTAATAGCTCAAAGCTATGATGGTGCGTCTGTTATGAGTGGTGAATTGAATGGCGTTCAAAAGATTATTAAGGAAACTTATCCACTTGCAAATTATGTTCATTGCTATGCACACCAGTTAAATCTAATTATGACAAGCGCATGCTCTGTCAATAAGCAGGCTAGAATATTTTTCCATAATTTATCTGGATTGTGCTCTTTTTTTTCGACGTCTCCTCAAAGAACAAAAATTTTGGATGAAATAGTTAATCGCAGATTGCCAAGATCTTCCCAAACACGTTGGAATTTTCAGTCACGAGGTGTTCATACAGTTTATGAAAATAGGAAAGACCTGATTGAAGTTATGGACAATATAGAAAGTACTTCACGCGATTCTTCGTCGATTAATCAAGCCAGTGGGTACAAATTAAAGCTGCAAGATACAAATTTTGTATTTTGGCTAAGTATATTCCATAAAATAATGCCACATGTTGAAATTGTCTTTAACCAATTACAAAAAGTATGCACCGATTCTGTTAAGGTCAAAAATGATTTAGAGAATTTTGAAGCAGCAATTCAAACTATACGAGAACAAATGGATAGCATTATTGACGAGATTGAACGAGTGCAGAGAGAAACTGATGAACCGGCAAGAAAAAAAAGGCAAGTTGAAGAAGGCAGCAAAAAACGGGAAGCGTTAGAAATATGCGATGCAGTATTATCGCAAATAAGAACAAGATTTAACTTTTCTGGGCATTTAGTTGCTTCTAATTTATTTGTGTCTGAAAAGTTTTCTGTTTATAAACATCAGTTTCCTGAAGCACATTTAAATGACACATGCACACAATTTTCATTTTTAGACAAAAACAGGCTTAAAACTGAGTTACAAGTATTATATCAGAGAGAAGAATTGAGTACTACTTCTGGAGCTGTTCCACTATCCATTTTATTGAACGAGGAAGGATTAAATTGTACGTTTCAAGAAACTCTTAAGCTCTTAAGTATTTTAATCACTATACCGATGTCAACATCTGAAGCAGAACGCTCTTTTTCAATGCTGAAACGGATTAAAACTTTCCTCAGAAACACAATGAAGGAAGAAAGGCTTAGTGCTTTAGGAATGCTGTCTGCAGAAAAACATTTTGTTAGTGGCATTGAAAATTTTAATAATAAGGTAATCGAAAACTTTGCTACCAAAAAAGAAAGAAGAATGGACTTCATGTATAGAAAACTTTGAAGTTATAGGTACTTCTCCACACTTGTTTTATAATTTGGTGCGCGTGTGTAAATAGTTTTATTTTTGATTTTTTTTTGGACATATAGATTTATTGAACCTCAAGAACTTTGACCACTAACTATCAGGGGTAAGTTATAAGTTATTTTTTACAATTTTGAATCGATTCAAAATTATGGCTTCCATTCTGGCACTACCTCACTGAATTGGAACGAGCCGCCACTGATTGAACATACATTTTTGTTAGAAATAGGCAACCTGAGGCGCTTATGTTTGAGGAAAGAGTATCATTGCAGAAATGTGGGGTACTTGTTATTCCTGTTACTTTTCAACTTCTGCTGCATTATTTAATTTTGTGGCTTTTGTTGTGCTTTGAGTGTTCATGTGGGGAAAAGAACAAATAGAAATTAGAAAACACAATATGATTTCAGTTTAAACTCCTTTAGTAGCTACTCCTTGGACTGTGTTTTTTATGAAAAGACTTGTGGTAACACTTTGTATATAGAAAATAAGCTGTGCAAATACCATGAACACACACAAGAAAATGATCCATATTGACTGGAAAACCATTAAATTCCAGCAAAAAAATGTTCCAACCATGGCTGTTCTTTTGACAGTGCATTATTTTCTTGGAGGACATATCAGGAAGGTTTGGGAATGGCATATAAGTTCACACAGTATCTGCAATGATTTGATCTATAAAAGTTGTATCTCTTAAGTTAAGATCCAGTTATTACCAGGCTAAGTAATTCAATACTCAGCGAAATCAGGTACTCATTAAAATGGGCTTAGTATGCCAAGTACTGCGTATGAACCAGGTACTCAATGTATCCCTAGTCAAAATGAACATGAAGCTAATATATAACTAGAAATCACACTTACCTTCTTTGTAGATTTCCATCCATAGAATTATATACAGCCTTTTTTATAATCATAGTGGGATCCTTTTCATGTAAGTTCCAAGCCAATGTCCAAGTTGCGCCTCCAGGGTAACCGGTATGATGGAAATATACCCTTTTTTTCCATTCATCTCCAGGTAATGCTATATCTGCACTATTTATAACTATAACATGGTCTCCACAATCATTCATAGGGTGGTAGATAGGTTTATGCATGCCCATTAGGTACTTTTTGATCAACTCTGATGAATGGAAAGGATTTTGCCATGCTGCATTGTATATGTGCCAGATTCTGGCAAAGGTTGCCCATTGTTGTACTCGCTTCAAGGCTGACATCTTCAAATTATATGTGTATAAATAAATCGCTGTTTTTCTCGGTTTTTCACATGTATTCACCTGGGCAAATCTAAAGATACAAAATAGACCGACAGAGCAGTTAGAAAATTTTGTTGAAAACTTAGAAAGTGAGTTGTATGTAATCTTGTCTGATATACTGAACAATTAACAGACAGGGATATACTTGAATCAATACATACTTATTTGAGAAATTCAATGTTGTTCATGTGCAACATAACCTTAAAGTGTCAAAATTGAGAGTGCCAACCTAATAGCTCTACATAAAAGTTCCTAAGTCCATTGTTGCCAGAATCTTCAATCGGCCTTCAAAAATGGACATTTAACATCATAGCTATGTATATTATATATCTAGGATGTAAAGTAGACGTTTATAACTTGCACCTTCTATTCGTCATTGAAGACGTGAAATTAGAGCGCGAAGAGTCGTGGATCCTGACATGTGGGGTGTTACAAACACTTTTGCATGGCTCTAGTGGTTCAAAAGTCCTAAAAGATCGCCATAACTAAAAATATTCACTAATTGTCAAAACAAAACTTAATTCATGCATATGTTTTCGAGATAGACTCTAGTCTTTAGACTTAAGGCAGCAGCGGTGGCCGCAGTAGTAGACTCTTCGGTCTCCTAATCAGTCGCCGTGCGCTGTGCGGGTTCGAGTCCCGTCCCAGGAGAAATTGTTGTGATTGTCCGTAGGTGGTAGACGGTCTCTGACCTGTCGAACGCGGAGGTACCACCAGGCGGATCTCGTAGGCGGAGCCAGAATGTGTGCATGTTGCATGCACACGTGTTCCCTCGCCAGAGTCCGTGTGGCGTTCCCCCTTTCCCCTGTATCCCCCTAGAGCCCCACGGTACCCAGTGGGTGCTTAGGCCTTAGGCCTTCGTGGTAGTTGGAGTATAAAAAAAGTCTAGTTTATGATACCCATTTTTGTGTTTTATATGTTTTCAAGGTATTTTGCAAATTATTCTATAGTGTCGCGTAATTGTCAAAGTTGCAGTCAGCTACGGCTAAAAGTGACATATTTCTTAAATTATTGTCTGATAAACATGCTACTATAGCGGAAAATGGGCATTCTTTCCACATCATGATTATACACACGTACCTTCGACTCTGCAATCCATTCTACCACATCTCAATACAGACGGTTGCTTTAAAACGTGGCACTCTGCGATTATACACTTCCTTGATCGGAGCTATTTGTCATGTTGACGTTCTGTTCGATGCGAGATAATTCACTTCACTATAACTCCTTATGCAGAGCCAACTGAATGGAACTAATGTTATCGAAAGTTGATTTATATTATTATGCATATAGCTGTATATATTTCTCATCTGACAACGTCGCACAATTGTTGCACCTGTGCCTGTCAAGCAACGGCCAAAAGTTGACGGAAAACGAAAAATAAATCAGTCATCAGTCTCTGTCAAGTGCGTTATGTATAATCAAATATGTGAATGTGAACGGAATACCATGATTTATTGTGTATGTTATTAAAGGGCGTACAACATTTACATCCTCAAGTGGGCTGCAATAGAGGTAAATTCCTAGCATTCTCACATCCAGCTGTCCGACGCGCAAGAGTATCTAATTGGGTTTACTAGGCGTCTTAGCTAATGGCTTATTGGATGAAAAACGTTTCGAGGTTTTTTGAAACTATTTATTTGAATAAAATGAGTGTTTAGTGAGTTTATGGTTTCTTCATGATCTAAGCTATCGGCATTTTATTGTTTGGATGGATTGTTTTCCAAAGTTTTCTTAATGTATTTATAGATGCCATAGAAAAGCTGTTTTTACTTTGAATTGGCTGTAATACTGCAACTTAGAAATGCTTGTGCATTTGTTAACTTCCACTTGATGGATATGCTATGCTTTCTTGTATTAAAAAAAATCCAATAAAAATTGCCTCTGCTCACTTGCAGATACTATTTCATCCTAACCCTTCAGGGCCTTGGTTCAAGTTGCTGGCTTGATGGGACCCCCAAAAATCAAAATGCCTGAGCATCCCCCTACTCCTCCCGCTATGCCCTCAAGCCCCTTCAGCCACAGGCCCCAAGTTTGTTATGGGTCCAGGGGTCTCCACACAGCTTAGTGTGGTGTGGAGTATGGTTATTTTCTTTTGTCAGATCATCAAAATTCAGCATCTGAGCTGAAGCATAATCTAGAGAGGAATAGATTTTACCTGCTAAGTACTAGTTAACATAGCCAACTTCTAAGCATATTTTAGAAATGTGTTGAAGAATAAGAAGACATAACTGATATTACTTAGTTTATAATTAGTGTTAGTGGTGAGGCTAGTTATGCAATTTAGTGAGATGATGATAGTGTCATGAAGAACTCTACATTCTCCTTGTAAACTGTTTTTTTATTGTTTATCATTTTGAAATTTTTCTTTCCAGAAATCTGATGATAACCCAAAATGCCATTCAAACTAAAATTGAAAAAGTCTCGACACTATAGTGTTGTTTCCAAATCTTTGTTTGTTATCTCAGTAGAGATATTGGATGGAACTTCAGTAGAATGTACCTTGTCTTCAGAGAGTACTGGGCAGGATTGCCTAGATGTAGTCTGTCAAAAACTGAGCCTCAACCAACCAAAGTTCTTTGGGCTGCAGTATGTCAGTAGACATGGTGAGAACAACCTTAGTTGGTTAGAGTTAGACAGGCCTATAAAGAGACAACTAGATAAATATGCCAGAGGACTATATGTACACCTTAGGGTGATGTACTATGTAATCTCTGGAGTTAAGCTGTTGAATGATGAAGTTACCAGGTAAGATTATTTTATCTATAAACAGGTACCACTAAATAATGCATGACAAGGATTCACAGGCATTAAATATTTCAGCCAGTGGGCTTCTTTATGCCCTAGGGCAGTATGTACATATAAGTAATATACGAATAGTCAAATAGTGAACTTGAATCTAAATATTATTTCATATTTCAAAAAAGTATTTCTATTTTTTATGCCTTGGCAGTCCAAAAAATCATTTCTAATAAAATAAAAAATATAGGGTTTTTAATTTTTTATAATAGATTTAGATTGAAGAATGTATCTAAATTCTCACTTTCTGCTAAATTTTTGTGTAAAATCTCAAGTCAATTATGAATTCAGTGCTTTCTGGAAATATATAGGAATACTTATTGTCCCAATATAAATCAAAACTATATTCATTTATTTTGAACCATAACACTCTTGTTGCACATTTTGTTATTTATCTAGGTGAATCTGAAACCAACTATAAACACACCACTCTCATATGTACTTGATAATTTATGATCTTGATAAGTGTTAGATGATGATATAGCACTGTTATTTGATACAATAAGTATTTCTGTAGATGACACATGTACTTTTCTGGGATATTTTATTTTATAGAGTGTATTTTTGAAATACTATAGGGCTTTTGATAAAATTGAGTAGTTCCTGATATAAATTACTCAATGTATGCTGTCCTAATATCCAAATAAATTAAACCTCTACCATAGGAATTCATATGTTTAGCATATATGGTGATCAAATGTCAGTCAATATCATTTCATACCATAAAACCTACGTTTTCCTTCTTCTGTTTTATTAATAATTTGGATATTGAATTACTCTAAAAAAATTAAAAAAAATATGACAACAGTCTCCATTCTTTTCCTTACAGGATATATTTTTCATCATTCAATACAGATTTAAACAATAAAAAGTTATGATCATTCTGATCGCAAATTATGATATATATATATATATATATATATACAGGGTGGCGCATCGGAAACGAAACAAACGCATTTACTGGCAGCTCAGTTTTTTTTTTTGGAAAAACGCTCAGACCTGTCGATTTTGTTTTCGAGGGGGAAACAAGTTTGGCATAAAATCACGTTAACACGTGCAGCCCCCTGGGTGGGGGTCACACCAACCCTAAAATCTTAAATGGAAAGGGGGGTCGAGTGATACCTTATTTTAAAGGTCTTTCAATTCCCTTTATAATAATGTAAAATACATGAGCTTCAGTTCAGTAGTTTTGAAGATTTATTGATTTAAAGCTTAAAGTAGACTTTAATAGGTACATCAGATTAGTTTGTACTACTTTCAGAAGAAATTTGACTAAAAATATTTACTTAATAAGTAAATGCTTTTCTTCACTATGCCCATGGTTTGTTTATCATTTTGTTGTTGAAAATAGCTATTGGAGCGTTTTTTTGTGGCAAAAAAAGTTATTTCTTGAAGAAAGATAAGGAAATATCTCGTACTTATTTTAAATAGGAATTTAGTACATAGTTTGCGATGGATTTGACCAAACTTTGTTGCTAAAATAACTTGTAATGCTTTATTACATAAATTAAAAATAGTATATTCCATAGCAGAAAGAGTTGAAATTATCGAAATATTTTTCGAAAATAATCAGTGTGCTAATAGAACAGCAGAAATATTTAATGAGCGACATGAGAACAGTAACGTGCATCGAAAATATGTTCTAGAACTTGTAGCTAAATTTCGGGAAACTGGGTCAGTCGCCAATAAAAAAAGGATCATTGAAAATTCCATACGTTAAATACCCGCAAATTGGAGACTGTGTGTGGTGTTAGTCGACGTACTGTCCAACGGATTCTAAAGGCCCATAGTTTTCATCCGTATAGAATTCACCTGGTACAAGAACTTAATGAATACGATTTTTATCGCGATTACAATTTTGTGATATGAGTTAACGAATTATAAACGATGAACATTTTCTATTCAACACTTGCTTTTCCGACGAATGTTCCTTTTTCTTAAATGGCGTAGTAAATCGTCATAACTGCCGATATTGGTCTGGGATTCTAATCCCAGAATTTATCATGAGGTTCATTCACAGCAGCCACAAAGATTAAATGTTTGGGCTGGTATTTTTGGCAATCATTTAGTTGGTCCTTTTTTCTTATCTGGAAATTTGACTGGTGAAATGTATTTGGAATTACTGGAAGACGCCATAGATCCTGCATTAACAGCCTTAATTGAAAATCAGATTGATCGGCGGTACATTGCGAATAGGTTGATGTTCCAACAGGATGGTGCCCGACCACATTACGCATTACGTGTTCGACAATATTTAGATCAAACGTTTCCACATGGATGGATTGGTAGAAGAGGTGCCATTGAATGGCCCCCAAGATCGCCAGATTTATCACCTTTGGATTTCTTTATGTGGGGTCATTTAAAAAGCAAAATCTATGCTACTCAACCAACATCATTAGAAGACCTGCGACAAAGAATTGTGAATGAGTGCCTTCAAATTACTCCTCAAATATTGCAAAATGTGCGGCAACGTTTTGAGAAAAATCTTTATTATTGCATGGAGAGTCATGGTGGCCATTTTCAACATTTACTTGTCTAACGGGTCAGTTCATTCTTCATTTTTAAATTACTTTGCTGCCAAATGTATTGATCTCCACTAATGATCCATGTATTAGTTTTACTTAAGCTTTAAATCAATAAATCTTCAAAACTACTGAACTGAAGTACATTAATTTTATATCATTGTAAAGGGAATTGAAGGACCTTTAAAATAAGGTATCACTCAACCCCCTTTTCCATTGAAGTTTTTGGGGGTGGTGTCACCCCCGCTTAGGGGGCTGCACATGCTAACGCGATTTTTTCCAAACTTGTGTCCCCCTCGAAAACAAAATCGACAGGTCTGAGCCTTTTTCAAAAAAAAAAACTGCGCTGCCAGTAGATGCGTCTGTTTCGTTTTCGATGCGCCACTCTGTATATATATAAGCTATAAATCTGAACTATTTATGCTGTTTTTAAAAGCTATTACAAATTCATAACACATGCATATTTTATCATTTTGATTATGCAACCATTCAATATTTTTTAAATTTTTATTATAGTTCAACAACCAGCTCCACTTCATGTTAAACTTTCCATTATTAAATGTAAGATTCTTATAGTTCATAGAGGTAATGTTACAAGATTAAATCTGGAGATAAGCTTTATGCTAATCTCATAAAACCTGTGATTCACTCTTAACTACAGTACCAGTATCAGACATATCTAAGCATGTACTCAGGTTTATTATGCAAATAATTGTACACTTTGTAATAATCTTGTGTGTTTTTTACAAGAAATCTACTATTTCAACCGTCATTTGGGCTTTTTCGATAAATTGCTAAAATACCTGAGACTAAAACTTGAATGAGTTATTCCAGCTATGCAAGGTAGGGTTTTTGAAGGAGACATTGTTATGCCTCATTTGGAAGAAATACTAGTTCAGCTAAAATCAATACTATAGACCCTGAGATAATTTTTAACTTTTGTTGCAAATCGTAGGTGCTAGACTGTCTCTGACCGCGGAGGTACCACCCGGCGGATCTCGTAGACGGGGCCAGAATGTATGCATGTTGCATGCACACGTGTTCCCTCGTCAGAATCCGTGTGGCGTCCCACCCTATAGCCCCACGGTACCCATGGGTGTTTAGGCGTTAGGCCTTCGTGGTAGATCTAGAGTATATGCAAACGATGGTTCATATTTGCTAATTTCAAGGACCAAGTGTTTTTACTATCACACAAAGTTTACTTTTGACTACAGATGTAATGCAGATCACGGTTGCTGAAGAGCTATTTTACAATTTTAGAGTTTTTTTAAAAAGTCAATATAAAAAACAGTGATAGAGCTCACCCTCAAAATTGATTTCAGGAAACTAATTCTATGTAAAGTGCTTATTAGATGTATCCAACTTTTAATAAATTAATAAATAATTACAAATGTTAAGTACATATGGCAAACATTATACAGAAATAATCTTTAAGCGAATTGTGGTTTGATTTGAGAATACAATGAATGTTTTTATACTGTCGCTTATTTTAAATGCGTCACCTACAAAAAATTGTTAATATTGAAGAACATTAACAAGTACATTTAAGTGAGTTCCTATTTAATTTTTCAGATATCATTACTTTCTTCAACTGAAACAAGACGTGATAGAAGGTAGAATATCATGCACCCCACAACAAGCTGTTGAACTAGCTGGTTACTCAATGCAAGCTGAGTTTGGAAACTTTGATGCTGAACGTCATACTGCTCATTATCTGAAAGATTTCCAATTATTTCCTAGGTAGGTAAAGGAAATGATAAAAAATTACAGGTTCGCAGCTTTCAGGTATTAAAAGGCATTTTTTTAACAATTGTAAGCAGTTGTTTTACCATTTTTTTTTCAAGACGAACAAAATGACAAAAAAATCGATTACTTAGACTAACCTACTATAAATGTGGAATATTCTCATACAATTTTAAAGCTGCGCTATTATTAATTAACGAGCTATGATTGTGGAAAGAATTGCAAAAATGCAGACGATAATGCTTAAGAATTGCTAGTAGTCACCATTTTTAGCTTCTCATTCAGAGGAAGAACAAGTACAAATACAAGATAAAATAATATTGACCCCTTGGGACGAACCCACCGTAACCACTGACTTGACAAAATTAATTTAAAGTATCAGATTAATGGCTAACCTGGTGCTAGATTTTGTATGAGTTGTTTAACCGAAATACAATTTTGGATATGTTTCTACTCGATTTATTCTTTGCAGGAGTATCACGGATCCTGCCCTTCTTGCCCATCTAACAGAAGCTGCAAGCAGAAGGCATGCAGCCTTACAAGGTTTGCCCCACGGCACTGCCGAAGAGTGTTACATCTGCGCCTGCCAGAGGTTAGGCGGTTATGGCCAGGAGACGTTTGCAGTCAAGGAAATGGGCACCGGCGCAGATGCGGTTCTGGGCATATGCCTCACTGGTGTTTATGTCAGTGCACGTGTAGAGAGCAGACATTTTGGGTGAGTTGGATTTACCTTTTCCTCAAAATAATCTAATGAGATATCCTCTCCATAGATACAGTTGCCTTTCTTGTAGCTAAAAAAGACTGTTTAGGTACATATACTCGTCGCAGGAATCAGTCAGAGTAGGTAGGTATGTAAAAATTTGATAACTCGAATTCACTTCATAGTAGTATGGTGGTTGACAAATGATTAGCTAGTAACGGAAAGTAGTGTGGATCAGAAAAATTCTTATACATTGGCTCTTTTATTTCATCAGTTTACATAACAATTGCCAAGTTACCAGTTCTGGTCTGTCCTAGTCGGCTTTTTACGGGTTTACGTTCTAATATCTCCCAAACGTAGGGCAAACATTCGCAGGATTAGTTAATGGGCTTTTCAAGAATATCATGTACTTTGATGATTTTTGAAACGCTGCTCGATTTAAGAGATGGACGAGAGGAAAATGAAACAAATGCAGCTATAAAGTCTTGTTAAGGTTATATTCATCCAGGACGCAATCGTCTTTCACATTAATTATAGCGTTTTCAATAATTCATATGCTCTTTTGCATTATTTATGTGTTTTTTTTTTCTTTTCACAATGTTCTGTTGTGCAATTTAAAACTTTATATTTTGGAATCTTGTGTTCCACTGCGAATATTATTGCAAAGTGTTTCACACTAAATACAATACTTGAACATCAAAAATTTTGCAGTGCACAGCGAGGCATTTAGTGATAATACCAAAAGAGTTTCCAGTTTAGGCTAATTCTATGAATTCTACATTTTATGGCCATAACGCCTCTCGTTAACCACATTATTTTCTCAAGCCGCTACTATTCTTGTTAGCAGTTCATGATCATAAATACAAATAATTGTCTCATAAATTGTAACAAAACTAGAATAAGAGCAACGCAAATAGTTCATCTGTTATCAGTCATACTTTTTTATCTTGTAATTGTCCCACAAACCTCATAAATCAATTTGTAATGTGGTGTGATCACAATGAATCATATCCACCTTAGGTTGAGTTTTTTTTTGATCTGATAAATATTAATGAACGATTTGTACGCGTTTTACATTCCATGCAACTCATTACGGCTATGCATCGATTAGTAAATTACCTTTAGTCTTCCAAATATGGTTTCTAGATGTCTTGTAGCCAGATTACAAGCACAAACAATTACTGATATAAGAATTAGTATAGTGTTTTGTGGCGTACGATATTGTTGGTCTGATTTGTAAACTCATTTTTAAGTTAATTCCTTATCGTAGGGTGTTTACTTTTGGGTTTTAAATTTTCAAATATCACGTGGAAGCAGTATACATGTATATATACAAGGTATTCCGTTTTAAATATGCAACTTGGTATCTACTTCCGGTACAATCGGACGTGCCATCATTTTAGTTCACCCCTATCAATTTTGCCATAAACTTAAATTTTCTTAGTTGTCTGATTTCTCTAGTAATCGTTCGGCGCGAAGTCCAGATTTGAGAATAAGAATCACTTAATTTCAACACACAGGTTGTTAATGACTTTCTAGTCAATATTCATGTTTAGTAATCCCTTGAGAGACAAACACATTACCAGGGTGTTTCCAGATCGTGGCGCGAGCATTAAGGGGCGATTTTTTGGACTGTTGTAAGGTTATTTTTCCGTTACCGATTTTCGAAATACCGCTTCGTTTCGGAGATATAGGTCGCTGAAGTACGCTACTGAATTTCTGGTCCAACGAAATTGTGACACTAAAGTAACTAGTTGGTGTCTATGGAAAGTAATTAACTCATTGAGTTTGCCAGGGACTAGCCCAAATGCAACATTGCTAATGTTTAAAATCCTGCATAATACTGGCTTACAAGTAATATTTCTTAAGAGCCTGATCCTTCATCTGAGAAAATGTATTCTTGTGTTATTTCAATAAAATGAGCAGTTTTTATTTCAATATTGCTTCTATCTATTTACACTGCAACTAATCCAAAAAAACAGCACGTTTACCTAAAACTTGAGAAAGACCTGAAAATTTATATCCAGAGGTTTTTCTGGTCGCTGTTTATGAATATGTTTTAAAAAATACTGTATTTTCAGAACTGCGGAACCAGTATGTCAGAATCAGATTCTTATAAAAATATCTTCGGATAAAGGAAGAAATATTGCTTTTGACTAATTATCATATAGGGTGTAAAAAGATTTAGCAATATTGCATTTGGGATAGTATGAGTATGCCTCTAATGAACTAAATGAATTGATTGGTTTGCATGAATACTATCATGTTTGGTCTAAACCAGTTACCATGCTGTGAAATTTCGTTACATTATAGAGTGTTGATAAAAAATGTTTAAGAAAACTTTTCCATTGACGTCCTTCAAAGACCTCTATCTACGAAACGAAACGATGTTTCGATATTCGTCAGAATACAAAATACTCTTAAACCACCCCAAGAATCACCTTGTATTTTCGACAAATAAAGCTGGATACGAGAAATTAAACGATACAGCAAATAACTTTTCAGTATTAAAGTTAAAACGAAGATTTTTTGTCAATACTCTTTGCAAATTCCTGGTACAAATATGGGAATATGCGCAAATCTGAAATAAGAAAGTTAAGTCTCATTTTGTCTTTCATCAGTGTCGTAAATTGTGTCGAGTAGAACAAGTCTAGATTTGAGGTATTGAGGGTAAAATACACAATGCATAATATCTCCCTTGATGAATTATATATTTTTGTTGTTTCCGTTTTTATTCTCTATATTGTGTTGATGTTGGAACCTCTCTGATGACCCTTTGAAGTTATATGTATAAACATAATATATTCATGGTAACTGCATCTAGATTAAGTGAGTCTTCAAAGTAATATTCTGATTTTTCTATAATCGCAACGCATCTCCTATATACTCAGTTTTAGAATGCATACTTTACTCTGCCCTAATCAAAAATCTGTTTTCGTTAGCCTTGGTATTAATGTTCGTTGCTAGTTCTATCCGACTAGGTGCTTAGCAGACTATATAACAAAAAAGATAATTAGAAAGTTAGACATTTCATTTTAATGAAATCTAATAGGGTTTTGCAACTCTACGGCTCCGATATTATAATATGGTATGTGAGACATTGTTTGTATTTATTTTTCAGGTGGTCAGATATCAGCAATGTGATAAACCATAAAAAGGACTTCACCATTGAAACGGTGGGCGGGAATGAGAAGGTAGAATTTCAGTTTAGCGACATTGAAAGCGCCAAAAACGCGTGGAGGTTCTGCGTTTTACAACACGTGTTCTATCGGCAATACGAAATGGATAATGGAGGAGAGCAGGGTGATAAAAACAATCAACAGTTACCTTTATTTCAACAGAATGAGGTGAGCCATGCGAGCAACTCGGACAGTTATTTGCCCATCGCACATTTGATTTGCCTCTTTGTTACACAAGTGGTTTTAAATTTATGCAGTTTAAAATGTGCCGTTTGTGGTATCTTGTTTTTTACAATAAGTCTGTTATTATTTCTGCAAATGAATAGGCTTGGCACAACGACTATTATTATTTAAATAACAGCAATGTTTTCTTCGGTTCTCCCAATGTTGATGACGTCATTATTATTATTTTTTCGTACAGTAATGTTGGCAACGGTTCAAGTCAACGCCTAGTGTTTTTTGTACTTACTAACGGAAAAATGCTCGATCATTTCATGAAACGCCGTTTTTTTGAAGGGTGGGTATAATTTGCAGGAGAGGCTTCGGCAAATGGACAGCTACGAGGACGTCACCGCCGCTGGCGCAAATACAGGAGGATGGGACAGACAGGTCTCTTCCTCTCTACAAACACTAGGCGGCGCTAATCGAGCGCAGTCAACGTCTTGTTTAGACCTGAATAGACCTACACCTCCTGCTACGGCGGATATTGAGATGCTCAGAAGTTTGCTGCCTTCCTATAGACCTGCGCCAGACTACGAGACGGCCATTCAACAAAAGTATAGAAATTCGTCAGGTATCATACAGTCGTTCAATATACCTTTGGAGTAGTTTAAGAGGTCGTGCAAAATAAAAAATTCCGTTATAAATACTCACAACAATTGAACGCCATCTCGCAAACCGTCATTCAAACCGTTACTGATTCACAAGGCCGCTCTCGCACTATAATGCATGTATAGTTATTTTCACGACTTGTCATGAGTCAGTAAAATTGTCAGTATATTTCAGTCATACGTTTTTATTTACCTACGCCCACCGACAAGGAAGTATTGTAATCGTCATATTCTTAACTTTAAAAGCACAAAAAATTATGTTATTTGTGTGAAATCCTAATATTGTTAACTGTAGTTTACTTTCTTCTCTTGTACTCATGCCTAGATTCGGTTGTCAAATCAAAACTACAGAAGCTTCAGAACAACTGTTAGATACATATATGGCCTTAGGAAGTTTTGTTGCGTTCCTTCAAAAAATGGGGAGTTATACTGGTTTAGGATTTATTCAATTATTTAGTATTTTCATTGGTGCATAGAGTTTTTAAAACTGGTAAACCGGTTTATTTGTTCGATAATTCCTTGTTGAAACCAAGTTACTCTAAATCTGCAGCACAATGATTTGCTTCCCATTCCTATATGTACGTCACTTTTTGAAGAATTCTTATAAGTTGTATAATTCTTTACCAGCCTGTTATAAAGCCTTCGGTTTGCAGATATCTAAAAAGACACTCGAATTGAGTGATAAATCCAGTTTGCCGAATCATTAGCTTCTTTATACTTACAGTCAACCTCCCATTGTTTCTGTTCTTAGTCTGGGTTAATAATTTGTTGATATTCTTTATTTATTTATTTCTGCGTTGCCTTTTGAACCGTAGTTTACTTGTCAGTAGGTGCCATGTCCACAAGAGAACCATTACGTGCCACTCAACCTTACTTGTACAGTTCTCAACCAGAAATTCACCAAACTGAGGCTGCGTATGCAACCCATCTGCATTACCCAGACGTAACACATAATAACATTGAACAGAAAAATCTGTTATATAGAGGTAGCGGATTTGGACAGACTCAGGTGGTGGCTGGAGAGAACAGGTGAGAAAAAATAATAGAGGTAATCCTCAGATTAAGGGGTTCAGACAGTGTGTTGATTTTGGCACCATTAGTATTATGTCTTTAGTTTCACCATGCTAAAACAAAATATTACCACTTGGGAAGAATGGATAGGAAATTTCATATCTTACACTTCAGCAAATGTTGCAGTTGGTTCATTACCCTAAAATTTGATAGGATAGTTTTGTACATATTTATATGGTATATACTTTCTGATGAAGATATGTGCCCATGTTGGGTGCTTTTTCTGAAAAGGATGTTGTATGACTAAGAGCCCGCGCAGGCAAAAGATAAGATATGTACTTCCTTTAAATGATCGCTGCGGTCTGACTACCGGTAGTGCGTGTTGTTCCTTAAGGAAGTACATATTACGAAGAACGCAGAACTCGGAACGCCTGACCGCCTTCTGTCTGCGCGGGCTCTAAAGAGTGCGAATATTGTATCATTGCTAGTCCTGTTGATAACGTGATTTAATGAATACTTTTAATAGGTATCTGGACAGTATAGGTATTCTACACGTAAAGCATCCTCCGCCTTATCCATCCAACAGAATAGGATCAAATTCCACTCCTGATCTAGCTGGAATGTCACAACATATCAAGCCACACGGAGGATTTATCAATAGGTAATTTTCAATTCAAATATGAAACTTTTAGATGCTACTAGGTAGATATCCTCGAACTGAAAACCTGCTTTGTATATGTCATAGGTGATAAGAGTTTTTGAGAACGAGAATACATATCCTGTCTAATTGTAATGTTTATTTTTAGCATAGTGAGCGGTTCTTCCCCGGACTTAGTTTCTTCTGGCGGTGCTTACCATTTACTTCGTTCATATAATACAGCAGTTCGCCAGGGAGGTCCTATTGCGCATCCTGTACACCGATCACATAGCTTCCTGCCCACTGTTCAACAACAGGTAAACTTTGTTATTTTCGGCAACCCTTTAGGTGCTTGCCCACTGAGGTGGGAAAAACATTTTTTTCTTATGCCAAGCTTGGTTGCACTGGAGAAAATTCGCTTGTCAAACGTCACGTCGCTGGCTAGAAACCCATAGTTTCTCTTCTGTTATCTTCGTTTCGCTTCTCGTCAGTGGGCGTGCACCTTTACTATATATTTTTTATTAATAATCACTTCAAATTTTTCATGGTTACTGGATCTTTCTGTAGCATGGTACCTACGAAAACTTGGCACAGCTAGTGACACCTGCAGCATATGTAGATAGCACAAGGCACATAAGAAAAGTATTTGATGACAGAGGAAACGTAATGTATTGTGTGCAACCGCATGGAATGACGCAAATTACTGGAACTCCTGCAGGTATGTTGTTTATAATGCTCCTGAATCCTGAATAAACGCTAAATCATTTTGACTTTATATTTTGGCGTATTTTTTATTTATTTTCACTCACGGTTACTATATTAAGGGCGAAAAAGTTTATTAGTTTTTGAAAATCCGTCCAGTAGTGGCTGAGCTAGGGACAAGAGACGAAAAAAGGGGGATAAAAACCACCTAAACTTCCTTTTTGGCTATTTCAGAGGCTTTTTTGCTATTTTAGAGGCTCCTAATCGTTAAAAAAAATTTTGTAGGAGTTAAAGATTGGGAGTTGAAGGTTGTAGGGGGTGAGGGAAAATTATTTGGCATATATTTATATGCTTCCAACCTCAGTGATCCTACCACTAAAATATAGATCTCTCGATTCATTCATAAAATCAAAAATAAGTCGTTGCGCACATGTCAATGGACCAGGGGGGGGGGGCGAGTTTAAACAAAGCCTGAAAATGTCCGACACTGGCGGATTTATAAAAAGGGGTCAGGTTGACAATTTTTCAAGAGAGCCCACTTCACATCATATAAATCAAGAGATACTTTGTTGGGTTGATTTGTTTAATTTGATACAGTAAAACAGGATTATTTAACTTTGAATCGTCTTGTTTTTCGTTCAGAGGGAGAAATACTACTTCATAATAAGGCAATTTCATGAGTTAATAGTGAAGATCAGCAGTTCTGAATTGAATAGGATTCTTGCATCTTGTTAAAAAAACCGTTAATTTTACCAGTACTACTAACCTAATAGCCCAAATTGAAGACACTGAGGTTCCTCCAGAATGAATTAAATATGTGTCTTGATACTACTGTAGGGGCTTGACTTGATTTATAGTACAGTTCAAAAGTATCAACGAATCAAGAGGAATGAAGAGAAAGAATTGTAGCAAATTGTGTTGCACAAAAAATATGCATTGCATAGAAAATATGAAGTTTTGACTAATTTGGATTGGCGAAAAATAATATACCAATAACTTTTTATACTTGAGGGCCCGCCATGCTCATTTCACCGTTGAAGTATAACGTGAACAACGGTAGCATTGTGTAAGTGGCTTACTCAGTGGTGGGAGCAAGTTTCACAGCATGGATGTAAGTTTCAGCGATGCCTTACCTTGGCGCTTTACTGTTTCAAATCTGAAATAACTAATAAAATCATTAGATTGCCAAAATTACGATGGACGGATTTTGTTTTCGTGAAACTTTTACTACTTGACTTCTAGGTTACATGATGGCCCGCAACCAGCCTTTAGTTTCACCCCACGAAAACTCTGCAGAGCCGATTTACGAGAATGTCCCGTTACCCCTGCACTTCGACGAAGGTAGCGAAATGAGAGCACGAACTCAGAGCGTGAACTCCGCTCCTGAAATCGGGGGTCATCAGGCGGTGAATAGGACGGTGGTAGATGCTGTTCAGCTGCAGATGGAGAAGTTGGATATTGCCAATAATGCTAGACCGAGTAAGTTTTTCATACACTACTCAAAAAAAATTTAGGGAACTAGAAAAGCAATTTTTTTTCGATGATCTTTGATGAAGCATGATCTTATCTAGACTTTAAAAAAACATTTTGAAGCTTCAACATTCAGATTTTTAAGCCCAAAAATTTTAGGAGCAACGGTTGTCATGCAATTCTACCAGATAGCGCAAGAAATTTTTTTTCAAAATTCTTGCCTTTTCAGCCCACTGGCTTCAAAAAAACTTTTTATGTTATGTCATCATATGGATCAGATAGCCCGTTTATTCAACTTCAATATCCTGTTTTTTTTAAATCTCTATGCGATCATTTGGCGCAGAGATATCTGACTTTGAATGGAAAAGCATCCTTTTGTCATCGACCACTGATATCTCGGTAAAAAGTAGTCGCACAGAGAATGTAAGACTATAAGATTTGATTTCAATCTTTGGGAAAAATATTTTTTTTATTTAGTGTTGATTTTTAAAAAGCCAAAAAGCTACCTTTTGCATTGTAGAAAATCGATCGTACTTTTGAACTGCTAATGAGAAGGCTAATTTTTCAGGTTTTTTTTATACCTCAATGTATACCTAATAACCCTACACGACGGCAAATCGATCGATTGTACGGTTTCTTAGATACTGTTATTGATGCGTCAGTGTTAATTTCAAGTAATTAGTACAATCAAATAAATATAAAAAAGGCTTAATAACAACAAACCAACTAATGAGACGCTAGATGACTTTTAACTTCGGCTGATACATTTTTACCTGGCTCATTTTGACAAAACGTGTTTTCTTTAGTTAGAACTTGTTTTCACTAATACATATAACATATCGATTTCATACCTCTGATAAGAGCTAATTTTCCGTTGCTTTCGTTTGTTATCCAACCTAGATCGTGCTGATGATGACCAACAAGTATTAAACAGCTATACACGGTTGGTCGGATTGACGAATGCAGTATTATTTATGGGTTCAGGAATAGATGAAAAATAAGATCCAGTTCAATATCAAGCTCGATATTAAGCCATATCTACACGTGATATGAACATCTTATTTTGAGATCGTTACTTCTTGAATCAATCTGCGTAAACATTTCCACTAAGTTACATTTCCAGACAGCAAAGAAAACCTATACGCCAACATCGATCATACCGCCGCCACCCCGACAGTGCTAAACGTCCACTCTTCAAGAACAGAGCTGAACCACAACTACCAACACAATCACCAAAACCCCCATCACCAAAGCCCTCCAAATATTTCAACTCCAATACCTCCCCCACTAACCGATTCAAACTCGAACTTGACTCGATCCTCCCAGAATCTCGACACATCTATTATCACTCCGCTTCCTGGAGACATATCAGCGATAGAAACGAACTCCATATTGAATGTAACGAACTCGACCAGTGTAGGCTCGTCGTACCTCGAACGAAATACTGGTTTTAGTGAAACTTCGAGGGAAAGTTGCATGGATGCTAGTTCTGCTTCCAATGCCAGCTCAAACAAATCTAAGAAGAAGCGGTGGGGGATTTTGGTTGGAAGGAGCAAGTCTGGAGAAAAGGTAAGCGTAATTTTCTACTCTAGTTCAGTATTTAAAGGCTCTTTCAAAAGTGCTACAATGCAATTCTACTTGTCTGGCTCATAACTTTGATAAAACAACCTTACTGTTATTTTCAATAAGTAAAAAATTGTTTAACCTCCTTGGTTAGTGTTTTATCCTATGTTTTTGTAGCAACTATAGAAACTATCTTTAATTCAAATATGCATGTTGCTTGATATTCCATAGATCAAAAGTGCGACGTTAGGAAGAGAGAAAAAGAAAGAAGATAAGAACCAGGCAAATAACAAATATCGATGGTCTACAGGTCTGCCAAGGTTCAACCCACTGCCTCCATCTATTAGTAAAGAAACTATGGTAAGTAAAGTAAAACAGTTTTTAACTATTACTACATATATAAATATTATAAATAATGAGATTTTTCCAATGGAATTGTATGACTGCAACAATTTTAGCGTTCGTAATTGTCTGACTTACCCGTTACATGCTTTCGGAAATAGAACATAATGCGCATTTCGTCCCGCGCTAAAACCTTGGGAATAAGAATGTTGTCACTTTTGTTTATCACAATAGGTGTATTATATACCGGAAATTTTTTTGTTATACTTATATGTTCTCTACTATTTTGAGTTACAAAAATTATTTTTAATATTTTATTTTTGTTAACGGTCGATAAGAAATGTTTTTTTGCTTTTAGTTTATTTCTATTATAATAAACAAATAATTATCTTCTGACTCTTAAAAGCGCCAGCTGGCACACAGGAAACCGATTTGTAAGTCAGTGCCGTCGGCTCTTAGAAGAGCCACAAAAAATCTTCTAATAAAAAAACATTTCACGAAAATACCTCAATAAATTATTTTACGAAGTTATACTACCAAAATAACAAATTAACCATTATACAACTAATTGGCTCCTGGGTAAAACCAACCGAAAAAAGGTGGCAGTCAACGTGTTAAAAGACTGTAATAATTTAGACATTGTAAAAAAGTTACACAGTATTCCAGAGTAAAATTTCATCTGTAAATCTACATTCCTTTACTGGGTACGGTATTAGATTGCCAAGTGATTTACAAACGCACCCCTGTATTTACGTCCCAAAGCTGTGATGTATTGCATTTGTCCGCTCCTTGTCGTTAAAATGTGACATTTTCGCCATCTGTAAGATGTGAAAAACAACCTTTAATCTCTGACTGAAATGCATGTAGCTGATCCCTCTCTAACCGAGATAAACTGCTTCATCCTTGAATGTGGATGTAAAGAATCTATTTTGAGATGATGTAAAAGCAATTTGGTCTAGGTACAGAATCTGCTACGATTACAGCGAACATACTAATTTGTTCTATGCTGATGACAAAGCAAATTACTCGTTATAAACTATATCAGTATGTCTTGCTTAGAGTATATTACATATTTTGTTCTTTCAGTGCCAATTATTAGAAAACAAGCTTGCCGATAATCAGTTATACTTCGAATTTGACAAAATACCAAAAAAGAAGCCGAACGCTGACTTTAAAACTGCCTTACATACGGACAATGCGATCTTCAATAGGTTCAAAGAGATTCTGCCATATGAGGACAATAGACTGAGGCTAACACCAAGCAAGAGCAACAAGTTTGGATATATCAACGCATCTCACATCACTGTAAGTGCAACATTGTGAGATTAGGTAATTTATTATTACCCTTTGTTACCAGTTTCCTTAATATTTCTATGTAACAACGAAATCTTAAGCCTTCTCTTCACAATGACCTAAGTTGGACCATGGAGGTGGAAACCATACTAACGTATGTTGGCATATGCTGAATTAGTGAATAAGAACTACAACTCCCACAAAGACTTAATAATCTCAGTATGACGCTGGGTTCACATATCCTATCTGAAGATAGCCAACCTAATGCTGTATTCCAGCGCCTAAACAAATTTCAGAGATGAAATGAGATACCAGTGCGTCATTTCTGAGAATTAGGAAGTTTCCTACAATCAAAAATACTGATAGTTTCGCTTGCATATAATAGTACGACTGGTATCTTTCACAAAAGGAAGAATTATACCAATAAGTTAAAAAAAAGGTTTGTTTGTGACGTCACGTAAGTTCGGTCACGCATTCTTATAATAGACACATACACTAATATTTATTTTGATACGTTCTACCATGTGAACTAAATATCTACTAATTACCAAAATGATATTTACAGCAGTACAATGATATAACAGAGCAACGTTTGTAAATGACGCGGAGCGTACGCGGCAAGCGTATGTATCGCTTTGTAGTAGCGATTCTAGCTGGTGTCATGTGACGTCATCACCAATTCTCACGCTCCAACAAGATGATTATGCAAATAATAAACTTCTGGGTAGCGAAACTTTGTCATCTTTTAAGATATTCAAAAAATGTTTCATTGCTCTACTTCATCATTGTCAGAGCGATGTTTCTCCTCTCCGCAATAATTATAGTGACAACAAATTTTAGTTTTTTAATTGTATCTTGTGGGAAAAGTGCACTTCTTTGTTAATTTTGGGGCGTTGAATCCAAAAATGACAATGAAATAAAAAAATTAGTTGCGGTTTAGAAAAAAAACTTTTTAGTTTTAAGGGTATATTAAAAAAAGTAACAAGATTCATATACTTATAAGAATCACTATATGCGCTGTCTTTTTGCTGTTCTTTTATGGATCGTTTCTGGAGCATCTCTACCAAGAGTCCAACAGTAGTCTGCAAGCATGGAAGGATTCCACTTTCCCTGGTACCTTTTTTCCATTGTTGAAATATCCTGATGAAAACGTTCGCCGTGCTCATCACTTACGGCTCCGCAATTGTCAGGAAATAAGTCCAGGTGTGAGTGTAGGAAATGTATCTTAAGATACATATTACAGCCCATCTTTTGATACGATGACAGCATATTTTTGACAAGGGTTTTATAGTTGTCAGCTTTTCTATTTCCCAAGAAATTAGTGACCACCAGACGGAAATCATTCCAAGCAGTTTTTTCAATACCTGTTAAAGTGTTTTCAAACTATCTTTCAAAATATTTCGAATCTGTGGCCCAACAATAATACCTTCTTTAACCTTTGCCTCACTTAGCCTGGAAATTTCTGACGCAGGTATTGAAAAGCTCACCCATCTCTATCTAATACCTTGACAAAGTTTTTCATTAGGCTCAACTTTATATGCAGTGGTGGTAATAATTTTTTTTTCGAATCTACTAATGCAGCAAAACTTTGTGTAGCCTAGCTGCAGCCCAAGTAAAAGTGCAACAACTTTCAAATCGCCACAAATATGCCATTGGTGCTCATCGTATTTTATGCATGTCAATAGGTACTTCATATTGTCATATGATTCTTTCATGTGAACTGCATACCCTACAGGAAGAGATGGTAAAATATTTCCAATATGCAATAACACTGCCTTTAAACTCAATGTTGAACTGTCTATAAACAATCTCCATTCTTCTGGGTTATAGTTTATATTTAAAGCCGCCAGTAAGCCGTTAATGTTACTGCAGAAAACCAAGTTATTCTCCATATTGAAAAATGGTTCTAAGTCTTTGTGGCGTTTACGAAAAATACATACCGAAACATCGTCTTCTAACAAGTTCCACTGCTGCAGTCTTGATCCAAGTAACTCTGCCTTACATTTTGGAAGTTCTAAATCTCTTACAAGATCATTTAATTCTGACTGTGTTATTTTGTGCGGTTGGTGGCATGACGTGCTCGGTATAAAATCAGGATCTCTTGACGTTGATGGCATATCTTCTTCCTGACGAATCACTAGATCGCCATGATCGGATTCGTTTTCTGATTCGCAAGTGTAGGATTCTGGGGGTTTTGGAATAGGATTTTCGTCACTGTGAGGCACAGGTCTCGTCGCAGATGGTATGTTTGGGTAGTTAATAACCGATTTTTTTTTCTTGGACATACCTGTGGCTTGTCCAACACAAGGTACCATGCAAAAGTAACAATCATTAATATGATTTGTAGGCTCTCTCCAAACCATTGGGACAGCAAAGCGCATAGACCGTTTTTTGCCATTTAACCAGCTCCTTAGACTTGAAGCACATATATTACAGCAGATGTGGGGTGCCCACTGTTTGTCTTGATCACCTAGTTTACAACCGAAATAAAGCTGATATGCCTTTGTTATTAGTGGAGTAATAGACCGTCTCTGAGACGCAAAAGTCACATCACCACACACGTAACAAAACTGATCTGGATTGTTTACACACTTTCGAGACATCTTGCATGAACGCTGTCAGCCAACTGAGGAAAAAATGGCTAAGGAAAAAATGGCTAATATAAAACAATATAATGTACACGTATGTATAACGTAACACAATCATGCCGATTACATCATCTTTCCTTGCCGAATATAAAAATGTAGCACGTTCATTCTTGTGAATTACAGTATATTAACACTGTCACAGCAGGAACACATATAATTACCGTATCTCTAAAACTTGAACTAATATTGAAAAAATAAGTTTCATTCCGGTTTTAGCACATTAAAAATAGTAATATTTTGTTGATTTTATTTAGGATATTTTTTGGCTGTTGATCAGTGTATTAATCCATTTTGTGTTATGTGCTTTGGTCATTGTAAAGCGTGCGCTTAATAAATGCTTAGTGAATATAACGTATAATTACGTGATTTTTTTTTATATTTTTATAAAAATAACGATTTAGGCAACGGTTGGAAGTAAACAAAGGTTCTACATCGCGGCCCAGGGTCCTACAAAACAGACTCTACCATATTTTTGGCAGTGCGTTTGGGAAGCAGAAGTTTATATGATGATACAACTCACAGACCCCACAGAAGATATTATGTATCTTCCTGATGCTGATGAAAGGTAATATTCAATAATATTTCATTGAACTATGGTATTATTTTAAGGAAACGTAACAATTCTAACATATAATAACCTGTTGCCCAAATTTCTGACAACCGATTAGATAGTTGTATACTCTCCTCCTTTCTGATTCCTATCTGGAAAACAAAAGTTCATTCCTTGAGTGCCACCTTCAATGATTTATAGCTTGCCATCGCGTAAACACTCTACACCAGTTTAAAGTTAGAACATCTTTCAATTAAATCTGTAAAACATTATTCATTGGTCGTAAAATTGTATTTCACTTAGTAATGGTATTATATAAAATCAGATGCATGGGATAGAATTATTATGAAATATATATATATTGTAGGTGTATTGATATCGATAGCGATTACCAAATCTGGTGGGAGTTCTCACAAAAGACTGGGCACTGTGTCACTAGTAAAATACGACTGTGCCACGTATCTTCAAGAAGATATAGAACCATCTGGCATCTGCACTATACTGATTGGACTGACCAGGGATGTCCGCAGTCCCCTGCACATTTCCTGGGGTTCTTGGAGGAAACACAATCGGTGAGGAACCTCTATAGTCTGTTTATTATACTCCATAATATGGCAACAAATTATGGCTTAGAAAGATGAAAGTTTTTCAAAGCAGATAGTGCCACCCTAAAGTTTCTGTATTGATTACTGTGTTTGTTAGACGCGTTCATCAAAACGATCGCCTTACAGACGATACGTGTCACTTGTTTGGTCGGTAAATTGCATTTCCTCATCGTGTAAATGCAATTGAATCATCGCGCTGACAATGACATTACTTCCTTCCTTCAAATCCAACCTACCTTTGTGTGCAAAAGTTTATTCTACTACCTGTCTCGAACATTTTCTAGTTATCTGTTATTTTACAACTATGCTTATCAGTGCCAGTGTGCTAACTCATAACATTGCAATGCCTGGATACACAGAGGAAAATGACAGTTGTGATTGATTTATGGAGGATTTCCAGAAAGTGAATGGAGACATCAACGATTGGTTTGCGCAGTGTGCAAATTCCCTTAAAAAAGTCAGTTCCACCCATCACACAGTTATTCGATTTGATTATTTCGCATGACATTAAAACCGAGAAAATCGATAGAAAGATCTATAAGATTTATGTTCAAACACTGGTGCGTATTTATAAATACAGTATTTGATGTCATTGACTCTTGTTGTTCAAGTAATCATTATTTAGAAAAATGTTTCTCAAACGTGAATAAATGGTATTCTTCAGGTACACCAGCACAGTTTAGGGGAAATACCGCCTGGTCATAATAAGAACCCACCCATTCTGGTTCACTGTACAGCTGGAGTAGGAAGGACAGGTTTGGCGATATTGTGCGACTTGCTGCTGTATACGGTTGATCACAATCAGGTAACTAAAAAATACACATTGCCAAAAGTACCATTTCAACCAACGTACATTCGCCTCTTTATCCCTTCATTCCTTTTTCCGTCTTCCATTCTTTATCCTTGATGATGTACCTAACCTAAGGAAAATCTTTCTTCCAGAAATTGATGAATAAAGAAATTACTTTGTCATAATGCGTAGATTTTATCAATTCCATTATTTCCCTTGAAAATATATAATGTCAAAGTGATTTTTTTGTACAGGAGGTATGCATACCAAGGGTAGTTGACCTACTTCGACAGCAGAGGGCGTACATGATCCAAACGATAGCTCAGTATAGGTTTGTATACGTCCTTCTCATCCATTATCTCAAACAAACAAGGCTGATCTAGTACTGTTCATTATCACTGTCCAAGTTTTGTTGCCATTACTGTATCTCTTTTACTATAACCAAGCGTGAAAATATAGTTACAAATAGAGTTACTATGATAGAACGCCCATTATTGAGAGTATAGATGGAGGTTGTTTGATATGAAATTATTTTGTAAGAATTACTGTTTTCTTATTTAATATATAATATTAGCGATGAATTATACGGAGATATATTTCCATAGTTCGATGCAATTAAATACAAACTACCATTTGTTTCTAAATCTTGCCTCAAGGATTTCAAAATGTATGTAGGAAGTGATAAAATATAAATTTCGTTAACTGTAAAAAAAAATTGCCAGTGAATGTTACGTATATATTAAATACCCCAAACTCGTCTGTCATGAATTTAGACTTAGTGAAACAAAACCATGACATATTTTTGTCACTTGTCGATGAGTGTCCTTAGAACAAGTAAAATACTGAAAAGCTGGGCGTTCTATTTTATACTTATTACTTATTAATATTGTCAGTATTTTGCAATGCAATAAAATGTACTTAATTAGTTATAAGATAAAACCAGTAACTAAAAAAATAAACAGTGTATTTTGGTAGTGTGCTTTAAATACCATTGAAGTCTGATCTAAATTTTAATAATGTAATAGAATAAGATTTTCGTGGAAGTGCCATGTCAACGTCACAGTTCTTACAAATATTTATCGGAAAAACATATATTCCAAATAATTGTTAGAATTCTCCTTTTCACCTTTTCTATTAAGCCCAGATCCCATAATAACACTATCTACTTTGATAAACCAGTTTATATAGATATATTTAATGAGGAGCAGGTTAAACTTGGCCTGGTCTGCCGCCAATACGTTTAATTCCAGCCAAATGTTGTTTGGTATAAGGTTTGCTGACATTTCAACCAAATAACGGTGGGGTGTGTGCAATAATGCCAGCACTAAGTTGGCCACAATACGTCTTGTAATGCGTAAAAGGTGGTTATAAGACGAAAATAAAACTACCTGACCCAAGACGTCACTGTAGTAACGTGACCAACACTTGTTTTTTATATCCAATGTCTTTAATATTGAACTTTGGCATAAACTGCATTTGACCTAGAGATGAGGTGAAATGGGATCTGGGACTACACAAACATAGATATTAGGAATTTACAGTTGCCACTTGGAACTCGGAGATGGCGTGAGAATACTTGCTGTGTTCTTTTGTTCTCATTTTACTGATCAAGTTAATCCCATGAATCCTTCGTGTTAAAATAACTTCCCCTGCTAAGTTGAGAAAGCGATGATGATTTCGAAATAATACAGAAATTATTGTAGTCTACAACTACGTCCGAGTGATTGAAATTCGTTTCACTTCCACAAATTCTGGATAGATTTTATTTTTTAATAGCATGATCCTGTTTTTGCTAATTTTAATTAATGTGAATGTTTTTAAAATGTTATTTTGTTAACTATTATGTAAAAGGCTGTGTAAATAACATTTTATGATCTTTTTAAATTGTAATTAATGTGATTTTTAAATCAGTGCCTTATTTATGTACTATTAAATATGTTTTAAACTGTAATCATGTATTAAATAAAAATCTATACCATGTTACAGCATTACATCTCATTTTTAAATCGGCCGTTGAAACAGTAGCGTCAACTTTAAAACTTTCATTTGTAACTTAGTTTTTCGACAAACACCTCGAACGGAGATTGATGGTTGATGGATAACTTGTACAGTCTGGAATTAACTTAACAAGGCAGACATTTTAAATGAGAGTGGGTAAATGCCTATTAGTATAATCATATTAGGCGAAAATACCCCTGGTTTGCGAAGTAATTGTCTCTCTCAAAAGTCTCGTTTTATTGCTGCAAGTTGTTAAGGGGGTATTTAAAACATGGACGCATAAAATGGGTACACCAATTTTTGTGGGATTCAATCGAAAGTGTTGGCAGGAATAAAAAACTCTTCATATAAGATTTTTATTCATGATACCTACAAAAGGAGACCACACGTAAAAAGATGCGACTAATAGCAAAAAAGTTATGACCGAAAACCGAGGCAAACTGCAGCTCTTGGCACTTGGTAATGCAACGATGGTTGCTCGCAGATACTTGAAATTCGTAGGATTCGTACTTCTAAATAACAACAAAATTGGACCAGATTGGCCAAGTAGTTTTTGAGAAGTTCTAATTGTTTATCCCAAAACACCTGTTTACCGGTCATCGCTACTAGTTTATTGAGCAATATACAGAGTTAGTACAAAGCGCATTTTATAGTAACATACACTACCTTTACCTTGCCGATTTGAATCGGAAACCATTCCGGAAGATAAATTTTATTTTTGTACAAAAAAGGATGGGTTACGTTTTTTCTTCTAAACAAATTCAAACATTTCGTTTTTGTGAGTAATTCACAACAAAAGATGATAGACACATTCGCTTTGTTTTAAAATGTGAAGAGTAACGTATGTTTCTCGAATATTATAGCGCATTTGTTCAATTACTCTCAAATTCGAAATGTTTGAATTTGTTTACAAGAAAAAAACGCAACCTTCGGCCACAACATTTTTGCTATTAGTAGGATCTTTTTACGTGTGGTCTCATTTTGTAGGTCTCATAAATACCTAAAAATCTTATATGAAAAGTTTTTTCGTTCCTGTCAACACTTTCGATTCTTTGTAGTCAAATAAAAAGTTTTCCCACAAAAATTGGTGTACACATTTTATGTGACTATGTTTTAAATACCCCCTTAAACAACCTGCACCAATAAAACCAGACTTTAGAGTTATTTCGGCGGGGAAATTTGCTAATATGGTTAGACTATATTCTATTTCAAAGAAAGATTCTAATAAATAATTGCAGTGGCAATGGGACTTACCAAATAACTGCTAGGACTGAATAAATATTTTAATATCAAGAAGCGTTGTATAGTACAAAATAAATATATGTTTTCAATAACAAAGATCTCTGAAGCAAATATAACACAATACTATTTATATCAGCCAAACTTATTTAATTACTCAGCAACTAGTTCAAATATGAAATTATGCGTATTACTCTATAAACTTGCTGAAATTAGTATTCAGGTTCAAATACTGATCAAACAGTTTTGTAACAAAAGTGCAAGTAAAATAACTGATTAGGCGGTAGCATATAAGGGATTACAAACATCTCAATCGAAACGTGCTTTATGCTGCAATGAGTAAAAACTTATACCATATGTCTATATGAAATTAGTACAGATTTCTTCTGATAAACAATAGCCAATAAATAGTTATATAAACACTTAAGTTTGTTTCATAACCCTAAGCTGTTGTTGCTCTGACACAACACTATGATTTCGAGTAACTCTGCCGTGTTAGCAGGTGAGCTTGCACAAAGAAGTCATGATCTACACAGGTAATATGCAAATATAGCAGGCAAGACGACCCAACGAATTCGAATAGGTTAGAAGGAGCCAAGCCTATTCGTTTGCGTTGTTTGACCCCAGCATTGCGTAGTTTTAGTACATACTTTGATTCATTTGACTACCAAAGTGACTGCATTGTATCAACACAATAATAATACTGCTGGAAAGATCTACCTTCAATCGGCTTGTACCCGTCTTTGCAAATTATGTAAGAAGTACCGTGTCTTGAAATCGTCCAACACCACAATTATCATCAAACTCTTGCATTTTTAAGAAATAACGTTAAATATACGAATTTAATGACAGAACTGCCAAAAACTGACTCATGTCAAGTGCACTTTGATTATCACTACAGACTATGAGAATTGGGAGACAAAATTCTTGGCTGGCTCCTTCTACCTAGTCTGGGTTCATTGAAACGACCACAGGCCAAGTTCCAAACATGGCATTGAAAAAGTAACCATTATTTTACTGGAGCGCCCTACAGGATCTACTTGTGAGCCATGAAGGACTGTGAAAATCTGCTCCCATTCAATGTCAGGAACGTTTATGTCACTGGGTACTAGGATACTTAGATAGCTGCATATTCACCATGAGCAAAGCGCATAGTGGGAGCGACTAAAATTAAATCGTTTTCTGTAGATCAATCAAAACAACGTGTGCAGGCTTACATAATAACATACACGGACGTACTGTAAATCTGTGGAATGTTTAACAATCCGAAGCATTGAAATCTACCGCACTACTATTATTCTCACTGGTATTCGCCGGCTCTTTCTTCGCTCCACCTCTCGCTAGCCTGTCTAATTCGGCTGCCGCATCTGACCTCATGGTCGCTTTGTCGGGCAGACTTTCTGGTCCGGAAGGCTTACCGGCTAGGGGACCTCCAGGGCTGGTCATGGAGGTACCTGGGCTACCTGTCTTTTTATATAGTAGAGAGTTGAAGAAGCTGGCTAGCACCCCTTCGCCGCCAGGAGTACTAACCACCTTGGAGCCGTCTAACTTACGCGGAGAGCTTTGAATACCTAAAATAGATATGTAACATTAGTTTTGTTCGACTAAATAATTTTTTTATATGTGCAATTGGGAAACTTTTCCGTGAAATATAATTGGCAGAGCCAATTTGGTACCTTAGGAATTTAAAGTGAAGAAGCAAGGACTACCGCCATGAGTTCGGCCGCATCGAGCCTAAACACACGCTAACAGCAAATACAAATAGCTAAGGCTATGACAGCAAATAAATAGTTAGAAAAAATAAAGCCCACGTTCGTGCATCCACAGTGCCTTAGAGCTAAAACATAGCGGAGTTATTCGCAACGCCAGTCATCTCACCTCGCTGCTTAAAAATAATCGATTTATGTAGGGGCGGTTAATAGGATTTTTTTTTAGAGTTGCACTCACAGTTCTTGACGGTTAGGCCATAGGAAATAATCGAACAGATCGAGTCTCCGTTCCATGGGCGGAACACTAATCTTCACGAGGTGTCTATTGATGGTATTTCCGGGCATTGTACAATTTTATATTGAAGATTGATAACAGGACAACTCGAATTGCACGCCGATGTCAAGTAAGTTGTCACTCTGCCAAAAATGATTGAAGGGCACTCATACGTTTTCGAGACGGAGACGCACAACTAAAAAACGTATGTCTTTGAGCTTACCGAACAAACGTTCACAGACAGGGGTGTGTTGCATGTGTATGTATGAGGGAGATGGAGACATATAAAGGGATACTGGTAGTCTTACTTTGACCCGCCAAGAACGGTGACTACAACTATACTTATTTTACTATCTGTATGAAATCACTATTGAGATAGACAAGCATAACATAAATTAAGGAATTTTCCGCCAGGGCGTGCAAATTTTGATCATCATGTCATGAACTATCCAGACACCAGTTATAGAATTTACCAGGACAATGCATTCATATTAACCTTTAACTGCTTAACATCAAAATTTTTCAGACCTGTCTAAATTTAAATGAACATTTTCTTTGATCCTCTTGTTTTTCAGAATAGATGGTACATACTTTGATAATCCAGTTCATTGATTTCTTACCTGCAATAGGCGGTCTAACAGGTGACTCTCCCAACCTAACATTTGGATGTCCACCTCCAAACGAAATCTGCTGCAATCTCGTCAGGAAGGCCTGTTCATCTTCAGCTATTATCTCCGTCTCACGATTCACGGTTTTCCTGGTAACAGGTTGCACAATCACATCTCTATAATAATCGTCTGGCTTACAAGAATGCATGTTCTCATACAAAATGCTGATCTTCTTCATGTTGTCCCAACCTGCCGGTATGAAAACAGCATCCTTTTCCACCACCAGTGCTGGAGTGTGGAATGGGAAGCCATAGATGCGATGCGTGAGATATTTGTAGAGTAAATCGCAGTTTTTGTCTTCTTTGGCGCTGGTGTAGAACAAGGCAGCGCCATATTGTAAACAGAATCGGCGGATCCATTGCTGCATGAAGTCCAAGTGTTCGTCACGGTAGTCTTGTTCTTTTTCGAGATTCTGGATGTAATCCGTTTTTGTGACAACCACAACTATTTCAAGACCTAAGTTGTTTGTAAGTGTTCCTGAAATAACAGTCGTTCATTTGTGATAGAGGTGGTGAAAAGAACTTTATTTACAATACTATAGAATGTCAAAGAAATGCCCTTCAATGGAAAAAAGGCGTTAACGTTATTGTAAAATAGGTGGTATCACACGAGTAAAGGCCAACAGTTTCTACTGGTTCATTGGGCTGCCTATTCATCGATACAATGTAATTCAAAGGCAGCTAGGAGACCACCGTGGCTTCACGCAGCAATATGTGTTCTTTGCCAGTGCGAGTCCATGTAGGAATCATGCGGCCAGAATTTTCATTTTACTATGTTAACACGTTGGTCTCACATGGCAATCAACATGTTAAGAAAGCTCTTATTTAGCTGTTTGTGAAATAAATTAGATATTTAAGAATAATTTTTCTAATTGGAAATATTTACAAGAACAAGGCTCCTTTTTCTAAAGTTTTCAACATTAAAGAAGAATTTTAAATAGATGTGGTTTACACAGGATAAGTTCCAGGTGTTACAAAAGAATGTTTTTTACATTTTTGGCTCATTTTAACAAAACAAAAGCTTGTTTTTAAAAATGCGTTTTTTTATTTATTATCACTGAAATATATCACAAGTAGTGTAAGGAAGGCACATTGGTACAGAATAATTTGAATCCTAGCAACACCAAATCTATGTTATTATTTATAGTGTTTTCTGTTACCTTCAGGCATTGGTGACCCTTCAAAATCTGTCTCCTCATCTCCCAAATTCCTAGAGCTCCTCTTCATTGGTGAAGCAGGGTCTAGCTCATCCCCAGGCTCCACATATTCCAACCATTGCTTGATCATCTTTTGCCTACATGATTGCCTTACATCTACATTAATGTTCAGTTTATCCAGATGGTCTGCCAAGATTGATGCCCAGTGTTGCAGTTGCTCCAATATGCCCCATGGTGTTGTCATCGACACTGTTAGTATAACCAAGGTATCCTGAAATAAATAATGAGATACCTATTTAACTGCTATCACTATGCAGATAATATTGCTATTGAAACCAGCTGGTTTCTCAAGCAAATATCTCTTATCTGTTACCAAACAATATTAGGACAGTACCCAACTTGCCCGCTTTTAAGTGAGCTGTCTAGTATACTTACACAATTTCAACTTTATATCTAGTATCCAATTATTTGATGTAATATTATAATAAATTTACCTTGTAATAATTATCTAGTTACTGTTGAGTCATTTCTACTGAAATATTCTACGTTTGCCATGTCTTCTTTGTAAGAAATGGATGGCAATAAAGAAGCATGAATTTAATTTTTCACATCTATAAGCATGAGTATTGTTAATTTAAGCTATTGAATATTGTAAGCAGCTAAAGGAAAGTGCTGTCTAGAATAATTATGCTTTAGCTTAGATACTGTGAACTGAGAGAATTAATAAAACAGAATATATTGTGATTTTAAAGCAAGGTTATTGTTTTATGTATGAGAGTTTTGCAGATTTTTAAAAAATCAGATAAGAAAATGTATTTTATTTTGAGTAGTTTTATCTACAAAAGTATTTTTGTGTTCACGGTTTTAGAGTTTGAAAGAGGTTTGGAACTGGGATCTACTTATGGACAGCATATTTCTCTAGTAGGTTTCAGAGGTTCCTATTTACAGTTTTTGAGGAACTGCTTGATGTAGCTCTAATCATTCAATACGGAATAGCAGAGTGGATCTACCAAAAGGAATACAACAAACATAACTAATAACTTCCAATGCAAGATTGGTTTATAAAGATAGCCAGCAAGAAATTTTACCTGGAAAGTATCTTCATTGAGAGCAAACTTCAGTAAATCTGCATGAGCTGGATCCCCATCTAATACCCATACACTTAAGCGAGTATGATCATCTCTGTAGTCATCTCTTACATCAATGTAAGCATACTCTAGGCCTGACCCTTTGCTGGAATTTTCGATTCCTAAAAATTATTTTGATTTAACTTGCTTGGATAACTATGTAAAGCAGTTCTTTACCTTGCAACTTCGCAACCATTGTTGTTTTACCAGATTCGTTATCACCCAAAACTAGAATTTGTTTATTTGGAGACAGTTTTGGTTTACCATGTTTCTGTACTTCATTTAGTATTTGGGACCATAAGTTCTTCTTATCTTCCTCGTTTTGTTTTACCGTTTCGGTGGATACAGAAGGAGGCATTTTAAACTACAAATCCTCAAAATTCAGTTGATTTGTAAAACAAATATTTTGCAGACAAAATACGTCCAAAATACCACACGAATGAGTTGTATCCTAATGTCAGTTCACTTGCCAAATTTGACAGATCATTCAGTGAACGGTGTTGCCGATTTGATAACCATAGAAAAATTTGGTCTAGATTCCCATGTTGCGGTTCCAGCTTCACCGTGTCATCTAGATGGCGCTGTACGTTAACAAAAAGCCACTTTAAATTTTACCTTTCTATAGCTTGACTGCAACACACTACATACAAACTTATCTGTTTTTTTTTTCACCACCGATGATGATAAACGAGTACATATCTTTCGAACGGCACAGAACTATTCTCAGTGGACAAGTTCCATAACGGACCACATGGCGCGCTGTATTGCCAATTCACCAATGTCGATTTCTATCTAGATCCGTTTTCCATCTCTGCATAAATGTGATGTGTTGATATATGGCAGTTGGTCGACCTCCTTGCTTGATTTTGAATTCAAAATTAGGCAATGAGAGACAATGTTTAAAAATACCAGTAAGTTGATGTTTCACCTTGAAGCTATATTATGATTTTATGTATTTGTTTTGCTTACAGGAAAATATATAGCAAGATGCACGATATGTTTGCAAAAGCAGTCGTTGAATTTGCTAATGAAACATTACAAAAAATGTCATTCGAAAGTAAACATAGCCAGACAATTGATAAAAAACAGCATCGTACAATCTGTCCCGAAAATGTTTTCACGAAAGAAATGGGCAAAAACGAAGATACCAACTAACTCGGAAAAACTTGAAATCAGGGACAATGCAACAAAAACATTATATCTGAACGATAGTGTCCAATTGCTGTGCGGCAAAAACAACATTATTATAGGGGATGGTAGAAATGCTTTTGATCTGGAGCTAACGTTTAACGATAGCGCTGGTGAATGGAAAGAAACTGTTAAGACTGAAGAAGCGACTGAAGAGGCTGACACGAGCAAAGGTTTATATCAACAAATTAAAAAAAATGTCAACAGAGCTCATATCAAATTTTTTTTAAGGCCATTATACAGCCTTCAAAATTCTTTCTCAAGGGCGGATTCCGGGTTTTTTATACACCGCAGCAGCGCAGGCAGAAGCCTAAATGTCAATGCATCGCGGCTGCTGAGGAGCTTAAGGAAACAGAAAAAGTGCGCGCTCGTTTAACAACTAAAACACAAAGATTTACAATAATACCCCCTAAAGCAAATGTCACAGGATCAGTATTTATTGTGGTCACAGATTATACTGTGGTCTATACCATCAGTATTTACTTACTGATCATTCCGTCATTGTCAGTGGATTTCTACTTAACTTAATAATTGCTGACGTCCTATTTCTGACTACACGGTCTTTAAATACCACTCATTCCATGATAAATACTGAGGGATCACACCATAGATCACATTCATTGTGTAACATTTGGCCTTTGGTGTACCAACAACGAATGCAGAGATTTTGTACCTCCGTGATATCACGAAGCAATTTTACCTAACGTTTTCTGTTTTAGTATTTATTCCATTTTGTTTTTCGTTCTAGGTTATCATTCATACTCGCCTTCAGCCTCCTCTGAGGACAGTCACTTCAGCTTGAAAGTACAAAAGAAACGAATCAAGCGTAAGAAAGCCTCTATGAAGAAACTCGGCTACTATTGCATAAACATCACTCAGTTAGATAAACAAACATCTTTGGATGAAAGAACCGGTGAGTTCGTTTCTCGGTCAAAAACTTTACAAAGAAGCGACCTAAAAATCCTCACATCTGACACAGAGTCATGCTCGGACACCGGCACGCCCACTGATACAAAGCAATACTTTTGCAGAAATTGTGGCAGCGGGTACAAGACCGAAAACGAGTTGGTTATCCATATGCAGATTCATACAGCTTTTTGTCATTTGTGTAAGGTCACTTTCCTCAGCGAGTTTGCTTTCAAAGACCACATGCGAAGTCATATCTTCAAAATTTATATGTGTCACGTGTGTCATCATGAGTTTTTGAACGCTGAAATGCTACACAGGCATTTTGAGACGCATGTGGAAGATAGAATTCTAGATAGTGTATTGGACATGGAAAATGAGTATGACCATTTGAATTTAAATTTTTTGTCAGGCGATTATGATGGCAGCATACAAACTATTTTGAGCTACTTGACTGATAGTTTTGGCTATACCCAGTGCACCGAACATTGGCAAAATATACGTTGTGCATTCCACAGTTCATTTCATTATTAGTGCTGAAAAGATTACTATTCATTTAGTTAGTTAGTGTTTCACTATATCATATTTTACTAGGATTTTAACCAGTACGACACATAGCGGGTTAAGTGTGTTCCATACAAGCATTGATTGACGTACTCTACCTGAAGATAGCCAATCTAATATGTTCGCGCGTCCGAAAAATTATCCGATATGAAATGAGATACCGTAGCGTCATCTTTGAGAATTTTTTACAGCTATGTTTCTCCCCTCCGCAACAATTATAAATCTACTCTGAAAAGGTTAGTGTCTCGTAGATGGCGCTGTAGCTGTATGCCCATATATAGTGGCTACAGCACCATGCCCAAATATAGTAGCTACAGCGCCAACTCTGAGACACGTACTTGTTCAGAGAAGATTCATAATTTTTAAAACCCGTGTTAATGGTATTAGTTTGGCTATCTTCAGGTATGAGTTAATGAACCTGTAACTTGACCCTGCTTCATCGAGTCATACAAATCATTTGAAAGGGTAACATCACGCCAATCTTGCCATGTGCACATCCTATGACATATTTATACATATAACTATAATAATTCCTATGATGCCCCAGCTGGTGAGTGGGTGAGTTTTTATTGCGAGCTCGGTGTATACCTCCGATATTACTCATGATATCTAAAAAAGTTGAATACAAATATTGTAGCTATCACTATGCTCCTGAATATTTTTACAGGGTGATTCATAACCACGTGGTGGCCCAAACATACATACGGAAAGCCCTAAGTTTATTGCAGATTTGAATAGACCCATCTAAACGAAACACTTTGATAACATACTAAAGGATTTTACATTCTTTCAAATTTGCAAGATATTGAACAATCTATTGAAAAAAAACTCTCTGACAACTCTCACCTTCGCAACTGTTCTAGCTGGAGTAGTGAATTTTTCGTCTACATACTTATTCAGTTTTTTCAATAGTTTATACAGGGTGGTCAGAAAGGCAAAATGAACTATTTCTCAAAATGTTCAAATGTATATTAACACATTTTTTGATTCAACTGTTCATAAGTCTTTTTTCTGAGATAAGGTTTATGGGGGGTTTGGACGACTAGTTTTTGTGATTATCTTTCCTAGATGCCATGGGTAATAACGGAGTTACTGACCGAGCCCACTCACCCACTGTATATTCATGGCAGTTACCTTGGAGGATATGGTATTTTCAAGAAAGCTGCCAGCACTTAAGATACGTCAATATATGGCGAAAATTAAGGTTCCATTACTTTCGTATTATACTTACATTCCACAGAGATATAACAATGAAATCGTAGTAGCATTTTAGCACCTATAGTGGGTGGAGAAATGTCTCTATATTTGATGGAACTCGGCAAAAGAGTCTTTGTTGTATCTGATATATAGTCTCATATCGTAAGTTCAATGTCTTGTTGTATCGGGCAGTACCTTTAAGGGGTAGTCGGTATTACCTCCCATGAGATTTCATTTGAATGTGTCGGGTAGGATGCGATCCCAGTATGATACGACATAGTCTGACAGTATTTGATTTTTCCAATGATGTAATTTGTTTTACGTAAAAAGTTATTACAACTGATGTTTATTTAGTTTTCTATTACCTGAAACATTATTAATAGTGGCAATGGTAGACGTCTTCATTTTAAAAGTCTATTAACTGTTTAACTGACAGAAGTGATATTTTAGTTCCTTTATGCATTATGTATTTTATATTACAAAGCAGGTACCTATCTTGTCATTGATATTGACTAAGAGTTGATGATTAATTTTTCTATTGCTTGGACCTAAAAGGGCGATCTCTGAAGAAGAGGTCTCGTAAAAGGTCACAAATATGGCTTGATTTTTGCCTGCTTTGTCAAAACTTATAAATAGGTACGCCTCAATCGCAATATACTGAGTAAGACTTAGTATGTGACCTAAAAACGGGATTTTTGATTTTCTTAATAGATCAATAACCGTGATAGAAACCCATGAGATATGTTATACGAACGTTAAAAACTTCACGATTTCAACGCGGGGCCAGGTAGGATTTTTTGAAGTTTTACTCATGCTAAAATGCTCAACTATGACAATGCACTGTTAGAGCGGTTACTATGGTCTATGGCTGTCGAATACGATGACGCTGTAGGCCGACATCACGGTTGCCATGATAAGCTCTCCACTAACAATCACAATTGAACCCAACCCATGTGGATGTTTATATAACAATAGAAACATTCGGTTGGCCGACTCAATTGTCGCTTGTATAATTTGACCTATATGACCTGGACCGACGCTAAAAGCGCAGTGCATTAAACGTTCCTTTAACATGTCACTAACTGCGCGGCAAGTACTTTAATTCCGATGGTTTACACTGTGATATCAGTAACTGAATTGACCTTACAGTATTGTTATATTTGTATCTGATAAGACTGTATAGTGCCTAAAACTACAAATTTTTCAAAGACTGATAATTTAGCACCACCTTTCACAACAATGTGTTATGAATTCTGAACTGAGTAATGTTATAAATTATTATTATTTTTGATTATCGGAAACATACAAGCTCACTATTTCTTCTATTGGGCTTAATGTTACAATATTTAGTTTGTTACCCTAAAATGAAAATTCGTTTATTTTTTTACTATAATGTTTGTTTTGAATAACATTAAATAAATTGTTGCAGAACTTATGGATTTTTAAATGACAATATTACACCATACACAATACATGTATAAATCATTAGACGAATTCATGTTTGTAGAAACTGGAAAAAGTACTGACAAAAGATTCAACTTTATAAATGATAACTTTATTGAATAATGTACAGCAAGGACATGGTATATGTATAAAACTTTTAGTAAATCACGTGTACAACTAATGTGATGTAAATGTACAAAAAGTATGGTAAATAAAAATAAATAATTGTGTTATTAGAATCCTTAAATATAAATATAAAAGACATTTATCACAATTAATGAATACTTGAGTTGGTTAGGAAAAATCTATTTCTATCTTGGCATTCACCTGATTGTATTTGATTGCAATGCGTAAATTAGACTATCATTAATGACGGTTTTTAATATGGTCACGGTGATCTTGAATGAAAATACAAACTTATATCTCTATTTTTTGTTGGACACTGGGAATTAGTTTTAAATAATCTATAAAACCTCCTTTCAACTGTCTTCAAGACTAATTACAAAATATTTTTCAAATTCTATCGAAAAATAAAACAGTTCCAACTGATGTAACTGTGGTTGGAGTTATATGAAGACATACTAAATGTTTGTAATTGTTTGTAATCTAGTAGTATATATCAATTACTTCACATTTTATCATTATGTTTGTACATCTTTGACTTTCTTCAAAGCTAATACAGGATATAATAGCAGGACGGAGCCTGTTAAGTATGTCATTTTAGAGCCAATGCTCCAAAACGCTATGCTGGCAAAAATGGGACCAAGTGCGCGCGCCAGAGCTCCAAGTGAGCGAAAAATACCCATCACGGTACCTTTCTGCTGATCCGTACCGAATTCAGATGCCATGGTCATCAAACAGGGTACCACCATTGCAGTAGCTGTGAAAAAAACATTTTAAAATCAAATCCCTACAGTCATGCGATATTCTCGGAATATATTTTTGCAAGATGGTGGCTTTCTAAATTCCACTGGCAAACCTAATTCAGAGTGCTTCCTGACTGAGTGTCAACGTTCAAGGGGGCAATTTTTGGGTCGATTTTGAGAAGAAAACTTTTTATGAACGTATCACCTCTAAACGCTTTTGAGATACAGGGTGGCGCTACGCCACTGATTTCTCTTAAAAATTATACTTGGAATCCCATCACTTAAAGTTTTCTTCTTGAAATGGACCCAAAAGCAGACCCCGTAAATATTGACATTCGATTAGGAAAAACACACTGTATGCTTTGATTTTGACTCGGAATGAGGTCTTTTAGGCCCGTATCGTCAGTCGTCCCTACAATTGTAGGGCGCCTTTATGGCCTCCTTGATTGTCATAGTTTTCTACTTCTCCGTGTCAGAACTCTATTTTGAGGTTATGTCACAAACATCTATTTGCACCAAATTATGCTTGCTTTTGAGTTATATCATGTTTTATCAGCCTGAGATTTCCTACAGTTTAAAAAGAAAAAATATCTTCACAATAGGAGAGCACTGACGCTGACACGGGACAAGTGTAATCTAGAAATTTTTGAAGGAGAGAAAGAAGAATGATAATCAAGGAGGCCATAAACGCGCCCTACAATTGTAGGGACGACTGACGATACGGGCCTTAGTTTCGTTAATAATTAAGGTGTTTACATTTGATTTGAAATTTGGTGTAATTTGATAGGATTTTTCTTCGTGCAAGTTGAGATTTTCATGTAAAAGTACTTACAAACAGCAAATAATACTAATCCTAGATACAGCATCACAGGTTCGTATGCTAGGCCGACGCATATAAACGAAGGGACGATTAGCCATAGTCCCACGACGGCTGTCGACTTGATTTTCTTTTGAGGTACTTTTCGAACGTAGCCGCCTTGCAATAATGCCATTATTGCGCCTACAAATTAAAAAAAATTAAACATCAAATTACAGCATAATTTCTGTAGTTAACGCAGACATAAAACAAACTGAGACACCTTACAGTTCCCGCTCACAGCTAGTCAGACACACTGCTGTAGTAGCAGAATCTGCCAGTATATTATATTCTGTGCCATCTAAAGGTGCATGTCCATTGAGGGACAGGGAAAATGCCAATCAACAATGAAGTCATAAAGTCAAACTCACGCATTCTCGAGTGATAATTGAGATATTTACACCGCAGCATTGGTAGCCATGTGCATCGACAGATCTTCTTTGCTGTAGTAAACGTTTTAATCACAAAGGTGATCTTCTTCAGTACAATGACAATATTTGCTTTGTCGGTATTCCAGGTAACAGTTCGTTAACCGTAAAAAACTATACAATAGTAGTTGAAGCAAATTTGTGCTTCTCTTTAGACGGTTTTGTGGCAGCTTATTTGTAAGTCTGATATTTGTGGTCTTACTCACTAAACGGATAATGTTGCGCTTATACACATGAAATAAATAACAATATAAAGAGCTAGCCATTTTAGTATCTTTACTACTCTACACATTGCTTAGATTCAACTGCAGGGTGCTACCAGTAGTGAATTCGGCCATAAATGTAACTAGACTCACCTATAACAAAAAACATCCAGCCTTGTTGCATTGAGGTATAGCTGAACACGTGGTGGGTGAGAAATGTAAGAGTAAATTCCAATCCACTGTAGATAAATAAATACACAAAATATATCACGCCAAGTTTTCGCAACTGCTGTATTCTGGATCCGTCAACACCGTTTATTGCTGTGAACTGGAATAAGTCTTTGATGCTCAGCAAGCTTTTGGAATTTTTTAGTGTGGCTACTAGACTAGGAGCACGTTTTTCCTAAAATTCATTAATAAAATGTCTGAGCATATTACAATGTGACAAATCCAGCTTGAGCCGCGAAATGTAGTTAGAATTGGTTAGATGGTGAATACCTGAGAGAAACAGTGATAACTCATAAGTAACATTTAACATAAGTTTCGTTGGATTATAGCACATCCATCTGCAGATTCAGAGGGGGTTGGGGAGCACTGCCTCAGCATGCAGCCGACACCCCTTCCCCTGGCCGCTCAACGTTAATCCTGCGACTCGCACCGCCGCCTCCACTAGATAGATGATACCCTTGAGCGCTTATATGGTATTCACGGATCAAGCTGGATTTGCAAAACAGTAATTCAACTATATCTACCAATCGATATCCGTTTATTTTGCGTAAGAAGATGTATTAACAATTTTTTGGGTGAAAACTGTTACATGCTACATTATGTATAGGCGCAATTCTTTTCCGACATTTTTCTCGATTTTGAGAAACAGCTTTTTGGATTGGAATGATTTGTATTCAAATTAATGTTTATTAATAAAAGTAAAAGATGATCCATAGAATGTACTCACCTTGGGTAAAGATTCTTTGAAAAATACTGTAAAAAATATCAAGTCTGCTATAGATAACATCAATGCAAACAAAGCAGGTACTATAAACCAATCTCCTGTTTTCGTTTTCGCCCATACTGCAAAAATAGCGCCAATCAATGGACCAACAATGAATCCTAGAGAGAATGCAATTCCAACAAGTGCCTGCAAATAATTCAGCATATTTTTATCAAATGTATCATTATTGTTTTGTGTTACAGAGATAACTTAATTTCTAATTCTTTTAACAATAACGGCTAAAAGTTACTTTTATGTATCTTTTTTCTGAGGAATTCATATTATTTCATAATATTGAGAATATTGTGCAATAGTCTGTAATATGAATTTGCTCCTGTTAATGGAATTATCATTCACAACTCAAAAATATTTAACATAACAGGCAATATAAATTTTTGGTTAAATGAGGCCCACAAAACGTCTGAAGCAAGATAAGGATTTGTAGGTTGCATGAAAAAAATATTTATAAATTTTTCCCATCATGGTAGATATGAAATAATAATCTGATTCTTTTTGTTACTCACCATTCCTTTTCCCCTAGTCTGACTTGAGGAAACATCTGTGATGATGGCCATACTCAGTGAAACATTTCCTTTACTGATTCCTCCAAAAAACCTTGCTAATATGAATATAGGCAAATTACTTGATAATGCCCATAGTATATATGAGAAGGATATGCCTGACTGAAAATACAAAATAGAATATGGAATAGAAAACAGTAAATGAAAGAATCTAATTTACTGAAAAAATAAAAATTCAAAAAGCACCTGAATAGTCCAAATGTGCCGACATCCGTGAGACACATTATGATATCACCACATGTTTTTCGATGCTGAATCCGGATCCAGCATCAGAGAAGTTCCTAGACTTCACCCTCGACCCCAAAAACCAGCCCTAGGAGGAGTGAAAACCGCCATATGCTGCAGCATGGCATTTCCATGTATTTTTACGGTGATCTGTGGTATAGGTATATACTCGTAGCAGTCATGATTTTTTACTGTTCATCCTCAATCATATTTTTCTATAAAGGGTTGATGGTTACATATCAATGATATTCAAAATAAATAATCACTCTACTATGGGCAGCTACTGCTTTCTCTTGTATACATAGACTGACAGAGGGCGATTGTTTCTACTATTTTCTGTAAATTCAGTGCTAACTGTTGACATTATATTTGCAGATATTGCTGTACTTTATATCAAAGATAAACTCAAATCAGACTCTCATGGTGAATGAGTTTTTATACTGACAGTGGAATGTATAGTTGTAGAACATTGATGTGTAAGCTTATGTACAAAAATGTCTCCACACACATATCAGGAAGATTGCATGTGAGGTATGAGAGAGATGGAGATAAAAGTGATCAGTAGTTTTACTGTGATTCGCCAAAAATCAATGAAAAAACATGTGCCTATAATTTTAGCAGTGTTACAAAATACACAACTATAGTTGAAAGTTGATTCAAAGTTTTAAGTTAAGGAAAAGTATCTTTTATGGTAGTTAATATCTTATATTGCTGAATTATTCGTACATAATAGATAATTGATATAATATCTTTATCTAGAAACAAGTCTTTGACAATATCACAAAAGCAGATGACTCCCTATAATTATGATGATGCAATATGCATCCCCTCCCACTGTTTTTTATCTATCAACAGTGGGGGCCACATAGAAACTGTGTGTGTTGATCCCCAGGGTTCCTACATTCACCCCTGCAATATAATTTATCTACTATACTACTGAATGATTAGCTTTAGCAGTCATAGTTTGGTGTTGGATATTGATAGTTTCTATCAGACAAGAAGTATGTCTGCAGTTGATTAAAGAAACCATATCAACTGGAATGTTCTTTGCAATACAGATTCTAAGTCAAAAAAGATGATACATTGCTTTCAAATAAGGTGAATATTAGAAGTATGCAAATAATTTTGATATCAATCCTATAAACACCAGACTTCCTTTATTTGAATTGGGTTTATTGTAATAGTTCTACCAAAGTTTTAAGAGATAATCAACTCACCAAACAAATGATCATCATAGGTTTCCTTCCTACAACATCTGAAATACTGCCAACAATTGGAGCTGCCACAAATTGCAAAAAACTGTACATAGATCCCAAGAATCCACCAAATAATACTGAATTGTACTTTTCTGGGGCTCCAACAATTTGTTGGAAGTAGAATATTTGACTAGATAGCCAGCTATATAGCCCTGTAGAATCGTTTGTTTTATAGTGTTCTAGCAGTGATGGAAGTAATGGTAGAATCATTGTGAATGCCAGAAGATCCAAAAGCAATGCTATAAACACGATGTAAGCTGTGGGATGCACTTTATCATTTTTATTCATTTTTTATTCCAGCACGCACGACTAAACACATATGAATTGAAACAGGATGTGAGCTTGAGTGGCATGGTACTTTCTTTTTTTCTAACCTATATATGACCTACTTTTGCTAAATCAGCATAGTCTAATCGAATAATTTAGGCGTGGCATGATGACAAGCAATAATTTTTTCATTATCTTTCCGTTTAATAATTTGATATCGATATCTAATACAAGAATATTCAAATATTCCATCAAAACATTGTTGTTTTTCAAGTGGGAGACGCAGGACCAGTGTTTGTAAACAAATAATACGTCAAAAGTGTCAGGCATACGTCAAGTTGTCATCGACAAGAAATCGTGAGGGTGACGAAAGCAAGTATTGATGTGGATCTCCATTTTCTAGGCTTTTATAAGGACGGTCAATATTCACTATGGCTTATTGCCCAAAGATTTTAATATTTTTAACAGCTACAAAACTTAATATATTTGTTTTGTGTACAGAAAGACATTTTCACTACCTCAGATAAAAAGCCCTTATATTTGACGAAAATACACCTATATAGTACGAGAAAAGTGCAATGATAACACTAGTTGACCAAATAAAGCACACACTTTGTTTATCTTTAAGTTATATTAAAGATGTCTAATGTAAAATAGTATGGCAACAGTTTTTAAATATAAATACATAGTATCAATACAATAATAAGTTCACACCTGTTTATCTATATCTTCACTTTTTATAAAAGAAGATACAAAATGTAGAAAAGATATTGCCAGTCTTTTGTATAATATGAAAGAGTCACATTAGAAACATATAAAATGTAATAAAGTATAACGTTACTTATCGGAAAAGTATATTAATTCCGTCCATTAATAGAAAATATGTCAATTTGTCAATAATATAGTCGATAAATACGTTAGCTGTGCGTGACAGTCTTCTAGGAATATTCATTGTTGGTGCAAAGGTAATCTACGGCTACGCTTGGTCAAAAATCACGTTATACTTTGTAGATCTTAAAACTTGAAATGCTACGAATTTGCTACAGTATTAAACTGACGATAAAAGAAAAAGTATCAGCAGTGGTCTTCACTGCAATTTATCTGGTTTGCTACATTTTTCAATTCCCAGTTGCAATCCCAAAAGTATTTACACAAAAACCATCAACAGCCACAGACCTCTACCAACCGAGAAATCTATATTATTGTCCTACTATTAATACATTCATTTTTCTGAATGATATTTACCTATTTTTGAGATATAAAATGATTTCTGGTTTTGGTGAACTACTTTTTAGGATCGAGAAGATGTCTCAATGCAGGATCAAAAAATGATTATTCGTTAAACTGAAACATGATAAACGTTGAAGAACCTTTCAGTATGTTTTGATTCCGTTTTCTTCGAGCGATCTCATACATACGATACTATTTGCCAGAAATAACTGTAACAACACTTAATTCCAATTTAGAATCCTTCAACCTGCTACTTCACAAGTCAGATGTAAAATCATCATCATCTACAAATTAATATTAGCAGTTACATGTGCATTACAAACCTAAGCAGCTATAAGTCGGTTGTAAAAAACCAGCCTCTCTCTAGTATCGTTGCAATAGACAATGCCAAAAGTTAAGGCATTTGAATAATAAATAGCCCAATAATGGTAAATAAGATTCTTTGCATGTGCGCAATATATACAGTAGGTCTTATGTTGGTGAAATTGATACGACACATGGACCAGATGCCGTCACCACCCGCGAAAAGTGTGTTTTTTAACTGTATGAAGACAGAAATACCTCACAGGATCAAATCTTCGACAACTGAGGAGGAGAACCTATACCATATTTCACGAGAATCCATCACGTTTTGACGATTACTGAGGTGAGCTGCTGATCAACAAGTGACTTTTATCATTATTCTGTCACCGTTGGCAATAATGAATCGGTTGCAAAACTAGTAAAACTTGCTTGTAGCTTCTTTCTTTTGCATGCACATGAACTTTTCTAAATCAAAGAGTTGTTAGCAACTACAAAATGAATCTGTAGCGTACAACAAACCAAAACAATACACTGCTATCTATCAGAATTTTGAGTCATTTGGCGATATGGAGAATTTTGAGATAACACTAAATAATCAGCTGTCATTCTACCGTGATGGATACTCGTGAAAAAGACCATAGCAACGACGACACAGTTTCTTTGACTACCAGACGAGACTACCTTGCCGCACAGATCATAGTTCAACAACCAGAATTTGGTGGGTACGCGATGATAGCGTCATTTAGAGGACTGGAATATTTGTGCTTGTGGATATTAATGGAAATAATACATATTTAGTCGATTTGAAGTTAGGAACAATTTGAGTTTTAAACTGATAGTTTTCTTTTGGTTTGTCCCTTTTTGTCCTACGCACGAAGACTAGAGATAGGAGGTTGACTGCATATGTATAAAGCCGGCCTTGTCGCCAAAGATGGTGTGGCGCATTGGAAAATGTCAACAGAACCTGCTCCAATCTTTATGTGCATTTCGCTCATGGTTTGTCACCCTTGTACTTGGTTTATTATTATGCAATTCGACCGAACTGCCAAACATGGAGTTGTTTACAGCTATAATGACAGCAACAAACAGGTTTATAGCTCAGTGTACCACAGAGAGAAGCAGTACCTGAAATTTACTTGCTGCGCAGTGTACCAATGCATTTCATCGTCGAAATTTTTGACTCGACCTCCACTACACGAGCTTAACCTTTTATCTCTAGTCTTCATGGTCCTACTCCTGTGCGGCGATATATTCAGTTCCCCCTACTATGCACCTCGCTCCTCGCGAATAACAAGATGATAAGCATTAAATGTGGATAATATTGCTAAAATTGTTTATCTAAGTTTCTTAGAAGTTAAAATATGTTAACCCCTTATTGCATCCTGAGTCATATATGATACATACCAATATTAATATTTTTTTGAAGCTCTAGAATTTAAAGAGCGAATAACTGCATAGTGTCGCATATTTGGGACCGAGGAATAACCACGTTAAAATAATGCCGACGCTCCTCCGACAAAAAATATGACCTTGGAGCGGTTTGCAAGTTTACACTCGCACTTTTCGTGGTACAGTCGACATCTCCGATTTTATGAAGCATTTTTGTTGGGTGAAACGTAGGTTTTGGTGATAGAAAAAAATAGCTGTCCACAGTTTATTTGTTACTTGTGCGTTTCAAGTTAAGTTTAGGCAATAATTTCAATTTTTGCAGAGGTTACATACAAAAATTGTTTTGATTCATATATGGGACATCATGCGATTATAACGAGTGATAAGAGTCATCTTGATTCCAGATGGATCCAAAAATATTTTATGGAAGCAGTAAATATGTTACGAATGTACCGGAAAACAATGAAAGTGATGATCCCGATTTGTCAGACGATGAAGACACAAATAATCCAATAATTAATGATAATATATTAGCATTTGACAGCGACGACAACAGTGAGCCTGAAGGAGATTATGATGAGACAGTCATTTCTGAAACAGATGTAGAATCTGACGATAGTGAAAATATGACTCTACACGAAATTGCAGAGAAGATGAATCCAAGCGCCTGGAGAACTGGAAATCTCGTGAAAGATCCAAAGGATCTAGAATTTACAGGCAATATGAATATGCCTCCAGAAGTTACTGACTTAGAAACGCCATTACAATTCTTCAAGTTCTTCTTGACTAAGGAAATCATATCAGCAATAACTATCGAATCAAATTTATATTGCTCACAAAAGCGTATAAACCGTCCTTTGAACCTCACAGATGATGAATTAGAGCGGTTTATTGGCATATGTTTATATATGTCTATTATACAACTACCCCAAGCTAGAAACTATAGGTCGCCACATTTAGGTCATCATAAGGTATCAGCAGTTATGACATGTAACAGGTGGGAAGAAATCAAAAGATTTATTCATTTCAACAATAACGATAATTTCATACCTCGTGGTACACCTGGACATGATAAATTATTCAAAATAAGACCTTTTCTAGACAGTTTACAAGAAAGACTAAATAAAATTCCAGTTGAAGAGAACGTTGCGGTAGACGAACAAATTATTCCAACTAAAGCCAGATCAACAATAAAACAATACAATCCGAAAAAGCCACACAAGTGGGGCTATAAAGTATTTGTTTTGAGTGGAATCTCCGGCTTTAGTTACAGCTTCGACATTTTTGCTGGATCTCAGAGCAACGTAGTTCCTGTTGATGTTCCTGATTTAGGAACAAGCAGTAATGTGGTGCTAAAACTTGCCCAAAGAGTCCCTAAGCATATGAACCATAAAATATTTTTCGATAATTGGTTCACCAGTGTCCCACTTGTGGTTTACTTGAGCAAAAATGGCATTCTTCCTCTTGGTACTGCGCGCTTGAATCGAATTCCAGGTTGTAAAATGCTATCGGAAAAGGAATTCAAGAAACTTGGAAGAGGATCTTGGCAAGAAAAAACTGCTATCAAAGATGATGTGAAATTAAGTACTGTTTGCTGGTATGACAACAAAATTGTCACAACTCTGTCATCTTATGTCGGCTCGCAACCAATTGGAAGTAAGCAAAGGTTTTTTAGAAGCGAGAAATGCTACAAAGATGTGCAATGTCCGCAAACAATCCTAAAATATAATGAATACATGGGAGGCGTAGACCTATTGGATTCTATGCTTGGTTATTATCGCATCAAAATTAGATCCAAGAAATGGTATCTCCGCATTTTCTTTCATTTTATAGATATGTGCGTTGTGAATAGTTGGCTTTTATGGAGGACGCAGAACGAGTTTTATATGCCACTTGCAGATTTTAAGGTAGCTATTGCGGATGCTTTATGTATCAGTGGAAAATCTGTATTGAGTAGAAAACGTGGACGACCTAGCGCCAATCTTGAACATGCTTATTTGGAAAAGACTAAACGTGGACCTGCGGCTGAAATTCCTCAAATTGAAGTAAGAAAGGACGGAATAGATCATTTGCCGGAATGGAGAGAAAATGAAAGAAATCGATGCAAACATCCAGACTGCAAATACCAATCATATATTTATTGTGTAAAATGTCAACTACCGCTCTGCCTAAATAAAGATAGAAATTGTTACCTAAGATTTCACACCGAGTAACTACATAAGACTGGTTGTTAGTGCATAGAGTCCCATATATGATACATACCCCTTTTTTGTAAATTTTTCAATAAAAACTTAATAAATATTTTTTTAATTATTTTTCATCTAACTTGTGCAGACTGATCTACCTCATATATTTTTTCCATTGAAAATAAAAAAATCATGCAATAAGGGGTTAATCGTTATATCCCACAAATCACTGTTATGTTATGTGCGTTTGCATTTCTCGAAAGAGAAATATTTTTATGAAGAACTTACAAATTATATACAAACATGAACATCATTGATATGTGATGAGGATACAAAAATTTAATAGATCTGCTATAACATTATTTCAAATGAATGCAATTTTGTAAAATGAAGACTGAAGGCATCCACTTATTTCACGACCATAATTATTTGATTTACGCATTTCTGGCATGTTTGTATCTTATGTAGAGACATCTAAGCCTTAAAAATCACATTCCTAGGTGCTAGTCGTTTGGGTGTTAATAACATCGTGACTTCCGTAGAAAGATGTGAATGTCGTATTTGTACTATGACTCAGCGGAAAAGTGTCATTGCTGTTCAAAGTTCCAAATGCAGACAGGATCTCGTTGTTGACATGGTGACGCGGACTGTCCGTTATCATGTGTTCGGGCAGTTGACACTCCGACCTGTAGAAAAATTGAATCAGTTGCTCTTTTTTGTATGTCATCTATATAGTCCAATTATATGGGGTTGTCCAAAACCGACGCAGGAAAGTAAACGCATATTAAAACAAGAAAGATTGATATTCAAATCAAGTTGGGTACTTTATTTTGAAGGTTCATTTATACCATTTATGTATGAAAAATAACATCGCTCAAATGTTCACCACGACTGGATTTACAGACGTCCACGCGATGGTCGAAAGAAGGACTGCAATCGATGGATATTGACGTTGGTTGTGTGGCATGTTGCACCGTCTTGTTGGAAATAAACATCGTCCATATCCATTCCTTCAAGTTGCGGCAAAAAATAGTCCTCTATCATCACGTGATATCGCTCAGAATTGACGGTAACGGCGTCACCGGCCGCATTTTCGAAAAAGTAAGGTCCGATGATGCCTTTTGACCACAATGCACACCACACAGTCACTTTTTGAGGATGCATCGGCTGCTCTTGATACTCACGGGGATTTTCGTTCGCCCAGATGCGGCAGTTTTGCTTGTTTACCGTCCCATTCAAAGTGAAATGCGCTTCGTCGCTGAACATGATTTTTGATGAAAAATTGGCATCAATTTGGCGGTGTTCAAGGAGCCAATCTGAGAACGTTCGGCGCGAAAAATGGTCGGCCCGACGCAGCTCTTGCGTCAATTGGATCTTGTAGGCGTTTACATTCAAATCCTTGTGGAGAGTGCCGAGCAAACTGGTTCTCGAAATGCCCAATTCTTGGGATCGACGCGTTGTTGATTGTTTCGGATTGTCTCTCACACTCTCCTTCACAACAGCAATATTTTCCGGTGTGCAAACGCTTCTTGGCCGGCCAGAGCCTGGCAGATTTGCCACAGAACCTGTTGCCTCGAATTTACGCACCAGACGACCGATGGTTGTTTCGTTTGTGCGGTTGTTGCGACCAAAATGTTCACGAAGCGCGCGAAACGTGTTTTTTATTTTTGCACCATTTTGTAGTGCTCTTGAATAACTTTAATGCGGTCTTCAATCGAATACGACTCCATAGCGATCAATGGTAAACATTCAACTAACAAAATGACATGTCGGTGACAGAAAACAAAGATGGCGTCTATGTCAAATTAACGTTTACTTTCCTGCGTCCCTATTGGACAACCCTTTATAAGCCATAAAGGAGGCCAACCTCGGAATAAGAGATAATAAGCTGTAAACTTGTAGAAACCTTTATTTTTCCACTATAAAAGTTTTCTCAAACGTCTCACAAAATCTTGTGTTCGGGTCTTAGGATATCAAAGGTCAAATGTCACAAAAATCGTTTTTTTCCAAATGTATCCTTTGCTATGGGCTTAATATTATTTATATTTATTATGAATATTGTAGAGAATGAAATTTTCTGCAACTTTTGTCATACCATTGTTTTTGAGATGGCGGAGAGCACGTAGCGCTTAGCTGTTTGTTATAATTAGCATTTTTTATAACTTTGCGAAAAATCCGGGGACTACAGGGTGATTCTATGCCTATAAGGGTTGACTACTCAAACTTGAATAAACATTTCGCAGAACTTAAATGAAGAGCCACCGACACACCGACAAACTCATATGCATGGCATAGACCACATAAACGTATACATATCTAGGGTAAAGCTTTGCGAAAAATCGGGGGATTCCAGGATAGTTATGAAGGTCAATTCAAGGTCAAATTTATTTTTCCGCATGGAAACCCTCAATAATGACCTATTTTTGTGAATTAGACCATACGACTTAACCATATTACTCCCAGCTCTCATCATGATAATAGTTATACGGTTATACGATAGTTATACGATCGATTTTCAATTAGAAGAAATAAATGCGTCAAGCAATAGAGTATCGTGGATGTCTAGAGCGGCAACTCTATGGATAAAGGCGATGCAATTAAACCTTTGAACTTAAAATTTTTCGCCATTTTCAGCGCCGAGATCAAAATTGAGGGTGTCCTGCAATTTTCACATTAAAAGTTCTTCTTTAATATTCTACTTCATCGGGATATCTGCCGCTTACAACATTTTATGAAGGAGCAACAATTCACCTTGACAAAGCTTCTAGTTGGACTTTAAGCTCCTCTGTGGTATTTATACCGTTGAAAGATAAATTTTTGCAATATTTCTGCAATAAAAAATGGGGTTTCCCATTTGAAAAAATCAACTTGCCCTTGACATGATCTTCAATGCATTCAATAGCATTAAACAGACAGGAAGCGTTTTCTTCGCAAATAATTTTATGACTTTTGAGCATTGATATTATTAAAAAAGGAAACGAGATTTTCTGAGATTTTCTACACCACATTTAGAATGACGAGACCAAGGTGAAACTACTTATATTTCAATCTCCAAAAAATCGTCCAAACACTCTCATTGTCTTGAAGCGAATGACTGGATAAAATTTATTTAATGTTGAAAAAACTTTTCTAAGATTTGTTTATACTTCTTGATGTTTGACGAAGTATGCACATGTTGAATGCCAAAGTCAGTCTTTGTTTAGATTGTCTACTTGACGACTTACCTTCCTGAATTAGTAGCTTCCCCGTTGGAGTTCATATTTCTAGCAGCAACTGGAGTCTGCTTGATCGCGTAGATGTAAACACCTGTCATTGATAACGTATATGACAGGAAATATAAGGCATGAAACTGAAAACAAGAAATATTGCTTACCTTTTTTTGAAAATGTTCAGAAAGTAGTGAGTTACCCACATTATGGTGTCTTTTGACGACAATAAATTCGGAAAGTTTTCCTTTAGACTACTTTTTTTTAATAGCATATAGGTAATTACATTATCGTTTTTCTTTGCGCAGCATCAAACCTACTGTAACCGCTTTCATAATGAGCATTGTATTACACTTAATCCAAATGATACTAACCTTATACTTAAATAGCACGATTCCTATAATTAAGGTATAAAAATTCCCAGACAACAAAGACAGATGCAAAGCCGTCGTGCCCATGTTCAATAGAAACAAGGAGGAGAAAGTACAAAACATGAATTGACATGCTGAGAATGAAGACAAAAGGGCACTGGAATTACTCCAGGTGGAAGATATCAATGTTTGCTTCTCCAGCAGCAACCTAAAAGGAAAATTAAGAGGATTTTGTTAAAATTGCATGGGGTAGTGAACAAACATATAGCGTTTAAGGCGGTTCTTTCCATACTGAGAAAAAATAGTTGTTACTTACATTTGTATACCACTAACGATGCTTCCAAAAAGTCCTAACAATCCTAAATATTCTACAATGTCTGTACTTTTTACTGACAATTCCTGCAATACAGTCACTATAGCAAATAGTATTGCACTTCCCAGAGATAACATATCTCCGACTAGTTGAATTTTGCCTGAAAGCAACAATTAAAAACAGTTACCTGTAACTTCTATTTGTCACTCATATTTTATGTTTTTTCGACTTTTCAGTAGCCCCATATTCAAATATATTATTATTCTGTTATACTACAACTATTTAAAACTGTAATGACTCATACGCGTGATCAACACGTGATCAGAGCTCGATCCCGGCTTCCTTCCAGTACAGCCGTATAGCGTACGACATATGTCGTTTCTGTGGCTTTGCGGTGGTCAACAGCACAGACAGAGATGGAAATTATGGCTGATTGTTCTCCGCCGGTAGAACCAATGAAATCAAAGACGCGCCTCGACCGGCAGACTCGTAGGCGTCGGCAACGCATTGGAACGTGTTTCGTTGAGCGATCGCATATTGTGTGTTTTTATAAGAATTGTTGTGTGATTGTTATTGTTGTGGTTTCTGTGGTTACTGTTTTGCTTATACTTAACCATGGAGAGTACAAATGGCACGAGTGGAAGTACTGAAAGCCAGGGAACAAGTAGGCGGCTTCGTAAAGCACTGAAGAGGGACGCGAAAGAAATCGTGCACAACGTGTTCAATTATCTGAACAGAACTATGTCGCAGGGAGATGCACTCGCGCGTTGTGAAAGTATGACAGGCGTTCCAGAGTGGACCATTCGCAGGGTGGTGCATGAAAAGAAGAAAACTGGAGCTACTACTGATCCAAAGTTTAATTTGAAGGGACGAAAGGCCGTTAAATTGGATGACGATAGCAAAATGGCGTTAAGGTGAACCGTACATTCATTCTTCTTCCTAAATGAGATACCAACCCTCAAGGCTGTACATGCAGCGATCAAGGAAAATGAAATTATACCCCAAATGAGCGTCGAGGTAATGAGGAAATCCCTGCACGAAATTAATTTTCATTACGAAACGCGTAATCGGAAGTCAGTATTCATAGAGAGACCTGAAATAGTCGCCTGGCGTCGAAAATACCTACGCGAAATGATTGAATATAGGCGACAAAGCAGAAAAATCTATTATTTGGACGAGACATGGGTAAATGCAGGTCACACAGTTAAAAAACCTGGATAGACAAAAACGTAGTGAGTAACCGACAAGCAAACATTGAAGGTTTGTCAACAGGTCTTCGTGGACCGTCAGGGAAAGGTCAAAGATTGATCGTAACTCATATTGGTAGCGATAGTGGCTTTTTAGAAGAGTGTGACTTGATTTTCGTCTCTAAGAAAGGAGGTGATTACCATGACGAAATGAATGCCAGCTGCTTCGAGAGCTGGTTTCAAGGGGTGCTTCAGCGAGTTGAGCCCAACTCTGTGAGCGCCATGGATAATGCTTCCTACCATAGTCGTCGAGCCGAACGTGTACCGACTATGGGATCTCGAAAAAGTGACATGCAGCAATGGTTGCGCGAAAAAGAAATCCCGTTTGACGATTCATGTGTGAAAGCGGAATTGTATGAAAAAATTAAACAGCACAAACCTGCGAACATTAGTTACGTGACTGATGAGATGGCCCGTCAATGTGGTGTCACTGTGCTGCGGTTACCGCCCTACCACTGTGAATTGAACCCAATAGAGCTCATCTGGGCTCAAGTGAAGGGTTATATTGCGCGCCATAACACAACCTTCAAATTACCAGACGTAAAGGTTTTACTTGAGACTTCCATACAGCTAGTAACGCCCGAAGCTTGGCAGAATGCTATCCGTCATGTTGTGAAGGAAGAAACAAAAATGTGGCAGCTTGACCACCACATCGACACCATCATAGAGCCAGTTATAGTCAATTTCAATGAGGAAAGCGATAGCGACAGTTTATTACTGTCAGATGTAAGTGGAAGCGACGATGAATAAAGTTAATTCCCAAATTTTTGACTTACAATATGTTTCAAACCACTCTTTATTAAGCATGTGACAAATCTAGTTCACCCATGTTAAACATTCATACCCCGCCTATGAACAGCCGACTACTGGTAATGTTCACGTGAACATCGATGACTCATTACAGTTTTAGATAGTTATAGTATAGAAATAGTTAAGTAATCAATTTCGGCCAACTTTATCATTTTATTATGAAATCATTCATTTTATATTAATGGTATATTGAATTAGTATTATTATGAAAAGATCCTTCAAATATCATACAGTATGTTATTACCATCAGAAATTGCACAGTCGGCGATCAGAGGTAGCATAAATGGCAAGGTCAGCATTTGGACCGGTAACACCATTGATTAATGTATTCTCACCAAGGAACATTAAGCCATTTGCACTTCCTATGATGTCAAAACTATGTAATACTCGTTGTAACATACTCTATACCGTTACAGTTGGAGAGTTAGAAAGAGTTCTCAGAGACCTTCCTAGCGCACTCTTTCTAACTCTTTCTAACATACGTGTTCCACGCTTCTCTCTCTGTCTGTCGTACACATTGAAACCCTCTCGACCTCAACTGTAAACGATTCGGACGGTAGGTATGTATGGTTGTTATTCTGGAGGATATGCCCTTTCCGGGAAATTAGCGAGAACGAATTTTGGCAAAATGAATGTTCTTATTATTTTTAACTAAAGTTGTATTAGACAGAGACATAACATGGATTAATAACCCAGTGAACATAGTGTCGTCGTAATGTCTGCATTTTTAGGGCATTACTGGCGTACGCCGACCAACAAAAATGAAGTAGAAATAACGTCATAATTTTGCCCTCTTTCCCCCTATAACTCCACGGTATTCTATGGGTGTTTAGGCATTAAGCCTTCGTAGTAGTTGGAGCATAAAAAATGTATGGCGGTCTAATATCACACCCAATTGACGTCATTGTATGACGTCGTAGTATGTCGCATAAAATACTACCGAATACAAAGTCGATATGACGTCTATATGACGAGGATATAACGTCTATCTGAGGTCGATATGACGTCCTCCTGAAAAATTGAGGATGTGATAACAGCGCCCCACGAGCAGTCCCTACTAAATTGTACCACATTGTCAATCGACGAACACGCAACGAGCTTGAACATCGGTCGCCAAGCCAAATCGTGCTTCTTCGCTGATGGTCGGCTGAATGATATACAGGGTGGATCAGAAATACGTACGAATTTCAGCCGCGTGTAAACCGACGAAAATTGCCCAGTTCAAGCACAACATTTCCGAGGAGATTTCCACTATTCCACGAGCGATTTGCCATCGAGTTTTCACGAATTTGAAGTCGAGATTCGAGGCGTGCGTACATCTCGATGGATCACATATCAATGATGTTATTTAAAAAAAAATCTCATGTGCCTACTACATTAAAAATATGAATTTATTATCTTCCCTACGCTTTGTCGTTTTGTCCTATGATTCTTTTAAAATCGGCTCAGCTTACTGGCTCACCCTGTACGTTCCAAAGTTTGAATTCTTACCGCGCGTAAAACATGATGTAAAATGGCAATTTGAAGAATCTGAAGATGGAATATTATTGTGACAAATAGCGCCATCTGTTGGGCGAGTCTCCTACTCGCCAGAGCTTAATTGCCGATCTCTGCTTTTACGCGAACCACGGCGCACAAGCTGCCTGGCGGCGTCTGTGAGGACCGTGACAGTGGAATGCCTTCTAGATCGACGCGAAGTGATCTCCAACATTCTAGATGTCGCTTTGTGGTACACCCGGTTTTTTCTCGAAGCTGCAATGGGTACTATATTATCTGAAAATTAATGACTCAACTTCAAAGTATAAATAACTCGGCGGCCGGGAGATGGAGGCAGAGTACGGAATACGGTAGAGTAGCAGAGCGGGGTGAGGTATAGTGCAGTCAATGGTGGCATAAGAATTAGTCAGACATAAATAGTGGTGTATATAAATGTTTTATCAAGTTAAATAAATCAGTGCATTTCTTTTTGTGGAATCCAGTGTTTTAATCCACACCCAAAAGAACCCAGAAAAACGCTACATTATTATTATTAGAAAAGCCATACTAACAAGATATTTTTGGTATTTTGATATCTACTTTAGTTCACCTTACTGTTCATTGAAAGTATATACTTTTATTAAAAGTATTTAAATTCTTTCTGTGTAGGTAAGTGGTGATTTTTCAGTACTGAAAAAGAAGACGTCAAAATCCTTTTAAAGGACATCTTGTTGTCGTCATAAAAATGGCGTCAATGAAGACGTCATTTTATAGTCAATATGACGTTTCCGACCAAAAGTGACCGAAGGTTTATTAGTCCTACATCGTACCATCATAAAAAGCTTAAATCATCAAGATAACTATTAATCTGAGTATCTGTGATTGAAAGAATTGTAGAAATGGGAGTAAATTATTCTATATTGGCTCACCGTCAAGTCGAGTATCATCAATGTTTGCCCATACCAAACATCCTACACCCATTAGACATACAGACACCGCGATAATGTGTACCATTCTGTATCGCACACCTAACACCAGACAACTCAAAGCGAGAGCTACTGGAATGGCCACACAACCAAGCAACTGGAAGAGAAATAGATGTTAATGAGTGATTTATTTAGAAGGTACTTAAAACAAATCAGGCGATCATTATTATCGAAGTAGAAAAGCGTTCTTGACATTCAGTTTCTGAACGATGATTCATAATGAATAAAATGTGAAGAATCCATTTGGATTTGTTTTTTTTTTATTATATCTGACTTATCGGATTGCCCTACATCCCTGAGAAGTATTTGCTCCAACATCCGATTCCCTTGACGGAGACATGAAATAAATATCGAAACGTGCTGTTTGAGTAAAATAATAAATAATATTAAAACACATTGCGTATTGTACCCCAAAATCTGAAGATTAAGTCTGGGAGCGTGATGGATCCACTCCTATTGGGTCATAATGAACTTCTTTTGTTGACTTTGCTTACAAGATTTCGGGGGCATTTCCTTGCTTTCCTTAGATCAGTTTGGTCTAGTACTATACACGATGTCAATTATCAAAATGGAAGATCGGGATCGGACCATGGGCGTCGACATGCATTTTTCTCAGGGAGGCCGATCATCGGCAAGAGAAAACTTTGTATACGAGTGTATTTTCCCTCAAAAATTTTTGAAAATCGGGGGTTAGTAATTTTTTTCATAGGGAGCATGACCCCCCTTGCACCCCCCTGTGGGCGCACATACTCACTCACTGCGTTATCTGGTAGCGTCCGATGCGTTTCGGTACTATCTTCCAATTTAGTATCTGACTTTAGACATAAGAAGAATATTAAACAGATTAGTGATTTAGGTACCTGAACACTGGTAAGGGTAGTGTATTGATGCGCAGTACTGAGCAGTGTATTGGCCTGCACATCTATCAAACATAGCAGAAGATATCGCCATCCTCTCACTTTTATTATCGATATGAGACCTTTGTCACCTCTACGAAAGGCCAGCCAGCTTGTGTAAATTGCACATAAAAACATGTAGTGTGGAAAGGATTGACCTGTTGAAAAAAATTACCAGTACAGGATTATATATAAAATTACATTTTTATCCGTAAAAGGAAACTGTGTTACGCAGTATGTGGGGTGCCACAAAAGTAACGGAACGGCTCTGTATTTTCCATCCGAAGTATTTTAGAAGGTCAAGATCAATGGTGAGCTTGCATTGTACCTTAAGGTTCACAATCAAGGTTATTCAAGGTCAACATTTGTTTTAAATGGAAAGCCTCCTTTTTGACACTGGTAGCCAAGCAACGGAGAATTCTATGTTAATATTTATTAAAATCAAAGATGCAGGTCACCTGTAAAAGGTCAAATGGCGGTCTAACCGTGACTTTTTTCCTCAATCATCGTGCAAAACGTCTGCACCCTATTCTTACATATTTAAGATTTATAGGTGACCTTTTTTACATATTTAGACAGTTTTCTGTTATTTAGATTGACAGTTCAAGGACGTAGAATTTTCCGTTCTTTCCTCATTGCTATTAGTTTCAAAAAGGAGGCTTTCTCCATTCAAAGAGCTGAAATTGACCTTGAAATAACCTTGAAGGTGAGTATCAGAGTCAAATCCAAGATCACCATCGAACTCCAAGTTCTATGTTGGTAAACACTCGACCTTAGTTTTTATTAAAACCACCTTATCTGAACAAATACTAAGGCGTACCGTTTTTTTTTGTTACACCCAGTATGCTTTCGCCTTGGTAGGAAGTAAGTAGCGTGCCACTGAGATCCTATATTGAAAACTTTATCACCATGTATCTCAAAAGTCAAGGCGTTCATACGTTTTCTTCTTAAGATAGAACCAAAAATAACCTCCTCAAATATTGGCATTCATTTAAGAAACACCCTGTATAGTCAAGCATCGTACGCCACTGCTAACCGTCTTTAAGTACGGCTGGATCCGGAAATATCTAGGTAAGAGTCAGCGCCGGCGTGCGATGAGTTATGCTCCCTCCTTCTAATTTAGTATCAAACTATAAAAGGTCGTTATTGTTCTGAATGGGTGAAACACTTGATTTTCTTGAACATTTTTAACTTTCAGTAAAAAAGAAGGAAGGAAAAGGGGGAAATGAAAGAGAAATGCTTACCGGTTGGTAGTACTCGGGTTGGATTTGAATTTATGTAGTGAGCCAGCGTGTTCATGGCACACAAAATCAACGAGACGAACTGTCCCAAGAGAATGTTTTGCCAAACGTGCCTATAAAAAAGAACAACAAAGCTGACGAAAACCGGGAAAATTGTTCAATAGAACTAATAAATCGATTATATTCATTGCACCAATGAAATTAATGCTGATTTTATTTGTATCTTAGTTTTGCCAAACCTGTTTTTTGAACCTAGAAGAATTTCGAAATTGTTCAGTAATACATATTAGAAACTAAATCTCGGCTAAGTACTAAGTAAGAATCAAGACACGAATATGAGTAAAAAAAATTACATACATTCTGAAACTGTTTTGGGTTTTTGATGAGAAAAAAAGTTGTGGTTAATTTCATTGTTGTTCCAGAGATTCAAGCCCGAGAGCTGTCATTTTTATTTTTCTTGTCGTATCCGTCAGTCTTGTAATTAAAAATGATAATGATCATAAACAAAGTGTTTATCGACGATAATTAACATTTTCCAACCTATGTCCGGCACATTACCGGACCGGTCTTATTTGAGCTTAAGTTTTATTAGAATCTTATGATTAACTTGTGGTTAAGTACTTTAAAGTAAAAACTAGTCAATTCGTATGATTAGCATCCTCTATAAATTGTATTGGTAAATGAACTTAAAAGAAGACCCGTAAGGTCATTCATTGAATGAACACGGTAACTATTAAATAGATGATAGCGGAAAGCAAAACCGTTGGCTTAGAGTAGGCAGACTTTCATTACAACAAATATTACAAGAACATAACATAATGTAATATAAAACCATGGATATAATCTGTGATCTAATCTTGGAACTTTATACAAATGACCCAAATCTCTTACAAAGAAATAAAACAAAAACACAGAAAACCGCTGATCTCTTACCATTTTCCAAGTTCAGACAATTTATTTCCTATCTTATCACAGCAGTCCAATGTATCCCCCATTGTTCCTTTTTAAGATTCATTTATGTGGCCGAATTGTTTATTTACAAATAGGGCAGCAGGGCCTTACAGTAGGGCGTGTCGCACCCTTTTCCCCTTTTTAAATCACCCTTGATTTTGAAAGACCGCGCAAGCGTCCACGCGAAAATTGAGGGTGTAGAGATGGGGACTACGGTTATAGAGGTATATCCGAATGTACGAATTTCATATATGTACATTATTTTATAACGCACGTACCGAAAAGATTAGGACAAACTATCTCATCCTTGGAAAATGGATGAAAACAATCTGTTTCAACTATTAAAAATCGAGTCTTGTCGGCGATGTTTAGTTCCTTTTATTGTCATCGCGAAAATTTTCGAAAATGAGATTTTTGGATCTTATACTCGTAAGACATGTACTACATCACGAAAACCCATGTCACTCATTTCCGTTGGTCTGTCTGTCTGACTGTGGCTCTGTTCGCTAATCTTATAACCGCCTATAACTTGAGAAGTACCACTCGGATTTCGATGAAATGTTTACATAATATTACTAATATGCCAGGGTCGCAAAAGCTTTGTAGTTTTTGAAAGTCGGTCCAGTCACGTCGGAGGAAAAAGCCAAAAACGAATAAAAATAAAAATTGCTCAAACTTCGTTTTTCACGTGTCAGACGATTTTGATCTTTTACCAACAAAAAATTGGGGATTGGCCGTTTCAGAGGTGGGAGAGGATATATCTCAATTTTTTTACGTTGGTATATTTATACGCCCCCAGCCCCAGTAATTACACATATGCATATTTCAGTCATCATAGATATATCCGAACATTTTCAAGTTAAAACTTAGAAATATCTCCTACAGTAGGGTGTCAATATACGTGTGACGTCGTCCCCCGATGGACAAGCGTGGTCGTCGATGGTCCTTTATCACAGTCGGCAATCGCTACCACACTGGTGTGGGCTGCTTGCACTGTACAAAGTGTAGGCAATATCATTCACGCGAGATTGTTCATCGCACCGATCATGTGCGCCTATAGCAGTTCCTGTCAGCGGGAGGAGGAAGGTCATTGAATTTTTTGTTATACATGTACATACGTAACTAACTTTCTCAGAGGGGCTAACTTGTGCCAAATATATTCCTTTACGAACTAATCGCAGCGTAGCATGAGAAGTAGAGATTTAATTTACTTGACGCCATTTTTGATATCCAAAACTCGGGTTCTTATCAGTTTCATTACATGCAGCCAAAATCCTTACTCATGTATTAAATTATGAGAATTCACCTTAAATTCCATGTCAAATGACCCAAGTGACAAGTTGCAAACAGTTACAAGAGCAGACTGACATCTCAAAAAAAAACTGATTTCGGTTCATGTCTGAAAAAATGTCCGAGGTTTCTGCTTTGGAACCACCTGAGAAATTCATAGTGGCAGGTATCGTATCGAACAAAGAATTTCAGAAAAGCCGGTATGTCATCCAGAAGCTTCACATATGTTTTCCAAAACTCTACGCACCGCCTGAAATAAGGCCTATGCTGAATGTTGAATGGACTGCATATCTTACGAAGGTAAGGTTAAGGTTAAGGTTCTTAATAATTACACTTCCTTTCACTTGCTAAATAAGAGGTTTATGCAAAATTTTATTTTGCTGGAAATGCTTATTTTCGAAATTTCATGGAATTTTTGTTCAGTGCAATTTTTATACATTACCAAAGTAGTCACAACACCCACGTATAGGATATTAATGTTTCTACTATACAGTGTTCATATACAATTGTATCATTTCAGGTTTCCCTTTCGAAAACTGTGCGTGTAAATGTTTCATTACTTCATCAGAACTGATGCATCTTCATCGAAAACTTCATTTTATACAAAAGGATAGTAGTCTTTATACGCTTAGGTTGTTAGTTTCGCCATTATAAGCGAAAATATCATTACATATGTACCTTTACCCTCGAATTTCTCGTAAGCTGGCTCTTGACTATACGACAAATATTCACAGAAGCAAAAAAAATGATTAAGAACTAATTCCATTCAATATTGATTCTAATACTTTTAGGATCGATGGTTTTCGAAATTTTCGATCAAACGCGGTTTTCAAAATGCCTGCAAATGCTCCATCCCTATCATGACACAAATTTGGTTATCAAATTTCTTGGAAAAAATTACCTATTCGCTGGCCTATACACTTAAAGCAACTTCACATTTTTTTCACAGATTAAAAGAAAGTTCGGTAAAGGTACATGGAAGCTAAAAAAGTGCGTTGCGGTTTTTCTGAATGGAGAATTTCTGGGTGATGATGAAGATTTGCTGAAGCATGTATCCAAGAAGTTCAGATTTTCACTGAGCATGGATTGGTACAAGATAGGAAATTGTCAGATTTTTGACTACCTGCAGAGAATTATGCTGAAGTTTGTATGATCATAGTTGTTCAAGTTAGGATGAAATCTAACTCGTATGGTATATTTTTCAGAGGCAGTTAGCCTACATAACTGTTTCAATAAATAACAGGGTTATAGGAAGTATGCTTTTTGAGGTAATGTGCATAATATTTGTTTGGTCTATAAGATTGAAAAGAAAAGGTATACAAAATATCATAAATAGCATTTTTTTAATATAATATAGATATATAATTACTTCTTTGTTTCCTGTACTTATAGCTTTATAACGATTTAGTCCCACTTACCGCTGAAAACTTTTTGCAAAAGTGCAAAGCTGAAATTGGCGGTTATGCTGGAACTCCAATACAAAGGTAAACAGTCAACTATAATTCAAACAATTATTTGAATAAAGGTGCATTTGAAGTTGCACGCCCACTCCGACGAAGCGACACGAAGGCAACTGCAACATTTGTCATTTTCACAATAAACTTGACACCACGTCGCCGACGGTGTAACCCATCGGAAGAATTTTGCGTATCTTTGCGCTTCCCTTCGCCTCAATGAGCGTGCTCCTTAAGACTTGTAATACGGAACCTACCAGGGCTGCCGAACATTACTTATTTTCTAAAAGACAAAACGAGGAGGCATCGAAGAGCGTCACCCCAAATGACCCAAAATATCATTGCGCCCAAGAATTATCACATTGCCGAAAAATTTGATAAAACAATAATTTTCTTTTACGGAAATACCTTGGTTCATACCACTTAAAATTTCATTATACCCATTTTCTGCCGGTACATCGTGTATACACTGTATACCAATACTTGAGTACCGCTCGTTGCAGTCCTACATATACTCATTATACATACATACATAGAGGCAGTTACTAGTTTCCAGAGACTATCAAATATTGGCAACTAAAATATTTTGAAATAGACGTAAAAATAATACTTTTAATAGTTTTTAAGAACCGCATAGAATTTCAAGCTAGTTTATGTTTTACGAATAGAATGTTGTTCCTTGATATGAGAAACGCGAATGTGTCGGGCGCACTGAGACTGAGGCCATCTATTAGACCTGTTTTGTGTAATAATTTCAGTATTGGGTGTCGTCTGTTGTCAGAATGAGCAGCTCCTTCTATAAGCATGCGGCAAAAATTTAAGTATTCAGGTGTTTCGAAACACGACATCACAAAGTGCCATCTATTACCAGAATCGACCACTGCGAGAGTAAAGAGTAGCTATAAGTATCTCAGTTCGCGTCATTAGCCCAGTTATCACTGTTTCCGCTTGATGCCGTTGATTCTGGCGATATAGTAGGTGACAATCTACTCGCCATTAAAAAACCAACAAGACTGCATTTCGCCATTCTTAGTGTATTCAGGTGTTATTATTATTTTGTACTATGGTGACTTCCGAAAATCCGCTTTGTTCCTAAAGTGCAATGCGAAAAGTTTCTGATGGTAAAGTCTTGATGATTTACTAATTTTTAGAATAATGCCAGGTAGTTGGATCCAATGCGGTGGAGTTAAGCTACAAGAGCACCAGATGCGTTGTGAAAACTATGCCATACCGCATGACAGAAGAGGGGTTCTTTGCATGTGTAATAAAAAAAGACATAAGACGAATACGACCCAGTTCTATATCACCTTAGCAGCTGCGCCTTGGATGGATTACAGATATGTAGCGTTTGGGTAATAGTAGATGTGATCATTTTTTTCTAGAGGGGGCCTTTGCTTCGGAGATTCCATTTGGGTAGCTTTTTCTTCGAGAGGCTGCATAGCAGCTATCCCTTCTCTTGTGTGGGAATCAATCACACCATTCTTTAATATAGTAGCGTTACGACGGTAATTTTTTAATTTCAGTTTTTTTTGTTGGAATCCATTTAGCTGGGGGGTAGTACCAACTAATTTCCTTTTGCTTGTCTCCCAGGACTTCTTTTAATTTTTTTTTTGTTAAGTTTTGATAGGCCGAAAGTTACTACTTTTTTATTTCTTTTTCCTATCTTTTGGAACTAGCGGGCACCCAAACCTCAACCATTTGTATCAAAGACCAAAGTACAAAGAACCATACTCTGAAGTCTCATTATCTACCAGCTGAGCACAGTGTTAGTTTCATTTTTTTCAAATTATAACTTTATATAGCCAGGATAAGCAACTTTGAATCTCTTATTTTCGAAATCCCCATGATGAGGGTCGAATTGACAACACGGTATAAATTATACTTTCAGCTACGTGTACCTCGGTAAGGGAGCATTATAGGGCACTCGTTTATATGAATGTTTCGTGTTGTTTTTTAATCTATTTATGCTCTTGAAGTATTGTCACTATTTTGTAAATCACCGTTAATAATTTATTGCAGACAACTAATTCAAGGTGAAGAGATCTTAGCAGCAATCGAATCGGTACCAACATACTGCGAATCACCCAAGGTTCCCATAGACATAGTAAATGCTGGAGAGGTCACCTTTGACCCCACACCAGACTACGTAACTACAGACGACTACAACGCTTTCCAAGACAACACAATGTTACTGGATTCCCTGATTCTACCCAAATACAAAGGTCGTCCATCGCAGGGATCCGTGTTCTCAATGAGAAAGCTCCTGAAAGGCCATTATGGGGAACCCTTTGAAGTCGCGCACTATTCCAGAATTGGGCTTATGGAAGACTATTTGGACATGATCATGTTAGATGCAGAGACGGAGGAATATGGTATTATTTATAGCTTAATTCAACACTGTTCGGACAAGTAGCATCTTTCGGTACATAATTCTGACATTACTGACTGTTTTTATGAATTAACCTTATCATGGGCATGTAAAATGGTTGCTGGAGCTATAGCACTGCACTTAAACACGAAGTAAAGATTAACTACGAATTCGGCACTTCCCCATTACACTGGAAATTTGCTCACGTCCAGACCATCCCAAAAGAGGATCTAAGAGTCATATCGTCAGTCGTTCCTACAATAATTGTAGGACGCATTTATGGCCTTCTTGATTTTCATAGTATTTTGTCTCCTTCAGAAAGGCTGGGGTATTTCTAAATTTCTACTGTTCCGTTATGTTTTCTTTTTGAATTGTAGAAAATTCCAGGCTGATAAAATAGACTATATAAATCAAAAGCATGAACAATTTGATTCAAATAGATATTTGTGACATAACCTCAAAATAGAGCGCTGACACGCAACTGTAGAAAACTATGAAAACCAAGGAGGCCATAAAGGCGTCCTATAATTGTAGAAACGACTGACGATATTGCCCCAAGACTGACCCTTACAACTACAATGCTATTATAGCCCTGCTTTCTGTTATAAGTAAAGTGATGGAAAGGTGGATAAATCGGGAGTTTCTGGAGTACCTTGGACGTGACGTCTTGATTAGAGACAGGTGGCTCACTAGGAAGTCAGATAGGAATCACTATGTCAATGCGGGTATTCCCCAGAGATCGGTCTTGGCACTGACATTCTTACATACCAACGTCCTCCTTTCATGTAATCTACCTGAGGAGGATTTACCCAGTTCTACCAACCCTAGGCAGTTCGGCTTAACAAAGTTTCTTTAAGCTCCTTTTAGCAGCCGTGGTGCTCTGGTATTTAGACTTCTGCCTCCGCGACTGCTTCGGTATACAAAAAACTAACAACTTGCCAAAAGTAACTATGTTATGAGAAATGCAAAAATCAAAATGTCAATCTAAAGAAGGTTGTCAGATCTACTCTACTGCATTCTTTACTGTACCTAGATGAGCATTAGGCAACACAGCATACTGACACTTGTCAGAAGTGAACATTTGTAGTTGAATAGTTGACATAACTGTTACTTATAGATGTGAATGTCAATTGCATGTTTCCTCCATTTTGCTAGCTATTTATTTCGTATGACTTTTTGACGTAACTACCAAAAACCGTGAAGGCAGCTGAACTTCATTCTGCTTAGTATAAATGTAGTATTTCATAAATATTTTATGGTAGCTTGGCAACATCGCCTTGGTAGCCAAGAGCGCTGTTTTTATTTGTTTACCAGTAATAGTCCAAAAGCCGACAGTAAAGTTTTATTTACAGTGCGTACCAATATGGAATGTTAGAAAATAGTCAAATCTTACGTATATTGATACTAAACAGCAAACTCGGCTAGGTTGCTGTTTAGCCATGTCAAGCTATTGTTAGTTGTCAAAGCTCTTCTGGCATGGCATCAGTTCGTGAGTCCGTTATGTTCGATTATTCTGAAACCAGACAGTGTTAAGGGAAAAAGGGTAGGGGGGGAAAGGTTTTACACAACCTCGTATACTTTTGCCACGTGGTCGATCGTATTTTCCTTCATATACAGGGTGCGGCAGAAAGGATGGACGGTTTAAAAAAAATCATAAAATAGTTAATTTTTACTCAAAAACAAATTTATTGATGGAATCAGATTCACAAGGAAATAGCATTTGAGACAGTCAAGTGTGGAAAATCACATCAGGCATGTGGTGGCCGAAATCGTTGATGCAGTGCTGGAGGCGTTCTTGGAAGTTCGCGTAGACTCTCTCTAACATCGCTCTCTCAACTTGGGCGACTTCCACGCGAATTTCGCCATTCAATTCGTCCAGTGTTCGGGGCTTGTTCGAGTATACTCTAGCCTTGAGGTGTCCCCATAAGAAAAAATCGCATATAGATAAATCTGGGGACCGAGGAGGCCAATGAACATCGCCAAACCGGGAAATAAGGCGACCAGGGAAGAGAGGGCGAATAACGTCCATGGATGCTCGGGCTGTGTGAGCGGTCGCCCCATCCTGCTGGAACCACTCACGTCGGATTGGAACATGTCGCCGTCGTAATTCAGGGATAAAGAAGTTCGTGATCATGTCGACGTAGCGCTCTGAGTTCACGGTAACATCACGACCATTACCGTCTTCGAAGAAGTAAGGGCAAATGATGCAAGTTTGCGATACGGCGCACCAAACCGTTACTTTAGGGCTGTGCAGCGGTCTTTCGTGTACTGTTGCGGATTTTCATTAGCCCAATAACGACAATTCTGCTGGTTAACCATGCTGTTTAGGTGAAAGTGGGCTTCGTCACTCATAAACAAAATGAGGTTCTCATTTTGATCGATCAGTGCTTCCATCTCACGTGCGAAGTTCATTCGTTGTGCATAATCTCCGGGCTGTAACTGTTGCACAATGGCCAATTTTTAGGGGTGAAAGCGGAGATTCATATGCAAAATTCGCCTTACCGAACGATCACTAAGGCGAAGTGCAGCAGCATGTTTCCGGGCAGATCGAGTCGGACTGCGAAGAAAGACCTGTCGAACGCGTTCAACATTTTCAGGAGTTCGAACTGTTCGCGGCGCTACTCTTGGTCTTCTGTTGATCAGTTCACCACGCCTGCGGAATGATTCAACCCAACGAAGGATGGTGTTTCGAGAGGGAACAGCTCTATTCCGATTAATGTTGAAGTGGCGACGAAACTCACGCTGTACGACGATGACTGACTCATTATTTCGGACGAAACAATCATAGGCGAAAACGCGGTGCTCCACCGTCCAAGGCTCCATAACGACAACTGGTAAAATAATGCTAGGATCTCACGAGTCAAACGGCACCCTCCCCACCTCTCTCGTAGACGGAGAGTACTACCCATCCCAAAAACGTCCGTTCTCTCTGCCGCACCCTGTATAAGCGCGACGCTTCATCAGCTATAGCAATCAATGGTCAATAATGTAAATATGCACACTGAATAGTTAGACACCAAATATTATCGTGAATATATATGTTTGAACATAGATATTAGGAAAGGTAGGAGACAGTGAGATGAATACCCGTATCAAAGAAAATGTTTTTTTAGTTCCAAGACCTATCATCAAACTACCAGAAGAAGAAGCAGAAATGTCATTTTCATCTGCTAGTGAGTACAACCCATGTTCGTGTACGTCTTTGGATTCCTTTGTACGTATAGCTGATCTTCCAAATGCTAGTGATATGACCATATAACAAACATTGGAATGTTAAATATAGGTGTATCTATGAAGAATTTATTAGACTCTTTAATTATTTTATATAAATGGGGAAGAGGAAATACAAGAATAAACATCTGATGTATATGAATTTTATTCAACATATTCTTTTCGAGTTGTCAATGAGATTTTAATATAATATTGATGTTAGCAGATTGACAAAATTGCAGTTTGGTGGTCTTGGCCACTGAGTAAGAAGCAATTTTCTGATAGCGCATATATTAACAAGTCAATACCTTTCTTAATAAAGCTATATATACTATACAATACACTTATAAATTAAATTTCCTTATTCACATATTTTAGCTTACACTGCATAAAACCAGTTCAGATTTTCGAATGGAAATTTCATTTCATTATCAATTTAATTAGTGTATTCTACAAAATGGTATAAAATGCAGGAAACTATAAATATTAACATCTAACTTTAATAGAACTCCATTGTCTGATCGCATAAAACCATGTGGTTTGATTCGGCCAGACAATTGAGTCCTATCAACATGAAAACCACAGGATCAATTTCAGGGGCTACGTCTAACTTTTAGTTCAGATAATTCATAGACGAATACTGACAGCTTCTTTGTATAGTGATATGTGGATACTGTCGCCTCAAAATCTCCACCTGAAAAATTAACAATACGTTATTGTACGAAGATTCCTTGTCATAAGAGAAGTTATCAAAAATTTATTTCGGTGTAAACATCTCAAAAGTATTAATTATGAATAACTAACAAAAAAATACATGATGGGGGTTTCCCAAAAGGATAAAAAAATCATTTTCCACCGCATACCCCCTAATTTTGTTTGACTGGTGTCAAAACAATTTTAAAAAAGTTTGGAAAACGGAAAAAATTATTGTATGCGTATCCCAATTCAAAAATTATTTTGCCCTCATAAGCTGGGAAGCCCTAATGCTTACCTCATCTTGTCGGATGGAATCACAAAAACTTATATCTAAAAGTCTCAACTTTGGTAAGTAAAGCAATGCTTTTTCGCACAGTTCAGCAGTTATGTTCTTGATACCAAAAATATCCAACTGAGTTAGTTCTTTACATGTCATTATAAGAGGTATAATCAAGTGATCATTCAACCCTCTCCATTCAGACAATATTAACCTGTAACAAAATGTTGCGTCAAAGCATAAAATTGAAATACTGAAATTATAAACACTAAAAGGTAGTGGTCAGAATGGCTATACAAAGATCTAGGTATAATGACTATCTCGATAGTTCAAGAGCTAAGATTGATGACTTGTCCTATACGTGGTGTTCTTGAGATTAGGATTCTCCTTCACACGGCGTATAGTTCTTGTAAGAATAAGATTTTTAGTTATTAAGCCCCAAAAATCTGCGATATCAAATCCGCCCTTGCTTCCAGCACATAATAAGGTCGGAAGACACTAACTTTACATCGTCAATATTCAAATCATCTCGTCACGTAGGTAAACCAATATATTTGTTTACAAACCGGACTAAAAAAAAAAGATAACGGCATTATCCTACAGCAATAACGAACTTGTCGATACGATATTTAGTTCTTTTTGTTGGACATTTCTAAAGAGGATCGCATATGTTTGTGCCCCCCGTACAAGAAGTCAGGAACACACGCTATTTTAAGGAACGTCAAGATTGGAAATGTGGGGTCGAATAGTCTTGCCTTAAAGTTCTACCTTGATAAATGAGGGCATCCATCCACGATGTATCTCAAACAATCACCAGGGTCTTTATTTATCAAACACCAACCTAAATCTAGCTCTTTCATTAACGGAAATTTTCCGAATTTTTTAACACCTTCAGCTGTTAGAGACAATGTCTTCCAGGAGCTCCAACAAGTCAGTTTCGGGTTGTAATCAGCTGCTGCCTCTACGACGATGTCTAAATTCGTTAAGTGCTCACATAAGTCTAAAAATTGATTTATATCAGCTAACTGTTTAATTCAAAGTTAGTTTTTCACAATACCTATGATAAGATGTTTTAAATTAGGGTTTTCTTTTAGGATACATATCAGATCACCATCCTCGATATTCGTAGCAGTCAAATCTAATGTGACTAACTTGTCCAGGTACTGCAAAGATGGATTGTCAAGCTTGAAACAGTTGGTAACATTTTTTAGTCTTAAATCTGAAACACCACAGAAACAGTTCGTAAAATGTATTACGAAACTCTCGTTTTAGCAAGTTTACCTACTAAGTTTCTACACGTGGATAACTCTGTCAACATTTCACGACTTATATATTTACAATTGGACAAAGAACAGTGGGTTAAAGTATCACAGTTGGCACCTATAAATCTGTACAAACAAAGTAATTATTAGAACACTGTATATAATGGAGCTTATAAACGGACAATATTTTCGGCCGGAGTATATATCCCGACTATATCTTGGCAATATTATCTGCAAAGTGTAGACACATTCCTGGTCAGAATTTCTCGTCCGAATATGACTACAAAATTAGGCAAGAATGATTGAAGAAATTGTATGCACGCGGCAGCTTACATTACCTTAAGTAGGAATCCAATAATTTGGCAATCTGACAGCAATACATGAAATAAGGTTTTAAATGTCAAAAAGCATGGCCAAGCAGGAAACATATTGTCTTTTTAGAAGCGCTATTAGGGTAACATGATAAACAATAGAAAGTTGTGGTAATCACAAATAATACATACGTTAAACGTTATCTTTATTTGACATTTATAGCATATGAATCATTTGCCTTTAAATGTCAAATTTTGGTTAACGTTAACTTATACGATAGTGTTATTGCCATTATTGTCTATCACTTCTGTAGCTGTTAAATTGATCTGTTTTCTAAAAAATCCCCAAAAGCTTATGGGTGCTTTCTTCATAGTTATATTTGAATATGAGACGATATTAAATAGTACATACATTGCTAGCTTCTTATCAAATCCTTCAATATCATTTCCACACCAGGAGATATCCAGCTTCTTCAAAGAAGTGCATTTTTTCATAAAATAGTCGATTGTATTACAGTTTACCAGGTACCAGTAGGGCTGCAGTATAAAACATATTTAAAACTTGATCACTTACCAAATAATTCCACTTAACACTCACCTTAAGACTTAAAGTTTGATATAAAAAGGGATCATTGACTATTTCATTCCACCTTTTATTAACTCTTGCACATCTACATAAGGATTTCAAGTCCAAATATTGGAATATGTGTATCATCACTTCATACTAAAATTCAAACAACACATGTGGATACATTTTTTGTTTTGTTTGATAAGTACTTACCGGAAGCTTCACAAAATAATCTTCACCAAAAAATTCGCTATATTTGTCCATATCTGAAAATTTAGATGCCTCCTCCGGTTTTTTCAAGAAAAACAGACCCCTTTCCATCATATTATAATACAGATCACTCACAGGTTGAAAACCACCTAGCAGAATCGCATCTACAGAGTAATGATACTGTAGATGACTTTGGTTGAACTCAAGGCGAATGACACTGGAATTTGATAGAAATTATAAATTGCGAGCACACTTCAAACTATATTTTGTTTCATCAATTTCGACTTGGACATATGTATACCTACTTGACTAGTTGATTCACAGGCCTGATTTTGGGATGGAACTTTCTTGATTTGCTTGGGTATTGCTGTGGATGTCCTCTCCAAAGCAATACCCAGTGAGTGTCACTTGCCAATTTTCCCCAGATTCTCACAACTGCCCCTGGATTGTATGTTTCATAAATGCAAATATCCCTAGGAACCACAGCACTCTCAAATCTGGAACCAAGTTACCATTCTTCTTTTATAAACCTTTAACTTTGTCGAATTAATAATGTCTTCGAAGGCTGTAATGATGTTTGCCAGCAAGTATGGAACAGATCCATATAATATTAATCATGGTCATTGATATTCCAGCTCTAGTCAATGAGTATACTATATTTTATCTTTAATTATGACAAGTTCACAATGCCATATGGAATAAGTAAGCAGATTGATTAATGGTAGCTTAACTTCCCTAAGGGAAATTGTACACATTATTAAAATACTTCTAAGACAGACTGTGAATCTTCAGGCATTACTATGTTTTGTATCATAGATCAACATGGGTAAACAAAAATCATACGCCCATGACAAGCATGTTGCCACTCTAACAGTGTGGTGAGTATCGCATAGTACTGTGACAAAACTAAAAAACGTATGTCCTTGAGTTTACAGAAACGTCTGCGCGTATGGGGCGACTGCATATGTACGTGTGAGGGAGATGGATGTATGTTAAGTGCTGTAAATTTACTGTGAGCCGCCAGAAACCGTGAAGAGACCTATACCATTTAAACCAAATGCTAGGGCACATCAGCAGACGGCAAGGGGGAGCGCATCGAGGACGATTTTCCTCTCGGCAGAGCACATTAAAAAAAAATCTGCCTGCCGGTATCCCGTCACATCTCACAGGGGATGCCGAAGTATTCTGATACCGCCCACCGCGGTATCGGATACCGAGAAGGAAACAATCTGACTGGGGTATCAATGACCTTGTATCCACTGCACTGTGGAAAAAATACCTTGATCATGTGGACAAAATACAAACTTTTGTCTGATGTGCACAACGGTTTTCAAGGACGGTGATTACGAATTTGATGTAATTGTCTTGAAATTACCAAAACAACTGTTTAGAAATAGGGAAAAAGCCGATAATAATTTCAAAAACGTGAAGTCACGTTTTTTAACACGACCAAACATTACACAAGTCTTTAAATAAAGACTGAAGTCACATACTCGGTAATACCTGATTTCACAGTCGGAATGTATTAGCAAGATTAGCTCAGTTAAGGCATCCCTGACAATTTGTTTATGTCTCAGTCTTCGTCTGCTTATGTGTTCAAGCAGAGAAAAATATATTATTAATGCGTGATCACATAATTCGTTCTCATTCGAGCAAAGGCAGCTAGACGCAAGTAAGTTTTTTATAGTAAGATGCTTAACATGTCATATACTTCTGATATGAAACTAAATAGAGCACTGTGTCTCAGAGTGGTTTTGAGATAAGTCATGTGACACATGAAAATGTCGGGTTTGCTGAAGTGCTAAAAAACGTCCAAAATATTTCCCTTCAAAAAAGGAAGACGCGCGTACATGCATATAACTTTTTATCTCAAATCTAGATTTTTTGTTGCGATATGATGAACGGTTTAGAGCACCCAAAGACAAGCACATGAATCTAAATATTTTGATCCTGAAACTGTGTTGGCTTAGTTTTGAACACACTTTAGCAAAGTATGAGTGATTTTGGAAATGTGATTTTTGACCAGGAAAACATGGCAAATTTACAACTGCATGCTGGCTGGATACGTGCAGTGTTGTAGATGATTTTTCTTATTAGTGTATTACAGTAACAGCTACAGCACTACAACCTACAGCAGTTGATAGTTGTAATATGTTATTCTTTTACACCTATTCGATGTGGAATAATTACATTACTATACTATATAAGATTAGTATATTTATCTAACTTGTCAAGACTAAAAGCTGTTTAAAAAAACAAACTGGATCCAAATGAACCTGCACATTTCACACAATTTATATCCCAACTTGATTAAAATGAATAATGAAGGTTGAAAATAATCTAAAAAATATACATTATGACCTTGTCTTTAAAGGTCTATTTGTTTTTCAAATTCAGCACTAAAGCTAGCTACTGACAGTATGTACCTGTTGGAGGTTGATATTTGATAAATTCGTGACTAATTCGTCACTAATGCATGCATGTATGTACAGTACAAGCATGTAGCTTAAGAAAAGGTTACTACTTACTCGACGGTAACATAATCTTCAGCACCTAGAGGATCAAAATCTTGAGGTCTGTAGTTTGATTGGCAGGAGTCACTTTTCTTCCACCAGGTACCATATGACCTCTTGAAAACGTAAAAATGTGTATAGGAACTATTGAACAGGTGTTACTTGTTTATAAAATTCTTTACAGAGCTTCATTCAAACAACAAAGCTGGAAACAGTTTGTCTGGTGGATTATATTTGTTTGAACTCTATCCATTTTTAAGAGCCTTATGATGGTATGGTTTGTTTTGCTTCATGGAGGATTGAAAAAGGTTAAAAAAAGTTTTACAGGAATTGTAAGAAGCTCCCAAATTTACCTAAATTACATGTAATTTTTCCTATAAACATCATCAGCAAACTTTTTTCTAGACCACTGCTGAAAACGTATAGAGATGACTGTGTATTTTTTCTTTCCTTTTTTGAGAAAAGAGGTAAAATGTCCTTGGAATCAGACAGTGGCGAGATATTATCTTGGAAACTACTATGAAAAATAACTAATCTTCATTATATTGAAGCAGCTGCGACAGCAGTAGCCTAAGTACCAAGGTACAGAAACTGCAGGATTGGTATGATTAACAAAAGATATCTTTGAGATAACTTAGACTCCAAACACAAAGGAGCACTACTCTACAATCTCAGAGCACATCAGCATTATAAAAGAAAGCTTCAGACTATTGATTGGGGAAGGGTCATTGATCAGTTGGATAGTGCTGCCGTGAACATGCTAGAGTTTAGAGCAGCATATATTTGTGATGACAAAACCTGTTTTTCCACTATATTTTATATCATTGTGCTGGTACAAGACATAATTTTAGAAATAATGTTGATCAGGTTTGGAATTATTTTTAAGTACAATTGCATACAATGATCTTACCAGGAAATATGTTTCTGGATAATCGCCATAAAAAGGATATATTTCGTATTTCCCTATCAAATTGAATGGGGAATAGTACGAGCTATTTGAATTATTATATCTTGATGTGTAATCCAAGATTACATGGACATATTGTTCCAAATGATACATTTTAATCAAAGTTTCCGCTGGAACAAAATCACTTTTAAGATTATCCATTTTCTTGTAATTTGATTAATAAAAATCATGGATTTTAATTTGAAATACGTTTGTAATCAGGTGACAAACAAAAACATTAAGCAGCTGATTTTGACTTGACGTTCGGTGACATGGATGGAAGAACACGTAGATGTGAAGTCCCGTGTCACAGCGCCGGTATAGAACTAGACTTCTAGTCGGCGAAACAATGGAGTCGATACAAATAAGAGTGTCGCACGATAAAATTCCGCGAATGTATCAAAGCAGACAGAACTATGGTGACACCGTCATAACCCGTGAGGGCTGATCAGCAGCAAGTCTTTCCAGAACAGCCTGTATGGGGAGAAGTATCTGGTCATCAACAGGGCCCACGGTGCGGGGCCCCTGATTAGCAGGGAGGCCAATCAGCCAAGGGAAGTGGCACTATCCACTTCAGCTCATCACCTGTTGCGAGCGGTAGCGAAGCATCAAGGCAGCTGCACGGGGTCTCACTGAAGAAAATTTGTGTTTAGGGAATCATAGTGCTCCACCAAATAGTTGCCACGATGCAGCTCAGTATTGCGAGGAGGTCGCTTACTTCTCAGGAATGCAACTGATGGAATTCTGTAATAGAGTTTTTGTAAAAAAGGATTCTCGTAGATTCGGTTTTGATCATACGGAATACAGAATTTATTCAGATAGCAAGACATTACAGTGATGCGCGCATTACTAATATTTAACAAGTATAGTTATGAATGGTCTTGTGAATACCTTTATACTCAACTGGCACAATAATGTTTACTAGTTAGATAAATTAAACTATGTAATTATTGCAAAACTTACCCTTTTCACAAAAAACACTCAAATGATGTACCACTTGGTACAGATGAAGCACGCGATCATAGTGAAGCTCACAGGCAAAATGGATGCCGGCAAACGGGTCGGTTCAGGTCGGCTTGCTATTATGCCATTGGTCGCTCGGGGTCACACGCATGCGTCGTTTCCGAAAATATTCAATGAATATAATAATATTAATGGAGTTTTAATATTTTCCATTGATTGAAAAGTAAATATTTGATGAATATTATAAAATAAATATTGTAAGAAAGATATATTTTAATGATGCTGAATAAATATTTAATAAAAATATTAATTAAAATATTTATTAAATATTTGTTTGAGATAGCAAATATTTAAGCGGGATAAAAATATTATTAAATATGGGTTAAATATTTAATGAATATTTCGTGCTATCGGGATATTAGGCAAATAGCTGGAACGGGAGTAGTTGGTATCGCGCGATGATATGAATAGTATCAGACAAGCTTGCGACGTTGACTTTTTCGAAATGTTTCGCAAATGAAGTTGCGCACGTTAATTTCACTAGGTTATATCCTTTGATATAAACTACAAAGTAAATTTTATCAGACTGTATATATATTCTTTAGTCTACACATCGAGATCGGCTGCTTACGTGTGAGCGTTAAATAATCATCGACTTCTCAACAACGCAAGTTTATTCTGAATTCTTAAGTTTATTTGGCAAACACCAGGAACCGGCGTATAGTTCTTTTCATGGTAAATTCGAAAAAATGAAACAAACTAATCTTTTCCAATAGATTTATTGCAATATTTACAGATTTTTGTATTGAATCTTATATACTACATATGTTTATATCTACAATCACATAGATTTTGATATGTATTACCTTTTAGTATAGAAAATGTTGATTCTTATTTGGATGATCAGGACGAACAAAAATGCATTACAAAAAATAATCTGTTTAAAAATAATATTTTCTAAAAAATATATTTACATTTTTGCAAATGTATTTACGAGGAATAGGTAACAAGCTTAAATATTTACTAATAACGACTGGGTATAAAAATACACAAAAGTATCACTTAAATCAAGTTTCACAATGTAGTAAAATAGTAAATTACGTGTGCAGAGTGTAAGAAGGGAACATTATATGTTACATAGCAAAAGTTCGACTGCAAAGACGCTTTGGTTAATGAATAAATAGCGTCATACAGTGCTTTTCATAAAGCCACCCATATTAACTTCAGGAATGGCTAGGTGCCATCTCGGAGCATTTTTGTAAATGGAGTGGGGGTCATGTGATACCTCATTTTAAAGTTTCTCATGAGTACAGCATAGCTCTAGAGTATCAGCTCACTCTTTTTCTAAATGGCAGAATGCCAAAGATGACATAAACAACTCTTATAAAAATCAATCACCAAAACGCTATTAGTCCAGGTAGTATCATAGCTATTGATGGGAAAATATTCTGATTGGGATATTTAGCATAATCTTATTAAAAAAGCCCCCTGTCAATAAATCCGCAAGTTTTCAGGTTCAAATGAGGGTCAACATTTTTTTGAACAGATTCCAAGAATATTTTTTTTGCTCCGGTCAAAGTGTCTTTTAGGTTTTTTGGACATTCTGCGTCAAAATCTGCCAACATTTTTATAAACTCTATATACCACATTAAATAGGTCCTTTCAAAAAGGAACATATATATAGCATACTACATGGTTTTGACGATAACTTGTTGAGCTATGGGTGATTCAATGTACAACAACGTTCAATTTTCATACCGCGCCTTTCCACCACTTTTAACTCAACAAATCTTCAATATTTTTCTTTCAGAGAAGTTTATCTAAATGTGCAGAAAGATAGGGGAACTCCTTTTAAAAAAGTAAGCATTTAACATTTTTTAAAATGCAGTGTTGCTTGCATATTTGTTGTATATCCGGACAGACCCTTCCAAAACAAGACGATTGATATAACATACTATATTGTGCGTTGCTTGTGCGATTCATTATACAAAAACGCCAAACTTTGACAGCTTTTCAGTCCGTCACTTTGAAATGTTAGTACTGCTAAGGAGCTTTAAATGAGGTATTGCATCAGCCTCATTCTAATTATTTGAAAAATTGTTCTAAAATGGCGCTCAGTCGCCATCTTTTAATTTCCAACTGTAATCTTTACGTAAAAATATAGTGCTCATGCATCAATTTCATCACCTCAATTCTCAGCTTGCCCGTTCAAAAAGTAACTAGGGAAAGGCGACCTTTTGAAAAGCACTATACAGGGTGATTCACAAGTCGTGACCAAAAATCAAATATCATACACAGGATCGTATTTTAAGGGGAGTCTTCTATGTAACCTTGATGGCTTCATTGAACACATTTTTTTAATATCCTCAAAACCGTCAACTGGAATGAACTAAAATTTGGTATGTGGATTGTAAATTATTGTCCAGATTCATAAGTCTTTACTTAAAATTAACGTGCACCAGTGGCGTAGGTACAGGGGATTGGTGGCATTATTTTTCCAAATAAAAATAGTACGATACTGATTTTTTCGAAACGCGTTGTTTTTCGAATTTTATCTTCAATTTGCTACAAATTACGAAAACAATGTACACTAGGAAAAAACACAAGAGTAATTATTTGTAGCAAACTGAAGGTACGATTCGAACAATTGCGCCTTTCGAGAAAAACAGTGGCGTACTATTTTTATTTGGAAAAATAATGCAACTAATCGCCTGTATCTCCGCCATTGGTGCACGTTAATTTTAAGTGAATAATTTTGAATGTGGACAATACTTAGGTAAATCCACATACCAAATTTTAGTTCATTCCAGTTGACCGTTTTGAAGAGATTAAAAAAATTTGATTTTTATTTTTAAACTTCAACACCCCGAATTTTTTAATGAAGCTCTCGAGGAAACAATGTTTCACAGAAGATCCCTTTAAAATGCGGTTCTGTCTATCATGTTTCATTTTTGGTCACGACTTGTGAATCATCCTGTATATTGCATACAACCGCCCTGTTTTGTCACCACTGAGCATTTCAAATATTTATTTCAGTAATACAGCGCTTTTTATGTTAGTTCAATGCCATAAATGTAATCTGCCGAAAATACCAAGTCTGGCCCTGTTCTTAAAAGTGGGCATCATTATTTGGTTCAATGATAGACATGATGTTCAGTTAGGCACTTCGTAAACGACTATACGATGCTACTCATCTCTAGTTACGAATATGTTATTAACGGTTACAGTCTATGGACAAAGCTACATAAATTTGTCTTGTGTTAGTTACATAGCTACTAAAGTCGTCAGGTTATTGTAAACATTGGTATAGCGTTGTGTAAGAAGGGCTTAACTGAAAACTATATTCTACTGAACTAAACATTGGTTCCCATTCAGTAATTTTTAACTGACCTTCTAGAGGTATTTAGTGTATTTACCGTCTTACACGTATTGATCTTTGCAACAAGATCTTGGCTAAAGTACGGAAAATTGCAGAATTTTTTAAAACTTTACTAGACTATATTTACACTTGAGAAAGCTGGTTGTTGACTACACTAATTTCATTTTATTTACCATAAAAATGTTATATAAAATTGTTTTGGCCAATAGACGTAAAATGTTATCAATTCAGGCGTTTGACAAATTGTTTGGCGTCATTGTTATTAAACGAATCAAAACTTGGAAAATATGCATTTGATTTCTCCCTTTTTTTTTAAACGAAGCTATTTTTTAGATGAAGTTTTCCAAATGTTTGTCCTAACAATGTGAATGAGAACGTAGCAATTACTTCTCTGGTTTGGAAATACAGGTATGGTGAATATGAAAAGTTATTTTTGAAGATGTTTCATGGTTTGAAGATGCTTTATAATCTTGTCGGCAAACAAGATTATCAAGCAGAAAAAATGACCAGAGTATGAATAATTCGTTTAAGTGTGTAATTTTAGAAAATCACATGCATATACTCGTAGATGGTATCCTCTAGTAGTAATACCAGTTAGTTTATCTCGAAACAGAATGAAAATCAGACAGCTGAAAATCCACCATATCAATGAAGGAGTGGAGCATGTTCTCAAGCTATAGTCAAAACCACGAAAGGTGACTATTACGTCATACCATAAATTGTACTGAAGTTATCAATAGACGTAGGTCGATTATAAAATCACGATATCAGGAACATAATGACAACAAATTTATATTATGCGGAGTTAGGTTATTTCACTGATTATTTTTATTTTCATTTTATTTCATGGGTTTGAGTGAACCTTAATAATAATTTTAGTGGGACATTTTTGTTTTGACAAAAAAAAACAGTTATGAGTAGAATACCTTAAGACAGGAACACCAAAGACCAAAGTATTATAACTTGCTTTAACATAACCTAACTATTCATCTTTCCAATATGATCGATCATGCAACATGACAACATCGTCTATCTTTGTCGGATACATGTAAATTAGCAATACAGTGTGTTTAGAGAATAAAATTCTGTTTGCCTCTGTCTAACATATCTGAAACTTCAGTAAAAATATTTACAAGTTGCTGTCGTTAGTCTTTACTACAGACTAAAATGATGACGTAATCGCCATCTTTCGTGATTTCGACTTTAGCTTTTTCGTTAATTGATTGGTACCTATATTGAGTCTGTTGGACTTTTCTATACTTGACAAGGAATTTTAAATTTAATTTAGAACCATATATGGCCAGATATGCGTTTCTTAGGTGGTAGACGGTTTCTGACTGTCGAACGCGGTACCACCCGGCGGATCTCGTAGGCGGGGCTAGAATGTGTGCATGTTGCATGCCCACGTGTTCCCTCGCTAGAGTCCGTGTGGCGTTCACCCTTTTCCCCCGTATCCCTCTATAGCCCCACGGTACCTCATGGATGTTTAAGCCTCAGGCCTGCGTGGTAGTTCGAGCATAAAAAATGTATACACGAATGATAATAAAATGTATAGTCTATTTGAAATAAGTAAGAGTTTTTAGTCAGCATCAAGAATAAATAGAGAAATACTTTTTTACCTCATGGATCCAGAATATTGACAGTTGAAAAGACATTTGCTATAAGTTCTGTAGACTAGGTCATAGAACTAGGTATATTTATTCTTGCCCACCCCACTGAACATATCGTGGACATCCAAAGTTTATAGGAAATATCATACCATTTCCTATATTAACATCACTCACACCACTCCTTGTAAGACAAACGCTTACACATACTCCATACTGTACAAATCGCACAAAAATAAATAATCAACCTAAAAATAAACAAAGAAGTCCTAATAGGGTCTCCAGACACTGGAGGGATCGTTCTGACTCTGCACAGTCCTTTCAGAATCATCGATAGTTAGAGGGTCCACTTCGGCGTGAGTGTGGACTTCACTGGGCGCACTGGGTCCTTCCACCCTGTGGACGACTGGGTTGATGGTTGAGGTGGGGTCCAAGTACGGCTCGTTTTTTAGGTACTGCTGGTCTGTCGTTTTGTCAGTACCGCTGCCTGGGGTTGCGTGCAGGTGGAAGTGGATTTGACTTTGGTTTACCTACAAAGAAAAGGAACTTGGTCAGATAATTGCAAAAAATTGGAAAAATTAATTGACGGGGAAGTATTGTAATTGTGAAAAATTGTCTTTTTGGATGCCATGTAGCTCATGAAAAATCACGTCACACATTTTCGTGGTCTATCTATCGTTCTGAATCTCTGTCCGCTGATGTTTGGCCCCTGTATGACTGTTCGGATTTCGATTTCACACAAGGTTACTACTTTTCCAAGAATAAACAATCGCTGTATGTTTTGAAAATCGATCCTGTACATTTTGCATCTATGCTATCATTGAAAAACTTTCTATAACTAAAAAGTATCTCATCCCAGTAATATTGCGCATTTGTTAGATATATACTAAGTGACATATAAAATGCAACATCCAGAATTATTTATTGAATTTTGATAAAAACTTTTAAACCTATTTGCTATCATGGTGACAAAGTGTTGGAGGCCATCGAGCCATACTTTTTTTGTAAAGACTTTTTTGACATATTCGGATTTGAACCAAAAATTTTAATCATTTTTTATTTATCAGTACACCTAAAACTTCTGAACTTAAAATTACAGCACTCCTAGTCGGTGTTGCATTTTCCATGTCATTTAGTATATTCACACATCTTGTCCATACATTTGCCATCGAAACAGAAATATGATAGATTCAATTTTTTAATATGAGATGTTGACTTGTCGAGTTTTACATTATATTGTACTTAAGTCAACATACATGTTTTGATTTTATAAGACTCTTTTGAATAGACTTCTTTTGTTATACATGTGCGTAGTCAACTTTTTTCTAAGTGGAGCTAATTTTTCACACTTTTGTTTTAGCAGCTACTACTATAACAGGTTAGATACACTTCAAGTAAGCAAAAATAAAATCATGTAAATTTTATTCAGGCTGTTGAAAATATGCATCAAGTAGATCGACCCTGCATCTTACATGAGATTGCTTTGATCGATTTTTTTATATTTCAGTTCATATTGTGCTAGGTTTGGAAATAAACATAATCTAATTGATGACAGAATTACATGAGAAATGCAGAGTCAACCTACTTGACGCTATTTCAGAAGGGATGCTTTCAAATGTGGTAGCAAAAGGAGGGGCGGCTAGCCAAATGCAAACTGAAAATACAACGTAAATGATAAAACATAAACTTTGTTGATTAGACACATATTTGTAGTGAATTTGACAAAACACAGTATATGTACGAGGGATGTCTTTTAAATTTTGCATATGGAAATAAAACAACACGGTATGTAGTTTTAAATGACTTTATTGCTTTTCGAAGTATTCTCCACGAAGATTAATACACATCTGCATGCGCTCGAACCAATTTTCGAAGCACTTATTCCACTCGTTTGCTGGCAGATCCAACACGGCATTTTTTAATGCGTCAACTGCTTCTTCTGGTGACTGGAACCTTTGACCACGCAGTCTGTTTTTAATTTTCGGGAAAGCAAAGAAATCGTTAGAACTTAGATCGGGACTATATGGAGGATGGTCCAATAATTCCACATTTTCTTCCGTTAAATACTGACTTGTTTTTTGGGCTGTGTGCAAGCTTGCATTGTCTTGGTGGAGGATTATTCTTCTTTCGGGGACGATTTTTCGAAGCTCAGTGATGACGTTTGGCAAACAAATGCTAGTATACCAATCCGCAGAAACAGTTCTTTGCTCATTAAGAGGAATTGTTGCAATATGACCCGCTTTTGACACAAATGTCGCGACCATCTTTTTCGAAACACTTCGAGAACGGATGACTTTTGTTGGCTTTTCTTCACCTTGGAACACCCAAATAGCAGACTGTCGTTTATTTTCTGGTTCGTAACAGTAAATCCACGATTCATCACCAATAACATGGAATGGATCAGGGGACGCCCCCTCTAGACCTACAAATTTGCCATTGCTCAATTATTGTCACAAGCGTATTTGCTATCAGAAGTGTTGCTTAAGTGTAGCATCAACCCCTTTTCTCTTCAATTTTTAATCGTCGCTACCACCGCCCCCCCCAAGACAATTTTTTTTCTAAACATGAATGCTGCGACCACCCCTACAGATACCTAAATCCACCCTTGATCTCCTGAATGCCGAAGAAAAGTACATACCTGTGACAGTATCGAAGGATACACGACCATCGTAGGCGGAGGGTAGTTCCCATACTGCTGCTGGTGGTTGTAGGTGGTGTTATAGTAGTTGTTGTTGTAAGCTGGGGGTGCCGGAGTCCAATTGTTCGGGCAATAAGCATTGTCGGATGGGTACCGAGCAGTGGTGGACCCCAACATGGAATCCAAGTCAGGTTTCGGGCTGTTGAACATGCTACTCGGTGCTGCCGGAGGCGGTGATGTTAAGGAGGTGCTGATGTACTCGGTAGCTGTCGGAGCGGCTGTACCGCCAGGTAGTACTGTACAAAAGAGGGATAAATGTTACAATTTCAAATTCCTATTGAATATCTGGTTTATGAAGTGCTGTGTTGAACCGAAAATTGGGTGCGGCTATACCTTACGATGACATATAGGATGTCTTGCTAGGTAGTACTGTGAGAAAAAATGATAAAACTACCATTCAAAATGCTTATTTACAGGATCTCACTTTACAAATAAGTAGGATGTTCCTAAAGCGAATAATTGATGTGTTCAGCGTTTATTGTGATCCACATGAACGTATCATGAAAGGTGATATTGTATATTGAAGGTATAATGTATCACCGATGGATGTCACAATTCACTGTTAGTTAACAGTTCCATCATACAAATTAATATGGATTACAATGAATAATGAACATGTAGCATTCGCCTGAAGAGATAAAGAATCTTGAAAAACTCTTATTCTGTATCCCTACTAATATTATGAATGTGAAAGTGTGTATGTTTAGTTCATTTCACAGTTTTTTGCGGGTCACACTTAAACTACCGGCATTACTTTTTTACATCAATCTGCCTCGCACAAGTGCGGACCCAGCATTTGTATCAGGGTGGGGTCACAGGATTAATGTTCAGGACGATATTTGTCTCCGAGGGGAGGGAGGATTCCGATATGATGAAGCGTTCTGGGGTTTTGGAGTAAAACAGCTTTTTTATTTTGGTACAGTTTTATAAATTATGGAACCATTCCCAAATACTGGTTCCCCCGTTTTTAAAATTTGGTAATTAAAAATAAAAAAAACGGTATCGAGGCACGTTCCAATTTCCCAAAATATCATTTTTCAGATATTATATACAGGGTGTCCGCAAAGTTGGGGTTTTCCTTTTCAGAAACAACTACCCTTGAAATAACAAAGGTAATGTGTAGTGAAACGAGGGCGACCAAGTAAAAAAAAATAAAGGAAAAAGTACTCACTCTCCAGTTGACGAGAAGGGCTAAGAGACGCAGAAACCACATTGATTGTCTTACACTTAATGGCACATCTTCTATCAAGGAAGGCAGCAAAATGTTGCGTGAAAAGTCTAGGTATTGCATCCCGTCCAATCGATTTGGGAGAATAAATGGTCCAATGAGCATACCGTTCACCATGCCAGCCCAAACATTCACCGAAAATGTTTGTTGAAAATGTGCCCGACGGACAGCGTGCGGATTTTCTACTGACCAAACATGAGTGTTGCGAAAGTTATTCACCCTATTACGCGTGAACGTAGATTCGTCTGTTACCAATATGCACTTCAAAAAGTCCGGATTATTGTCATGTTGATGCAACAACCACTCACAAAACCGCACTCTTGCTGGAAAATCGTCAGGTTGAAGGGCTTGTACACGTTGGACGTGAAACGGATACAGCCCCTCTTCACGCAGCGTTTGCCACACTTTAGTTTTTGATACTTGCACTTCTCTAGCCACGTCTCTAGTGCTTGTTGTTTTTTGAAACGCAATCGATTATACGAGTTCGTTTACCTCTACACGCGTGACCGTAACCGTCGGTTGAAGGTTGCATACTAACCTGACACACTGACCCCGACCCAGTTCTGCCGTCGGGTTGAGACCTTGTACCAATCGGTGATGTCCCGGATCGCGGCTACAGGACGGTATTCAGATATTTTTGATGTTGCAGAGCCCTTTATCTCGGTTCCCTTAACACTTTGGCTACCCCCATAAGGGGTCATTTTCATTTATTAGGGGCCAAACCTAAATTATCACAAAAGCATGGTTACGAAAACTTTATTGACATAAAAAACATATAAACAACTAAAAAAAAATGTTTTTTTCTGCAAAAAAATTAAAATCACCGGTGATACACATGGCATCTAGGTTAATCGGTATTCCTCCAGTGCCATCTGTATCACCGGTGATCACAGAAGAAACAGGAAATAAAACTAATGTTTTTCAGTGAAACAAGTAAAACATAGATGAATATTGCATTGCCCGCACTTGGTAGAGACCAATTTAGCTTGTTTCATTCCCACAACTCGACCTCCTTCTCTGGCCTTTTTCTCATAACATGAAATGCATCTCTTCCTTTTCTTTCTCCCGTCTGCTGTTCTTTCTGCTGTACTGATCAGACTATGTTTATCTTCATTTACTGGGACACTTGGGACTTGGGTAAGGCTCTCAATCAACATCTCTCTAAATGCACCAACTTGTATGTTTTGTTTTTTGAAGTGCTTGTAAATATTAAGAGAATTGATGACAGCCGTATTCAGGAGAATTTCAAACTTTAGCTTATGATACCATCTAATTGTTTTGCGGAGTGGGGAAAAGTAGCTCGCCATTTGATCAGAAACATCTATACCATCTTTACCAGCATTGTATTCTAATATGGCAGAAGGTTTCTTTACCTCCTCGCCCTTTCTGTTTTTCTTCCCAGTAGCATTTATATCCAGCGTGTGCTTAGTCCTCAAGAACGGAACATCCCTTTTGTCCTTCCATTTACCTATAACGAGTCCTGTAGTGTTTTCCTTCCCCACAATTTCCCCTCTTTTTAGCTGTGCACTCATAACTTCTTTAGAGAGACCTTTTCGATTTTTTCTAAGTGTGCCTAGAAGATGAGTCTTGGATGCCAACAATGATTTCGCTAAAGGTAATGAAGTATAATAATTGTCTGTTATTAGTGTCCTTCCTTCTCCCAAGTAGTCATGAACAAGGTCCATTACAACTTTTTCTGCCAGTCCTTTTCCTTTACCTGTATCTTCGAATTTTTTGCCGGTGTAGACTGACAATCGGTAGGTATAGCCTTTTGGATCGCACAATTTGAATAGTTTTATACCATATCGATGACGTTTGCTAGGTATATACTGCCGGAAAATTAGGGGTCCACGAAAGGGCACCATAGTCTCATCTACAGCTAATGTTTCCCCTGGAATTGCCTCGTTGGAACATTTGGTCTGAAATTTTTTGATAATATCTTCCACTTTATAAAGTCGGTTGTCTTTATCTACGGCATCATTATTCGCAAAATGAAGTACTCTTAGCAGAAGTTGAAAACGATTTCTGCTCATCACTGATGGAACAAACGTATTATTGTACAGCCTATTTTTTCGCCAATAGTCCGGAATTTTAGGATATTTGACTATGCCCATATACATGACTATGCCTAAAAACTTTTTAATTTCTTTTTTATTTGTAGGGACCCATCGTCTTATTCTAGCTGAACGCCTTATATTTGACTTTTGTAAAAGCTGCGTGCCGTTTCTATTTGTTTCTGAAACGATAATTTCAAGAATCTCGTCATCAATGAGACGTTCATAAACATCAGTTGGACGTAGATCATTAGAATCATCTGAAAAAATATTTTATATTTTTACCAAACAAAAATAGACAAAAAAATATATTAATACCAGGGTAAATGCCGTGATGATACATGTATTGCTCTGCACCAGAAAAAATAATGTCAGAACGCAAGGAGGTCCCGTCAACATCATGCCAATCCTCATTATCTTGTAGTAGAGTATTTACATTGTGGCTCTCTTCAGTGTCTACTTCATCTAAATCGCAATCTAAACTATGACTGCTTGGAAGACTACTGCCTGCGCTATTGCTACCATCATCAGATTCCGAATTCAGATACTCTATAAATAAATAAATGAAAAAGGTGTTAATTTATACGCCTGTAAAAGAGAACCATCCCCAGATAAAATTTCAACAACAAACATGTATTTTTACTACATACCTGATCCTGAAGATGAAAAATCTTCCCAGTCGTCCCAATTATCTGCGATTTCCTGCAGTTCCTTTTGTGTTAAAATTTGCTTTTTATTTTGGCTATTGCCAGTACAAGATCGTTTGGGTCGTCCAGAACTTGTAGAAGGTTCATCACTCATATTTATAACACCACTTTATAACACACACACACGATTTACTAAAATTTATATTTCTAAAACACCCCTCTTAGTTTGCAGGTTCTCACAACATTAAACATAACCCATAAACCGCAAAATCTGTACAAGAACCAACCTGAATATAGTAAAAGTGCAGTCGTAAATTTACCCTACAAAGGTAGGCGACCAGTGATGTTATGTATCTCAATGAGTTGTTTATATTATCAGTATGCCACAGTATAAGTAGTTAAACTTAATTCACAGGCCAAGCGGATATATATCTAATTTTGAAGTATACTGCATGTGAAACACATGTGAGTCACGTGGCCTCCAAGCAAAACGCGCCTGTGTATCACCGGTGTTTCACATGGCAGCCAATGTGTTAAGACATTGGTGTATATGGTACTAAGAAAAATTGCTTATGTTTTCAAGATCTACACGTCGTGTAAAGGAAAACCCCAACTTTGCGGACACCCTGAATATATATATATATATATATATATATATATATATATATATATGCATTTTGTCTTATACACCTCCGAAATGCACTATGCTCTATACGAATACGCCTCCAAAATCGGAGGCGAATTGGAAAATTCGGAGGCCAAAACGTATCGACGTGTATAACATGTTTAATCGTCGTGTGACGTATCAAAACACATTTTCCCAAATTTTTCGGTGGAGGCCAATTCGTCATGTGCACATATACAGTTATACAATTCAGTTCAGGAATTTTTTAATAGATGGCACTCAAGTCTTATACACTTATACACGACATATTGTGGGCTTTACCACTTTACCTCCATGCATTCTTCAGTCAATGCGCCTCCGAAATTTGGCAACATTACATGGAGGCGAATTGGATGATCTAATGGCATGGAGTTGAATTGGACGGTTTATATATACTCATGTATATTCGGTGTCTCATATGTATAAGAAAGCGAAAATTTAGTTTTGACAGTTCAAGAATTCGCAGTTTGTGATAGATTTTTTTAAATTCTAATAAAGAAGATAAATAAAAGTAAAATTCACATTCGCATGACTTTTTCCCTCTACATGATGACTTAATTAGATTTTTGATCCGACGATTCGTTCATTCGTAATTATAATCAAATGACGTTGATGATGGTTTTTCTCATCCGAAATATCGAAT